GGACTCGAACCCAGAAAGCACAACTACCTTCCAGTAGCTGGCATAACTAGTATGCTTTAACCCACTACGCCATCCAAAGATTGTCCAAAGATTGTTTATCTTCACTTGTGGTTTATGCAAGTATAGGCTTATAAGCTGGACACGAGTTCTCTCACATTGACAGTGGCTTGACGAAAAATGCAGACTGACCCCTCACTCATCTGGTGCCTTCGGGAGGTAGAGATGTTTGAGATATATATCTCGAACTATCTACTTCTTTTGTAAGGTCTGATGGCGTAGTGGGTTAAAGCATACTAGTTATGCCAGCTACTGGAAGGTAGTTGTGCTTTCTGGGTTCGAGTCCCACTGGTGGGTGTTGTCCAAAGATTGTTTATCTTCACTTGTGGTTTATGCAAGTATAGGCTTATAAGCTGGACACGAGTTCTCTCACATTGACAGTGGCTTGACGAAAAATGCAGACTGACCCCTCACTCATCTGGTGCCTTCGGGAGGTAGAGATGTTTGAGATATATATCTCGAACTATCTACTTCTTTTGTAAGGTCTGATGGCGTAGTGGGTTAAAGCATACTAGTTATGCCAGCTACTGGAAGGTAGTTGTGCTTTCTGGGTTCGAGTCCCACTGGTGGGTGTTGTCCAAAGATTGTTTATCTTCACTTGTGGTTTATGCAAGTATAGGCTTATAAGCTGGACACGAGTTCTCTCACATTGACAGTGGCTTGACGAAAAATGCAGACTGACCCCTCACTCATCTGGTGCCTTCGGGAGGTAGAGATGTTTGAGATATATATCTCGAACTATCTACTTCTTTTGTAAGGTCTGATGGCGTAGTGGGTTAAAGCATACTAGTTATGCCAGCTACTGGAAGGTAGTTGTGCTTTCTGGGTTCGAGTCCCACTGGTGGGTGTTGTCCAAAGATTGTTTATCTTCACTTGTGGTTTATGCAAGTATAGGCTTATAAGCTGGACACGAGTTCTCTCACATTGACAGTGGCTTGACGAAAAATGCAGACTGACCCCTCACTCATCTGGTGCCTTCGGGAGGTAGAGATGTTTGAGATATATATCTCGAACTATCTACTTCTTTTGTAAGGTCTGATGGCGTAGTGGGTTAAAGCATACTAGTTATGCCAGCTACTGGAAGGTAGTTGTGCTTTCTGGGTTCGAGTCCCACTGGTGGGTGTTGTCCAAAGATTGTTTATCTTCACTTGTGGTTTATGCAAGTATAGGCTTATATATATATATATATATATATATATATATATATATATATATATATATATATATATATATATATATATATATATATATATATATATATATATATATGCATATATATGCATCCTGGGTACGCACATATATATATATATATATATATATATATATATATATGTGTGTGTGTGTGTGTGTGTATGTGGGGTCAGGGTACCACCTCTGGTGCAAATGTAGGGACTCATAACCTCGGAGAAGAAAATAAAGAGTATTGAGAGAAGACCTTGTGGGTTCTTATATATACACATATACATTTATATCTCTCCTACTTTAACAGGGTAAGATTTGAATATTTTTAAATTAAATTACTATATATTGTAAGGTAGAGCAGAGCAACCATGGTTTTGTAGCGCAAACGTTTCAACATTGACCTGCTCATGATGAACGTTTTGACAGTAATGTTTGCTTGGTCTGTGTTTTGCATGTGTTCATTATTCTTATACGGTAGTAACACACAGACGATCATGTGTAAATATATATATATACTGTATACATGAAGTTAGCCGCGAGAACACGTACGAACCATTCTCATTAGTTTATTAGCTTTAACTGAACCAAAGCTTCCCTTTATAAGATATATAAGCAATATAAACTTGAACACTGCATCAGCCCGAGGCGAAACCCTTCTAGCGGGCCGCAGCCTCTTAAAGCAGACTGGACGCCACAAAACCTGCCTTGTTCTAGGTTCAGGCGTCTATACAACAAAACAGCGGTACCTTCTATCGAGCCGAAAGGTGTTTGGCCTCTCATCTCCCAAAGAGCCTTTACTGTGGTGTAAGTTAATAAAATCCGGTTTTGTTTGGAGTAATATGTGAGACAATAAATTTAAGCAATAGCTAGGCCTACTGTGAGGGAGGACAAAGTGTGCTTGAGGAGAGACAGGCGTTTAAAATGGTGCGCCGCGGCTGGGAGTCATGGCAGGCTCGCTCCCTCTGTCCTCCTCTTGCGTGTTCTTGTGTCCAGGTTCCTGCCACAAACGTCTCTGGGAGCAGCTGGGGGCGGAGGGTGTCGCTACAGGCAAGGTGTGCCTGGGGGCCAGGCCCTACATGTTTCACGGGTTATATACCCACATTTTGCTCTCTGTGGATAGTGTCATAGTAACCCAACTTGCGTGACCCGTAGCAGAATTGTATAGCAGATTATTGTAATGTCAAAGGAAACTTGAGCAGCATTTGCCTTTTGACACAGTTTGGTCGGGCAAATGTTACTGATATTGGGAAAAAGAGGTTAATGTAAATATATCATTGTCTGAATATTTTCTTATGCATTAATCATATCAATTTATTCATAAAAAGAGTATACAATATACTATAAGTGAATTGTATGGAATTGAAGTACTGTACTGGTATACCGAAAATCATACAGATATAGTTGTTCATGAGTCGTGCATTACTCACAGCATAACCAGTACGTAGTCACACTAAACACTTGTGTTGTACATTGATAGTGGCTGTACATATTTCATTTCAGGCTGAGACATAATAGCTTGCTAGAATATATGAATTTTTATAATTATAAGGCAATAATAAAGGAATGTACAGTTTATATATTTGTGTGTGTAAATCACAAAGAAATTAACACTAGATGAATAATGTGACATTGTCTTGTTGTTATAGATTCAGCTACTGGGAACAAAAAGTTCCAAGTAACACGGGCTATGGTGAGCCCATAGTGAACTTACCTGGCACAGGAGCAGGGCTGTAGTTTTTTTTTTACAAATTTGTGGTGGATATATAGGCAGGAATGAGATGAGATGATAAAACAATGTCTGGTTCACAAACATAAGAGGAAAAGCCTATTGACTGATACATATGAGTTCCAGGAAGCTAAACTACTAATAATATATTAATGAGATATTATAGAAATAACTGTGTATTAATGATTTTACTCAACTCATTTTTAAGTTTTTAACTAATTTTTTTAACTCGGTTAAAATGGATCCAATGATTTATTCAATTTCTTTCCATTTTTAATTGATCAATTAAAAATTAGTGGAGTAAGATCATTAATACATAGTTACCTCAGTAATATCTCATTAGTATTGTTGGTTCCTGGAACTCCTATACAGTATCGGTTGACGGGCTTTCTGCAGTTCCTCATTTTTGTGAACCCAAGACATTGTTTTGTTCACCTCACCTCATTCCTGCCTATATACCGACCACTACATTGTAATATTCATCCTTACAAGCTACTCATGCCTGTGCATGAGCACCCAAGCCATTCTTGGGTGGTTAATCTTTATCAATCAATCAGTAATATTTATCCTTCTGAAGATGTATTGATTAATATGAGAGTACTTAACAAATTTCCTGTTTCATTTTCCTCGTGGTCAGACTCATATTTATATACAGTACGTATATGTAATTATAATTATATATTATTTGAGTTCTATTTATGATGGTGAACATTGTTTTAATAAGAATTATTACTATACTGTACTCAAATTTCAGTACAATATTTAAAAATGATTCAAAGAGGTTGCTAAAAATAACAGCACAATTGTTGTCTTTTGTTTTTTTATACTGGAAATAGTACTAGTATTCATGCCATGTTACTCTTAATAAACCTTTCACTCTTTAGCCACTACAGTATTAAGTTTAATAACATTGTTATTATGTTGAAGGGTTATTAAGATAACCCTTCATTAACATAACTCACACAGTCCCCATGGTGCAGTGGTAAAACACTCGACTGATGCTTCGCGAGCATTTTGACCTGGGTTTGTATCCTGGCCGGGGAGGATTGACTGGTTGCCAATCCTTAAATAGTCTTTGTCCACTCAGTAGTGAATGTGTTCCTGGTTGTTAAATGATTTGGCGGGTCATATTCCATGGAAAATTAGGATTAAGGACTTGCCCGAAATGCTGTGTGAGATAGTGACTGTACGAGAATGAAAGAACTCTTGTATGTAAAATAAAATAATAAAAAACTCGGCCTTCTTATCCTGGGTAAGTTGGAACTCTTCTTACCCTCATCTAGTTTGCTCTTGCTGGATGACATGGCATCAACTTGCAAATAATAATACAGTACTGTATTTCCATAGAAAAGTTAGTGAAGTGCTTGAGTAACGAGTCGTCAGACCACATTCACACATGAAAAACACATGGCTGGTACATGTACTGTACATGCACAGCAGGTTTTCATATGCTATTGAAAAAGTTACATAAATTCTTCTGTGTAATTTATAGTTTGCACATTTATGAAGTAAAAATACATTATTTTGAATAATATTCTTTTAAGTAATGGTAATGTCTTCCCATAGACATAATAACAGGATTAAAACACCCAAACTTATGTATTTGTGAAGTTTATTTATAGAAACTAAACCAAGTCTTCGCACTCTCCTGAGTTTTTTGTTAGTCTGAGTACAGTATGTAGTTACAGTAGTGCAAGGCTTACATCTCGGCGACTAGATTTAGCAGTGCTAAATAGCATTGTTTCAGCAGCAGTGCTTCAATTTAAAATTGTTAGTGTTATTTCATCTCTTTAATTGAAATTTATAAATTTGTTATTCTTTTAATGTATTGAATTGTTCTTCATTTATAGGTGAGTAATTGTAAACCTGTACCATGAGTGCTGATGCTGATATCGTTCGTTCATCACTTGAGAAATTACTCCATGATCATTCTCCAAGTGCTGATACAAGGTAAATATTATGATTAACATTTCTATTTTTATTTTATCATATAGAACATCTATATAACAAAAATGTTAATGACTTCATCTCGGTTGCCAAATTAGCTAAGAAAATTTGTTTGAATTTTTTTTTAACTTCATTACTTGCAGTGGAATTGATGAGATCGTAGTGAGCTACGTGAGTGGTGTATTGGAAGAGGTAGCTGTAGATGAGGAGGAGGTGGACTCTGCAGGGATGAAGGATGTTATGGCTGCTTATGTGCCAGAGTTTGATGCTATCCCAGAAGATGCCATCACCTCTTGGGTAGTCAACATGATACATGTTATCAACCAAGAGAAAAATAAAGGTTAGTAGAGATTTGTCATCATTCTAATTATGCTGTATCCTTTAATTAGGGGGATATAATACATAAAATTAATTCTTACATAATATTTTCAAGATTTTTGTTTAATCTTTATTACACAACATATTTAATTTTAGTTAACTTTCTTGTTCATGATTTTTCCTTGGGTTTCCCTACAAGAGGCAGCTCTCATTCTCTTCATAATCTTGTGTTATGACGAGTGAAATTTGTGAAAGTCTTTCTTTTGGTGTAGTGTAAGTGTAGATACTGAATACAAGTACAGTATTAATATTTCTTGTATCCCTGTGTTGATTAAAGCTTCTACTAGCAGCAAACCCAAGGGGAAATTTTATGTCATGATATTTTAGAAGAATGTGTATTAATAGTATTAACTTTCTCCAACTTTTTCATTATTTTGTATGTGGTGATCATGTCTCTTGCACATACTTCCTCTGCATCTCCCACTCAACATACCTCGCTTCGACAACCAAGTCCAACAGCACTACTTAGGACAGGGTCAACTTGGCAAGATTCTTTTCAAAAGAGAAACTCAAAAACCTTAGAGAAGATTGCTAATGGTGCCAGAGAAGGTAGCCCAGAAATGAGAGCCAAAGTTAAATATGTTAGTAAGACACTCATTGTAACCAGCAAACACACTCGAGAAATGTAATATGCACGAGCCCAATGTGCAAGAGAAAGTTGGCTAATTTAGCTGATGCAACAGCAATCTCTGTGGAGCCTTTTTTAAAGTTCAACCTTATTTTAAAAATTTTTACAAATTAAAAAAAAAAAAAAAAGACATCGTCATCTGGTTGGCATGGTGATCACTCTTGTTTGTTGTCCGGCTTCTTGTAAAGGGTGTCGGCCATTTCGCAGTTCGCCCTGTTGACGGGACGATAAGGGAGAGGCTCGCTCTGTTTGCTTATGCTTGGTCCCACGATTCGTGGGCGCTTCGGGTCGTGTCATCTGGGCTTTGGTGGCATTGCATGGTTCTTTCTCCTTCTGGGGGCACGAGGCAGGCTTCTTTCCCTGTGCTTCTTCAGGTTATCTCGGAGTGGGTGTGCCTGCGCGTGGTTGAAACGACCCCATCCTTCAGGTGGGTTTCCCGCCTGTTTCCAGTGCCGAAACTGGACTGTGTGGATCTGCGGTTCATTCTGGACTTGTCCTGTCTGAACTTGTCCTGTCATATCCGGGGAGTGTCCAACATCCTGGCATATGGACTGTTACTGTTCATTCCCCTGTCCATGGAATGAACGGTCGACGCGGACTCCTTCGGTTGGCTCTGCCAGACCGAAGGAGTCGGGGGAGCCAACCGTTCACTCATTCCCTGTTCCAGAGCTCGAGTCTCCCAGGTCATTCGCAGGATTATTAAGTCTAGCCAGCCTGCGGTCTATCCTCTTGCCCATGACGGTAGGAAGTTTGCTGTGTTGGCTGCCATGTTTGGCAACATGTATAGGGCTGATATTCGGGCGTTGGGATTTTGGAGGTCGAACATGGTCCTGGCTGCTTGATATTTAGTTAATGTGGCTTGTGTTGCTTTGGGTTGCAGATTGCAGCCAGTTGTCTCGACTTCGAGTTGAGGAGTGTGTGGTGGCTGCCTTCCGGTTAAGCCCCTCTTTTCCTTATCTTTGATTATGTAGCTTCAGAAAACCCCTTTGGCTCCCTGGAGCCAAGAGGGTGGGAGGGAGCTGTATGCACAGATGAGTGATGTGGCGATGGAGTGTGTTGTTTGCTTGTTTTCTTGGGATTGGAGGGAGTTCTGACTCAGTTCAGTTTTTGGTTGCAATTTTCTTACCATGTAGGGTCTGTTTTGTTATGCCTACCTTTCTGAGTGCCTAACCCTGGTTGATGGTAGATAAGGAAAAACCTCCAACCACAGGTTTTTTTTCCAGGGGCCATTGCTCCCTGTGCCTCTCTGAGGGGGGCTAGGTTCTGGCTAGTGGTCCCTGCTAGGTTGAACTCCTATGACTAATGCCCTGGTCTAATGAATTACATATTAGCCTGATAGCTCCAGGGAGTCTCTGAGGCTCACCCAGAAAATGGCGTTTCATTACATTCAACGCTGGTTTTTTTGGACATGAATGTTTTGCAAGGGCAGTAGGGTATAACATCGATTCCAGATTCAGTACCCTGTTTGGAAGTTTTCAGTCCCATGGTGGTCAAACCGTGGGTTGACTGCTACCAACAGTATATACAAAATTATCAACTAGACAAATGGCCCTTGGTAACTTAAATAGGATCTCTTTCAAGGCTAATTTAGGTGAAAGCTATATTCACAGGTAGCATACACAGCACATGTTACACCAGTTCTAGAAAATTCAACCCTGACATGGAATCCTCATCTTGTGAAGCACAAATGAAGCTTTTGACAGTCCAGAGGTTTGCAATAATGCTGGTATCTAAAATAAAAGAATTAAGCTATGAAGACAGGTTAGGGGAGCTCTCTATGTCAGCTTTAGAGAGAGGAGGAAGACTAATGCAGACATGATCAACAAAGATGTACAAAATGCTGATGGGGGATAGATAATGTGGACATTGAGATTTTGATAGATAATGTGAACATTGAGGACATTTTTTGTTTTTTCAGATGAGGGCAAATAGAGTGAATATACATCAGTGGAAGTTAGAAATGCAAATGAGTCTGAGAGACATTTGAAATTACTGTGCTCGTGTAGTGCAAATGGTCATCAAGTGGAATGCACTGAAAGTAGTAATGTATGCCATAATTCACAAAGCACCTAAATGTCTAAATGAACTGTACCTCTTTCCATGATTGTGATAGTTTAGCCAGCTTTTTCTAAACAGTTTGAGGTTGTTGTCACCTGTGTTATTCTTGTTATGGAAGACCAGGAACTCATAAACTGTTTACTAAATGCAGGCAGTCATTATGGTTGAGATAATAGGTAGGTGGTGGACATCAAAGTCTTGTAGGTGGACACCCAAGTGCTCTGTGAATCCTGACCCCATGATCTCTTAACCCATAGACAGTAATAGGTATGTATAGAAAGTACCGATAACATGCTTGATCAGCAGAGCTACAAGTGCTCCTGAAGCAGTATAATCAATTTATGAACATGTATGTTCTTATTGAAAGCTATATTTTGTATCACATTTATACAGCAACTAAATTAATAACTACATACTATAGTATAATATCTTCATAATTTGAATTTTTAGGGAACTTTTTGAAAACATGTACAGTATGTATTTGTTTTCAGTGAAAGCAGGCAAGGACTTGACTTTGGATGCTCTGATATCATCATTCCCAGTGGAGACTCGAAAACATCGCAACTCTCAATCAATAAGTGAAACAAGTGAAAGATCACAGAAACTGTCAGAGACATCAGTTGGTTCTGATGAACAAAATAGTACCAATGGAGATGAGGTTAGCTTTTATCTTTTAGTTTACATGTGTAGAATAGAAGAGAATGTTATAAATTAAGTTTTTATAAGATTTTACTGTTGCAGTATTGTAATTTTTCTCAGCTCTGCCCCTCTTTAAGGCACAGAACCTTCTGGCCCCCTAGTATAGATCTTAAGCTAAAGCAGTAAAGGATAATAATCTACATCAGCACAGCAGGGTTCTTTTCAAACTGTCCCAAACTGGTTACACTGATGCTAGGGAGACACTGAAGAATATTGCAAACTGTACAGTCTGTAATAAATGACTGTACAGTCATTACCTAAGTTGGACAGCAAGTATCTGCCTACATGTTGACTATAATATGTCCATTAATTTTAAATTACTTCATTTAAAGTTAACACTTTGCTTCCTGATACCAAAATATGCAGCATAAAACCAAAATATGAAGTATGCCCGATGACGCAAATGACATCAATAATAATTTAAAATTTGTAGAAATTCCATTTACTGATCAAAAAAAATGGGACTTGTTTTAAAATGCATGCCAACTTCTGCCCATTCTCTGTATACCCCACCTGGCATCCTGACCCCACCGTGTAATTACCTAAGTGTAATTAGGTAATTCTGTCAAAACAGGATGAGAGCTACGCTCGTGGTGTCCCGTCTTTCCGGCACTCTTTGTCATATAAAAAAATTAAGATATTATCTGACACGAGTGTGGGCGCCCGCCCACACTGGAGGCTCACTGTTTTCGTGACCTCACTCATGACAGCCGCGGCCTTTCTTCGAGTCGAAAGGTTTCCTCTTTCTGGTTATTTTATCTTAGGTATTTGTTGTTGCTGGCTTTATAAACACTGCAAATTGACTTCCCGATGAATACTGATCAAAAACAGAGCCAATCTATGATGAAAGCATTGCAAGAAACGCGATTGAGGGAAAAAGTTATTGAGTTTTCGTTGAAAGTAACGAAAAGTGAGGCTTTTTTAAATTAGATGAGGTTATCATATGTGCCACCAGCAAGGCAATTATTGTCAAATCACAATTTAGCATTTCCAGAAACATAGGAGTTGGTTGCAAGACACCTTTTATGAGCTGTGCCAGGAACAGATTTGCATGCAATATAAGTGTACATATTGCATTGTAGGTGTATATATATACAGTACTCAATTATTGATTCTTGATAATTATGCATAGAGTTTCTCCACACACATTGTATAAGCTAAAGTGAAACAGCAAAAATATAAACCCTCTAAAACAATCATCACAGCTCACACCTTGATGTGGCTTGTCAGCAAATTCACGGTGTGTCAGTCTGTGGATGAAATGACCCCCCCTCCCCCTCACCTGGCAATCTCCCAGTGTGCATGAGGCACTAAAGTACTTAGATGTAGTACAAAAGTACTTAGATGTAGTATGTGTGTGTGTTCATTGTCCTTAAATTTTGCATGCAAATTTATCACGTTATAACAACAGTTTTTCTTTTGTGCGTGGAAGGCCAGAAAGGTACTTTTAATCATAGCCACACTTATAGGGTTTAAGGCCAGATATAGCAAAGACCTTGAATGTCAAGAAAGTTCAAATTAAGGCTAATAAGTGGGACAGAAAGAGCTAGACACACTTTTTTGTTGTCACTGTTTGATAAGCACTACATCCATCATTATAACTACATCCACCATCACTACCTTATTCATGACCATCATTGCATCCATCACCATCATTATATCTACTGCCACAACTACAATTACTACAACCAACACTACTTTAAAAGTCTCTCACAATGATAAACACCAGTAAGCTACCACACCCGTCCAGTACGCCTTACACCAGTCATTACTCCTTGTCATCATTTCATTTCCTACATTCATTATATCAGCCTGTGGTCATTGTACACCCCCCCCTGCACACACTTCATTATTCTGCTGTTTGTACCCTTAAGATATACTGCCATATGGATATTTTTCTCTAAAATTGCCCCCATATGGCCAAATTGCTGTACAATATACTGTATCTAGTTACTTGGAAGACTATTTTCTCTCCTAGCATAAAAAAATGGGTCTTGCTTAAACTGTAAGAACTCAAGCTTTTGCTTCAAGCTTTTACGTTTTTAAATAAAATAAAAAAATCCATTAATTTCTAGTTAATTCTAAATATATTTTGCACTTAATTTTCAGCAGGATGAATACACAGAGGGCTTGGCAACCTTACTTGAGATGTTCCCGGGAACTTGCAACCTGGAGGTGCAGCACTGTCTCGCTAGCTGTGGGGGGGATTTAGAGCACGCCACAACTCTTATCCTCCAGCGCCAGGAGCAAGGCATTAGCATCAAGGCTAATACAAATAGCAAGGTATGAATATGTATACAACCTTGATCACTTTTCTACCCCAGTTTAACTATTTTGTTCATTTTAAGATAACTTGACCCCAGACCTGGTCTAGCTAGAATACTCTTGCTGTCATAAACTTGGTAGTAAAAATGCCACACAAGAAATAGAACAGCTGACATCTGAAGCATATAAGGTCTGAAACGTGTTCCTTTGCGGAAAGCTAGAAAGAGGACCAGTGTAGAAAGAGAATGCAGATGGCACTACAAAAGAAGGAAAATATAACAGAAATGCTCAAGCAGGCATGACTGTCCCTACAAACCTACAAAGAAGAATTTAAACAGAGAGATTGAAGAAATAGAGTAGAGACTGAAGAAATCATATCAGATTGAAGACATGCAATTAGAACAGAAAGCAATACAAGAGAGAGGGAAAACCTCAAAATATTTCTTCACATGTGTGAAATTAAAATCTAAGAACCATGTCGGTATTGGAAATATTCTTACATGTGAAGGGTTATACACAGAGGATGACAAACGAATTAGTAAATCCTAAAAGAGAAATATGAAGACATATTTAGCACCCGAATAAACAGCATGAAAGTGGAAGATCTGGGCAGCTTCTTTATGTGCGATATCCAAACCCCTGAAAATGCATCTGATATCAACATGAATGATGTCAGTCAGTCAGTCAGACCTGATCTGACCCGACCTGACATGAACTGACCTGACCTGGACTGACTGACTGACTCTCACTGTCACTGTCACAGCCAGTCAGTCACTGACAGTCAGTCAGTCTGGGTCAGGTCAGGCCTGACTGACTGACAGCATGTGTCAAGAAATCAGAGTCTGACTGTCTGTCAGACAGTCAGTCAGTAACACAGTCAGTGACAGACCTTCTGGCCCATCTCATCCACTGACTGGAAGCCATTGAGGGCACATGGAGTCAAACAGACACACACACATTGACAGCTAAATGGTCCCTAAAGGGAGAGGAAGGAGACTCTGCCCTTCTCCCACTCCGTCAAAATGGATGAAAAGGGGAGAGATTGATCACAAGGACAGTTGAGATATCTTGAAAGAGAAGAGCACTGAGGACCAAAGCCCAAAAAGTCAGAAGCAAGATCTGGTATGTTCGACTAAGGCTTGGTGGTACTAGAGTCGAGCTTGGGGAGCCACCGAGAGGTCCCTCCCAGAAATAAGATAAAATAATTGCTAATGGGGTGAATACCATATCATATATGTCCATCAAAGGTGTAATCAGATAATTTTTTACCTTTGTAAATATGTAAATTGGATTTCTGTTTTTCAAGCTATGGGTGTCTTCATGTAGCAGTTCTCCTTAATACAATCTAATCTTACATTAAGTCTGTAACTTTCAGAACTAATTTCAGCAATATCAGTTATTACACCTTAACTGTCTGTTTTGAAGTTAAAATAACATTCATGGAGATGGTTTTTGTTATGATCTTGTCTAATAATGTCAGTTTGATGTTCTTGTTTGAAGGAGGATGGAATTATAGTATTTATGTTACTTCAGCTTGTTCCTGGAGCAAAAGGCAACAAGAGCCAGGTTGATGATAAAGAAGTAAGAACCTCAATTCTCAATCGATATGGATTTGTCGATCACGATGATGATGCTCGAGAACATAGGCCTGTAGCCCCTAAGTGGGTAAGTTGTGCAAATATTTTGAGATATTTCTTTGTATAGTATAGTTCTTAACTATACACAAATAGCTCTTTGGATTTCTCTTTTAAGAGGCTCTGACCCCCTCTGCTTGCTCATCATGCTAATTGCTTTCCTTTTGTTATATCTTTCCATATTGATGTCACTGAAGTGCGCTCCTTTACACACACACTACCAACATTCATTGTACCCTTAATTTTCATGAGGGACACATACTTGAAAAGCCTTGTACAAATTGAACTATACCATGTACTGTATGAGGAAATTATATTATACTGTATGAGGAAATATTTTTCTTGCTATTCTCGATAAAATATCTACCTAACCATACCAGTGTTGCCTTTTGAAGTCTCTCACCATTTCCCAGCTACAAACATAATGTGCATAACAATCGTTTCTGGGCAACTTGTGTTATCTGATGAAGAAACAGAAACCACAGGCAACTGTGGCTTCTGTTTCAGAAACCACTGACCACTGGATTAAGGGTGACTGTGCTTGGCAGGTGACTGTAGGTAACTAGGTAGCTATTGCTTGGCATTTCATATTCTCTTGTTTAAATATTTTGTAATGCAGTATTATTTATTAGCTACATGACACCTGTTAATCCAATATCCCCCCCCCCTTACCACCAATATCCCAACTCATGCACACCAACCCATCTATATACAGTAGCATCATTCATCACCCATCCAGCCTTCCCTTTCTTTCTTCCTCTACCACTCGCCTACAGCCACCTCCTGCCCCAACCTCACTCACACACCATTTAGCAGTAGTGAACATACCAGTGAAAATATAATAAAATACTCTTACTGACTACATGCAGAACCCATTCACGCACCCACGCAGCACTCACTCAAGCATATTCTCTATCCCACCTGCCCACCCACCCATGCACATCTATCATCCAAGCACCCAACCTGTCCTCTTACAAAGAACATCGCATTTCGCTCGTATGTGTTACATAAGGCCAAAAAATTGTCGTAGTAGAAAATGGTAGTGACTCGTAAAAGTGACATACTGTCCCATTTTCTGTTTTGGGTCCTCTGGTAGGTTAGGAGACGACACCTTAAATTGACCGTTTTCTTGACGTTGGGAAACCTTAGGAGGACAAGCTGATGTACCATAGTACCTGCCCCCCCCCCTCCCCTCATCACACAAACACCACCCACCTACTCCACTACCCTCCTATCCACACATAATTACTTACCCACACAGCACCAACCCTCACCACCGTCACATTCACATTACCCAACCAGATTTATTCTTTTTTCCCCCTCAATCTCTGTATGAATGTCCATACACTACAATATAAGTATTGTGTGTATCTTAGAGTGAACAAGAAAGGTCATTTGTAATTTTAACAAGATTGATCATAATATTTGTATAACTGAGTTATGTATGTATGTTATAGGAAGGGAAGAAGATGGTCCGATACCGTGATAACAAGGTTGTGAGTATTAAAGGAGAGCGCTATACAGAAATAAAGAAGGATGAATCCACTGATATGAAGAAGACATATGTGCACCTTAAACCAGGTAAACAGTATCGATTCCACTGATCCACAGGGTACAAACCTTACTACATCGACGCTGCCCATTATCACCTGTGTGAAAATAAGGCAACAGGCATGGGTCAGGGCGGTAAGGTTTGTTTTTGTCATCGTTGTTGGAATAATTTATGTTGCAGAGCGAGTCCACAGTGTCAGAGAAGAGGTGGACATGTAGAAGGCTTAATTGATATCTTAATGTTATTTGTGGGTTCCAAGGAACGTTTAGTATGTAATCTCTTTAGAATTCTCATAACTTTTCAGTGTTGTTTGTTAGTGTTACCTAGTTACTGTATTGATGTCAGTAATTGTATCATTTTGTTGAAAATGCTTCGTAGATACCAAAGAAATCGAAGATCTGGTGATGTAACTAATGTCAGAAGAAGCAGTGGAGTGAGAGTCAGAAAATATTATAAAAAATACTCAGTGTTATTACCCGACACGGTGGATCTAGCGCCAAAAACTTTATCAAAAAACTCTAAAAAAATTTACCAAATCATAATTTATTATATATTGAAACAAAAAACTTATCTCATAATTGATATTCTGTGGTATGTGAGGATTATTTGTAAAATATCACTATTTAATAAGATACTTGTATTTTCATATGTAGGTCAGTTTTTTCTTAAAATATACAAACGAGCAAATCTTAGGTAGTAAATTAAATCACGACTGTAAATTTGCATATCTTTGTCACATCTAATTTCTGTTCAGGTAATGGAAGACATATATGGATAATTTTATGTCAAGCATTAAAACAGAAATGAAAATAGTTTATCAATTGGCAATAAACTTTGAAGAATATAAATATATAAAGTAAAATAAAGTGGGTGGATGTGAATAGGTATGTAAAATTTTAATTATTTGTCACTTTGCACACAATACATTTTATTAAGAAATACATTTTTTTGCCCAGTGGGGCTTAAACATGTACCAGTATAGTTACTGTTCTTCATAAACATTTCAACATTAGGATTCCTTCTCGTTCCAAATTATTTTGTCACAAATCTGCAAATATCTTTGTTTGCTTTCCTAAGTGTAGAATATTGTGGTTTCTGTCAGCTATTATACCTATTAACTTAAAAGTTTGTTTTAAGTTCAAATATCAAGTTGTGTGATGTGGAAAGCACAGCTTTTATTTTATTGATATTATTTTTTTACTTGTGGATACAGTTGATTATATTGTAGTTTCCAAGATCAACACGACTCAAACTCTTGAGTGTTGTTCTCCTTCCATATGTCTCAACGTTTTAGTGTTTTGTGGGAAGTGTTGCCCTCAGAACTGAAGGACGGCCATTTGCAGTGGAATCCTCAAAATATTGTGTACAGTATATCAGTAGAACCCGAGTTTTCAAAAGGTTCTTTCGAGCAAAAGCCGAGATTAACTATATATTCTCTGTAATTCATTTATAAAAAATTTAAGGTATTTTTCATTAGGCAAATTTATGATTCCCTAAAACATTTCAAATACAAAAATTACATATACCACTTTGTATCAAAATGTGTATAAGTATTGGTGTGGTTGCAACTAAGACCATCTCTCATTGCTATGTAGGTCTTACATAGTCAATTTGTTCCATGTTAATGTAGCGTGCCATTAATATGCGGAATGCAACAGACTTTGGCTATGTTCAGTAACCAGTCTCATATGGAATAGTGCTTGTGTTCTCACTATTAAACAGTGTTTACATTTTCAGTAATAGGTGCAATTATATTTTTTCTGATATTGCAGTAATTTTGTAACAATTTACAACATATTGTAGATGTGAGACATTACTTTTCAGCTCGACTAATTTTGGGTATGTATATTGTACTGTAAATGTACATTTTGAAAGTAATGTATGTAATTATTGCAATCTAGCCTCCAAAAATGATAGTACCTATAGTTGTTAGGGATAGAATGTACACAAAATCCATGTTTTTGTGGTATTGATTTTGAAGGGGGGCTTAAGAAGGCAATATCAAAGCCTAACTTTTCCTAGGCCTAGTATTATTTATATATATATGTATGTAAAAATCAGAAAGAGCTCCTGCTGTGAATGGGTTAAACTTTAGACTAACGGGTAATGAACACCTTGACAAGTCAAGTACTCTGACCAAATGGCTACCAGACTATTAACCACTGCACTGCTCTGCATTAAAATATGACAAACCCGTGGTGCGCCGAAAATAAATTCTTTCCAAAAAATTATTTTCTTTTTATATTGTTAAAATACAGTCTCTGATCATGGGAAACTAAAAAAAATATTGCATGTGACATACTTTAGCCGTGATGGAGCTGGGAAGTTGAGCATATTATGAGCGCTCAAGGTCACTAGGCCCCGCCTCCCCGTGGGGCGGCAGTTGCCGCAAATATAATCTTCCAAAATTATTCTGATGTTTCTCATTCGTTTCTTCTTTGGTTTTTGCTGTAATATTATCCAAAAGTGTGTAATTTGTGGAATTTATATAGTTCAATGTGTGGAACATCGCTATGCTCTAAATTATGGGGCTCGTATATGTGACATGTACAGTATATTATATTCTATGATCAATCAAACAGTCATTTTGCTGTTATTACACTATATATATACACACACACACACACACACACACATTGTATATACCTATCTACATATGTGTTCACCATAACGAACCACTAAGTTGGTTTGGTGAGCCCATAACAAGAGTGGCTGCGACACAGCAGCTAGCAGACTCCTGGCTGACTCCCCTCCCTCCTTCAACACCCACTCACCAAAATTCCGCCTCCCACCATACTGTTATCATTTTTATTACACTACACATGTTATATATAAGTATCTACATGTTTTGTTCACCATAGCAAACCACTAAGGTGGTATGGTGATTCCAGACAATAACATGTTGCCACACACCAGCAAGCAGACAATGCTATCTTGACCCTCCCTCCTTCACCAAGATTACTCCTCCAATCATACTACACACATTGCTAATTCTCACTACAATCCTGCTATTATCAGAATCCTGGTCACTAAATCAGGTAAATGAATAACTTTCCACGTGTTTATTTTGTAAAGGAACACAAGAAGTCGTTTGAAGAATTTTAGATGGATTAAATAATGGCAGTGTGCTGTGGCTAGCGCTGTGAACATCATAAACATCATTTATTCACTGATATCTGAACATTGAACACAGTCTTTATCACAGTCTGGCTCTTCTGTAATACTATCATGGCTAAATAATACCAGATACATATACTGTATATTTGGACATTTTTAGGCGATGCTGCAGTCACAAGCTGAACATCGAGAGCCTCAAGGTGTGTTGCACAGTGCAGTGGTTAAAAGTCATCGGTAGCCAAAGCTATTTCCCTCCAGTGACTCAATAGCACTCAGTAGCCACAGACCACAATTGGGGCTCGAGGATACTACAGTCCACATTTTGTACATTCTATGCTTAGTAGTTATAGGTACTGTCTATGCTTAGTAATCAGAATCATGTGGAGACCCACCCCCCATTTGAGTTAGTCGAACGTTCAACTTTTCTGTATTTCTCACCAGGAATGTCCAAAAATGAACATTACAATAATTTTTGGAGGACTGGTTTAATTATTAACATTATGTATATCCAAATTGTAAACATTCCAGTGGCTGTACATTTAAGTATTAGTTTGGAAGTTTGCTTCATGTGTGTTAGATATAAGGATATGCAACATTATCATTAGGCATGCATTTTTTTTTTTTTTGTATTGACAGCTACAGTTTTATGATTCAATTACTTCTGTTCCCTTTTTAGGATTTTGTGATTTGTAGTGTTATGTTTGTAGGGTTACATTTTTGTGTATTACATATTATGTTTGCTTTACAGGTGCCTGGCTAGTCTTCACAATATGTTGATGGTCATGCAGTTATATCTTGTGTGATGCATTAGTGTCATGACGTGGGATACAATATGTTGATGGTCATGCAGTTATATCTTGTGTGATGCATTAGTGTCATGACGTGGGATACAATATGTTGTTGGTCATGCAGTTATATCTTGTGTGATGCATTAGTATCATGATGTGGGATACAATATGTTGTTGGTCATGCAGTTATATCTTGTGTGATGCATTAGTGTCATGACGTGGGATACAATATGTTGTTGGTCAAGCAGTTATATCTTGTGTGATGCATTAGTATCATGACGTGGGATACAATATGTTGTTGGTCATGCAGTTATATCTTGTGTGATGCATTAGTGTCATGACGTGGGATACAATATGTTGTTGGTCATGCAGTTATATCTTGTGTGATGCATTAGTGTCATGACGTGGGATACAATATGTTGTTGGTCATGCAGTTATATCTTGTGTGATGCATTAGTGTCATGACGTGGGATACAATATGTTGTTGGTCATGCAGTTATATCTTGTGTGATGCATTAGTATCATGACGTGGGATACAATATGTTGTTGGTCATGCAGTTATATCTTGTGTGATGCATTAGTGTCATGACGTGGGATACAATATGTTGTTGGTCATGCAGTTATATCTTGTGTGATGCATTAGTGTCATGACGTGGGATACAATATGTTGTTGGTCATGCAGTTATATCTTGTGTGATGCATTAGTGTCATGACGTGGGATACAATATGTTGTTGGTCATGCAGTTATATCTTGTGTGATGCATTAGTGTCATGACGTGGGATACAATATGTTGTTGGTCATGCAGTTATATCTTGTGTGATGCATTAGTGTCATGACGTGGGATACAATATGTTGTTGGTCATGCAGTTATATCTTGTGTGATGCATTAGTGTCATGACGTGGGATACAATATGTTGTTGGTCATGCAGTTATATCTTGTGTGATGCATTAGTGTCATGATATGGGATGCAATATTAACATTACAAAAGTTTAAATTTTGTTTTTCACATACTTATATACCTTGTTAATTTGTTTTGTTTTTAATAATATTTATTTATATACTTATATGTTTAAAACATTTTCAGCAGCTTTTATAATTTGTGGTAACTAGTAAGACAACTTCGTATATATATTTTTAGATTACAAGTATATTTGAATTTTCGTTAAGAAGATAGTAATTGTTACGTTTTATATTTTTGCAGCTAAACGAAATGTTTCCATTTTATTTTGTTTACATAATTTGTGTGTATCTTTTATATCACATTATCTGTTAAGTAAAAGTTTAAAAGAAAATCTTAATACATACATAAAAAAATAAAGAAATACATACATAAAAAATACGGGATGCAAGGAATCTCAGAGGAATTTGAACACCTGAATTATGTAAGTTCATCCAACCTAAAACCTATACCTGAAAAAATCTATACAGTGTATTAATGTAGTTACTAAAGTTAACATGCGACAAATTTAATAAATTGTGCGTAGCTGTGTATCTAGTCTTGGAAGTCGGGTAAAATTATCTTAGAGGTCATGGCATGCTGAATATATTTATAATAATAAAAGATATTATAGCACTTACACATACTGTAATAAGTAAAGATTTACATACATCTATGCCATACATACACTTTTTAGATTTACAGTATTAAAAAAAATTGCTTGAACTGCCAGTTTGAGCCCTGTACTATCAATCTATCCAGTGATCTGATTATATTTTTATTCATGCATTCACCTCATATGCTTGCTGGTCAAAATTTATTCATTTTCATTGAGATTCATGGTTTCCATGACAATCAATCTTACTAGAGTATAGTATAGTAAGGGGCTCAGGAATTTTGGCTAATGCAAAAGTTGCCTCTAGAATAAATGTATTAATTACTTTTTTATGATAAAAAGTATAAAGTATTACAACTTTTTAAGCTTTATGATTCTTGTCAGAATTCTGACCAATATTTTGTGATTCTGACCTTGAATTGACTTAACATCCTCCAGCTTTTGCACTTCTGTAGACCCCTTTATTTTAGCTGAGTTAATTTGATTATGATTACCTATAACATGTATTACTTATAATATTTATGTAATTGTATATCAGAAAATATATAAGTTGTATGCATGTTTTTAAATTAATATTAAGATTTTTTGACAATGTTAGGAGGATCATTGGAGTGCTGAAGGGAATGAATCTTCTGAAATTATGCATTATTTATTTACCTTATTTGATTAGGTGCATTTTTCTTCATGATAACTATAAATATGTCTGTGTTAGCATGATTATAGTTAGGGATAGTTTCTTTTAGAAGCCTAAGTTAGTCTGGCTTCAAAAGTTAGGAATGAGGTAGGTGATTATAGTGAGCTGGAAAACAGTATTGATGAGCGAGGTAATGTGGTGCAGTGACTACGCGTCTTCACACGGTACAAAGAAAATGGTGGTGTGCATCATATTGCGCTTGGCGTTAAAGTAAATTTTTATATAAACATAAACATTTTGTGGCTGATATTGAACATGTATTTTAAGTACATTTTTGTGTACATTAAAAGCTGACCTAACCATCTAACCTTGGGCTATATTTTAACAAATATTCTTTAAACTATATGTACAGATTAATAATAGGTGTTGTAAAATTATATGACAATTTTGTTTACACAATTGTATTTAATACATAAAATATCACACAGTACTACAAATTCATCATTTCATGAGGATTGGTTGAATGTGAGCGTAGCAAAAAAAAAAAAAAAAAGCATTGGTTGAAAGACTTTTTATCAATTTAAACTTTCTCCAGGATTACTCTAGCCAGCTGGTTATACGTAATGTGTCAGTGTGTGATATGGCAACCAGGATAAACTGGATCTTGCTAGCAAGACTAAATCACATTGAGTAATGTTATTCCTTATGGAAGGCAAGGGCTTTAACTTACTAAAGAATCACAGGCAAGAATACTTATGTGAATCCTTATATTTAAGAAATCACATCTTAAGGATTGGGGGCAGGATCCTGCCCCCACGACTATCCCGAGGCTTCCGCTGAAGCCTAACCGGGGTTTCACACACTTCATGTCACATTATATAAATACAGTATAATGTGATTTGATATATCACATTATTGTGATTTCTGTGTATTGAAGACCAAGTAATAATAGTTCTGTTGAATTTAAGATAAAATAAAAATTTCACTTATTTTAACACTTTGGCGCACCCCGCTCGCCACCCCTCAACTGTGCGATATGGGACCCAGGGTGTCACGGGAGTGCGCGTAAATTTTGAAAAGTGTATACTCTCTTCAACTTTGTCACCTTAATTCTCGTCCTACGAGATTAAATTTGGTATCATTGTGTTCGCAATAGAATTCTCTACAGCACTAAATGCATATAAACTCCAAAAGCCCGGCTAATTATCCACAGCAAACAGAGAAAGTGCGAACGAGTTACCCAGGAGTGCGCAAACGCGATAAAATGTTTTCACTATTTTTACTCTGGTCACCTCAATTTTTATCCTAGGTCTTTCATTTTGGTCTCAATGGGTTCACAATAGAATTATCTAGAGGAACATTAGCATATAAAATAAAAAACCTGGTCACGCTCCAACCGCCGACGAGTTGAAGACGGGCCACGCGTTAGCCGCGAGTGAGTGCTCAGCCGCCTTCCAGCTACACTCCCAATTCCCGCCCTTTTCAAGCCTTTTTTTCGCAATTTTCTTCCTGGAAGGGCCTTGTTCATGATCACTATCCATCGTGGAGTAAGCGTAGATAGTTTCTAAAGCCGCAGTAAGAAATATAGCCACGGAAAATAGCCGAAATGTTCACACGTTTGAGATGCGAGGGGAGGCGACATTGGTCACAACAGTGGAGCGAAAACAATGGGCCCACGGCATGTGCCAAGCCGCCTGAGGGCCACGAGGCTCAACAAAGAAAATGGGAAGACATCGGCGTGCATTTTAAAACCAGTCCTAAAAAAATCGGATAAAAACCTGATTTTTGGCGATTATTTAAAGTGGATGACGCAATGCTGCGTCATGCCCGGGCGAAAGTGTTAAGTATGGAACTTATTAATATTTTTATATTTTTCAAATGAACTGTGTTTGAAGGCATTTATGAAACCATAGATTCCTGAGGATATGTGGGAGTTTAATGTAAATTGCTTCTATACGTGGTCAAATTTTTATTTGGGGGAAGGGAGAAACAGTATGCCATTGTATTTTTTATCTCGAGTTTTGCAATGGGTTAATTCATTCTTCATCTTGAGCTTGTCTCATTACCAAGTACATGTGATATAATCGTGTCTGATGTGCTGCTGTTATATTTATTGCTTGGTATCCAAAAATGAGATGAAAAATTACAAAAATAAGAAAAATGGAATTGACAGCATAATCCATTGGCAATGACCAAGTGCCTGGAACTAAGATTAAGAAAAGAAGCAGTGGCAGCTGCAACAGAAGACTTAATAACCAACTTCCAGCTAACTCGGGGACCTGCAACAAGAAAAATATAAATACAACAACATCAATTAATTGATTTCAGTTTTAAGCCAAAAGCTATTAAAAATCCAGGAAACAAAGTTCCTAAATATTCTATGTGGTTGTGTTGACCAAACCACACTAGAAAGTGAAGGGACAACGACGTTTCGGTCCGTCCTGAACCATTTTCAAGTAGATTGTCAATCGACTTGAGAATGATCCAGGACGACGGATCGAAACATCATCCCTTCACTTTCTAGTGTGTGGTTTAGTCAACATATTTCAGCCACATTATTGTGACTCCTTGTCTGCATATGTGGTTGTCATTGTACACTAGAGACCTTTGGCAATCGTCTGCTGTATTGTGGGGGAGGGGGTAATCCTGAAAACTTAAGCAACGTTCCTGGCTTACCATTTTAGGTGCATCACCATCCATTTACTGATGCCTGTCCTTGGAAATACTGATACTGCAAATTTTCAGGAACTTTTATGGGCCAGGAAGATATTTGTGATGAGAAATCTATTAAAATACAGTAGTTGAAAATTTATTTTCAGAATGTCGTCAACATTTCTTCACCTCACTATGACCAAACTAAAATAATTATAATAGATTTTTCATTTCGCCCAACTTCAAAAATTAATGCTTTGATATAAAAAACCAGCGTTGAATGTAATGAAACGCCATTTTCTGGGTGAGTCCCGGAGGCTCCCTGGAGCTATCCCAGGCTGATATGCTAATGTCAGACTTTGGCATCAGTCATGTGTATGGAGTTCTTAGGCCTACCGGGGACCACGGCCAGAACCGGGCCCCCTCAGAGAGGCAAGGGGAGCAATGGCCTATAGAAGCCCCCGTGTAGTTGGAAGCATTCTATGTCTGCCATCGACCGGAACAGGCACCCAGAAAGGTAAGCGCCCCAAAACAAACCCCTATTCTGGTTAAAATTGCTACCTAAAACCGAACTAGTGGATAGAACTCCCCAACCGAAAACAAGCAAACTAGTGTGACGTCACACACTGCCGCGCCGCTGTCTGCGCAGCTCCCCCCCTCCCCGGGAGGGGGAAGGGGGAGCCCCAGACCCCCCCGCGCCGGCTACCCACACCTCAGTTCTTGAGGCTGGATGTCAAAAACGCAAAAAACCGCCGACCGGAGGGAGGGACGGATGCCGGGGAGCCTCCGGGACTCACCCAGAAAATGGCGTTTCATTACATTCAACGCTGGTTTTCTGGGGGGAGCCCCGTCGGCTCCCCGGAGCTAACTACCCACAGACAGAAAAAGAGGGACTTACCCGGGAGGCGGTCGTCGCTCACCCCTCAACTCGAAGCCGAGACAACTGGCTGCAACCGCCGACCCAAAGCAACACAGGCCCGACGAGGCCCAGGGACATTCACAAGGTAACGAGCAGCCAGGACCCTGTTCGACCGCCAAAATCCCCGCGCCCCAATATCAGACCAAGACATATTCCCAAAGACGGCAGCAAGAGCCGCGAACTTACGAACGTCATGGGCACGGGGATAGACCGCAGGCTGGCTGGACCTAATAACCCTGCGGACGACCTGAGAGACCCGAACCCGCGAACAGGGAAGAAGGGAAACCGGATCAACCCACAGCGCGTCCCCGGACACAGAAGCTGTGGCGCGCAAATAACGGCGAAGCGCCGCAACCGGACACAAAACATGATGCACCCCCGGCCTGACCAACCAAGCATCAACCACCCATGGACCCCTCCGGAACGCAGCAGTCTCATTCTTCGCCAGAAAAGAAGGAGACGGCTGCAAACGAACAAAACTATCACCACGACCAAAAGAGCAGAAACCCCTGCGCCGGAGGAGAGCATGAAGCTCCCCTACCCGACCCCCAGAGGCCAAAGCCAACAAGAAAAGTGCCTTGGAAAAACAATCCTGGACCGAAGGGGCCACAACGAAACGAGGAGATGAAAGGAAAGCGAGCACTCTGTCCAAAGACCAGGACGGCTCAGGCGACACATGAGCAGGCCGGAGGTGAAACAATGCACGAGACAGCTTGCGAAACGGCGCAGACGTAACATCGATACCGAAAGCAAGCTGAAGCGGCTCCGCCAGCGCCGCACGATACGAAGCGACAGTGTTAGGCATAAGATGACGGTCCTGAAACAACCACGAGAGGAAGGACAAGACCACCCGAACAGACAAGGAGCTAAGACGACGAAGACGCAAAAAGAAACGGAAGGACCGCCAGGAAACTTCATACTGCCACCGAGAAGAAGCCCTCAGGTGGGACACCAACAAGGAGGCCACCTGATCACCATAGAGATGATGATAGACTCGAGTCAAAAAAACCATACGCGAAGACTCGAGGAGAAGATCGAACCAGCTACGTGACGTACCGGCCCATCTGCTGAAAGAGGCGGAGCCGCGGGAAAACCCTCGGGTTCGGACACCGAGCAACCAGCGCCTGAAACCAAGGCTGGGCCGGTCACCAAGGGGCCAGAAGGACAACTCTCCCCCGGTAAGTCTAAGCGAGTCAGGACCTGGAGCAACAGCCGAACCGGGGGAAAGAGGTACAGGAACCCCCACCTCGACCAGTCGAGCCGAAAGGCATCGACCCCGACGGCCTCGCAATCGGGGAAGGGCGCCGTATAAACTGGAAGACGCCTCGACCACGCCGACGCGAAGAGGTCCACCTCGGGGCGCCCGAACGTCTGGCAAAGCCAACGGAAGGACTCGTCGTCGACCGTCCACTCCGTGGAGAGGGGAACGAAGCGAGACAGGGCGTCGGCCAAGACGTTGGACACGCCCCGTACGTGAACCGCCAGGAGAGCCAAACCCCGAGAACTCAGCAGACGAGTCACCCGAAGCGACCAACCCCAAAGAGACAAGGACCGCATCGAACCCCCGCGGTTCAGGCAATGAACCACCGGAGAGCAGTCCGAATGGAGCCAAATCGTCGATCCGCGGGCCACCCGAATCCTCCCCAGAGCAAACCACACTGCCGCGAACTCCCGCACCGTACTGTGAGCTCGACGGAAGGACGGATCCCAACGCCCCTGGCCGGCCTGGTGAGCACTGGTCACAAAACCCCAGCCGAGAGACGACGCATCCGTGTACACATCGAGCGAGGGCTCTGGTAGGCGCCAAGGCACTGAACCCCGAAAAACCCGAAGAGGAAGCCGGTGACGCAGCAACCGACGCAAGTCCCCCGGGGGTCGAACTCTGCGATCGCGAGAGGCGGAAGGGGGAACCCCGAAGGAACCAGAACAGCCGTCGAAGCCAAACCCGACCCGGCGGGTAGACCACCATCGCGAAGTTCAGGCTCCCGCACAGCCCCTCGAGCAACCGCCGGGTGACCCGAGGGCCCTCCAGAAACAGACGAAGGCGGGACCGCAGCCGCAGGAGAGACTCCGGAGGGAGAGACAAGGAGGCGGTTTGAGAGTCCCACACGAGACCCAGCCAAGTCCGAACCTGAGAGGGAACCAGATGGGACTTCCTCCAGTTCACCAAGAACCCGAACCCGGCGAGCTGGGAAAGAACCAAATCCCTGGCTAGCAAGCAAGCTGACTGGCTGGGAGCCCAAACCAGCCAGTCGTCGAGGTAGGCCAACACCCGAACACCTAGGAGATGCAAACGAGCCACCACAACCCGTGTAAGGCGTGTGAACACGCGAGGTGCCAGGTTCAACCCGAACGGGAGACAACGAAAGCGGTAACTCAGACGCCCCACTACAAAACCGAGCCAGTCCCTGAACCGCGGATGAATCGGGACATGCCAATAAGCGTCCCGGAGGTCCAGGGACACCATCCAAGCTCCCGGCTCCAAGAGGAGCCGAACCTGAGACAGCGTAGTCATCCGAAAGGAGGGGCAATGAACCCAGGGGTTCAGACGGGACAAGTCCAGAATGAACCGCAGGTCCGCGCAGTCCCGTTTCGGAACGGGAAACCCATCTGAGGGACGACGTCGTTTCGACGACGCCCAAGCGTACCCACTCCAAGACGACTCGACAGAGCGCAGGGGAAGAAGCCTGCCCTGCCAGCCCCGACCCCCCAAAGGGGGGAGGGGCCACCCAACGCCACCGCAGGCCGCGAGACACGACCCGAAAGGCCCACGAATCGTGGGACCAGGCGCGGGCGAACAGCGCAAGCCGCCCCCCCATCGCCCCGTCAAAGGGGCAAACCGCGAAAGGGCCGGCGACCCTTACGAGACCCAGAACCCCGCACAGCGCGAACACCGCGCCGACCAGACGAGGGAGGGTCCGCAGGAGGAGCCAACCCCAAACCTGACACCAGAGGCCTACCACGACGAGAGGAACCCCGAGCCCTGGCACGACCTTTCCGGGAAGACCCACCCCGGGACCCCCGGAAAACCAACAAGTCCGACATCAGACGACAAGCCGCCGACGCAGCCTGAATAAACTGCGCCACAGCCGACTCCCCAAACAGGAGAGGACAAAAAGGTGAAGAACGCCTAAGAGCCAGAGCCCAAGCAGGTTCCACGGAGGAACCCAGCACCGCCTGCCGACACGCGAGACGGGAAGCGTAGAACAGGGAAACCGCATCCCGCAAAATCGGCGTGAACAGCTTCAACAAGGCAGCCGACGAACGCGCAGCCGAGGACAAGGTGCCGGACCCCGGGACTGACCCAAGCGTCCCCACATCCTCCACGAGCCAATCCGAAGACAGCTCCAGGAGGGAAAAGAACCGCAAGGCCGAACACAAAAAGGCCCCGAGCGCGCAAGTCCTCCACCACGAGCGCCGCCGAAAGGGAGGGAACCTGCACATGGAGCTGAATAACGCCCACATCGCGGGGAAGGGCAGGGGCAAACAAGCACTCATTCAGGTACTCAAGTTCACCCCCCAGGAAAACCTGAAGCACCGTGGAAGCTTCCCGCCACTCCAGCGTGCGGGAACGACAAAGAATGCCAGGAATCCAGACCAAACAAGGGGCAGTCTGCTAGCCAGGACGACTCCGGAACCTCGTAACGGAGCCAGAAAGGGAACGAAGTCCCAAACCTGAACGTGGACGGATCCATTTCCGAGGCATAATCAGGGTCACGCAGGAGGTAAGCTGCAAAGGCCGCTCGCACCACACCAGGTTGGATGCGATAAGCCGAAAACCTCCGGAAGGACGGAACCGACGTACCCGGGGGAACACGGAACCGTACCCGGGGAGGGGCCGACACCAAATCCAACTCGTACGCAGAGGGGGGGAAAGAAAACCCCACTCCTTGTAACAATAAGCTCCGCTCAGTGGGAAGAAAAACCCAGGCGGGGTCCAGCGGGGCCCAAGGCCCCCAAGTCAGCCCCTCCCCAGCCTCGAGGTCCGTCACCACAGGACCCGAGGCCGAGTCCTCTCCCCAAGCCCCGACCCCACAAGACAAGGACGGAGCAGCCGGAAAAGCTGGAGGAAGGGGGGCCCACTGGTCAGACCCTGAAGCTTCGGCCGGGAGACAAGACTCGAATGCCTCTGCCACCCCCCCGGAAGGGGCAACCCCCGAAGCTGCCCGAGTCTCGAGATCAAGTAACCCCTGCTCCGACCCCGAAACCCTCAGACGCTTCGGGGCCGGAAGCAGGGGCGGGGGACCAGAACGAACAGAAGGGGAAGGACGAGGAGGTGCGGACTGAACCAGGATCGAAGCGACCCCCACCCCCAAGTCCGGGTCTCTAAAAGCAAAGCGGGGCAGCCGCGGGGCAGCCCCGGGGCATCCGGGGAAGCAACCAACCGAGCGCGTTGCAACAGACGAAACCTAGACTGCAACGCACGTGCCGCCTGTACCCGAATAGAATCATCAGAGGATTGGGTAAATTGAGTCACAAGCAAGCAGCAACACTCACAGGACTCAGGGTCGAAAGTATCACCGACCCAACAGGCAGCGTGGCAGAGGCAAAAACAATGAGGGTCACCCTGAGACAAGGGGACCGAGCAACCCTCAAACTCGCACACAGCGAGTGGGGACTCCGGGGTCACATCCATCGGACCCACGCGCCCCCTAGGGGATTCCCAGGGTCCTGAGCGTTTACTTTAAGAGGACTCGCGCTCAGGTAGTCCCAGGCAGGGTGCTGCAAACCGGCGCCCAAAACTACCAAGCAAACTTCTAAAGCTGAACCCCAGGGACGTGTACACTCACGGGGACCTAGCAGGGGGCGCCACCGAGGAGAACAGTGGAAGGGCAAAAACAAACTGAATAAAATGACAGAACCCCCCACCAGGCAAAAACAAAAAGAAAAACAAAACCCCGCAAGAGGACAGCGAACCCCAAGGAACAGAGCCGGCCGCGATGTCGGGAATTACAAGCTGAGCAGCACCCTGCGCCCCTACCAGTGCAAACTGCCTCTTACCTGCCGGTAACAAGGGAGAACAGAACACCCAAGAGCCCAACAGGCGGCCGAAAAACCGAAAGGTAAAACGGACCAGCAGAGGCAGACCCCGAGGAGCCTGTGGAAGGTGGCCCCAAGCCCCAAGGGCAGTACTTACAGGGCACCTAGGGAAGGCAGCCCTAGGCGCATGCAGCCCGAGTACTGAAGATAACTCCTGGCTCTCGCACCCACAAAACTAACACCACACTCAAAGCACAGTGCAGTAGCGACACCGGAGCCAGAGCACACGACCATCGCCTATAGCATCAGCCTCAAGAACTGAGGTGTGGGTAGCCGGCGCGGGGGGTCTGGGGCTCCCCCTTCCCCCTCCCGGGGAGGGGGGAGCTGCGCAGACAGCGGCGCGGCAGTGTGTGACGTCACACTAGTTTGCTTGTTTTCGGTTGGGGAGTTCTATCCACTAGTTCGGTTTTAGGTAGCAATTTTAACCAGAATAGGGGTTTGTTTTGGGGCGCTTACCTTTCTGGGTGCCTGTTCCGGTCGATGGCAGACATAGAATGCTTCCAACTACACGGGGGCTTCTATAGGCCATTGCTCCCCTTGCCTCTCTGAGGGGGCCCGGTTCTGGCCGTGGTCCCCGGTAGGCCTAAGAACTCCATACACATGACTGATGCCAAAGTCTGACATTAGCATATCAGCCTGGGATAGCTCCGGGGAGCCGACGGGGCTCCCCCCAGAAAAGAAGTTTTGTTTAGAATTTTTTATGAACATTTAGAAAGGAACCCTCCCCCCCCCCCCAACAAAAAGGGGGGGGGGGTTAAAAACTTAAATTCATGGCAGTCAAGTTAACTGGCACAACCATATACAGTATTAGGCACATTTACATTACATTTATTCCTATCTTGTTTTTCATGCTTTTCAATGCTTTCATTGCACCAGTTACTTTCTATTACTAATTGAGCCTACTCTCAACTTTGAATGCACAAATTTTCACTTTTTATTACTCAAGCTGTACATCCCAGGTACTTAACTGATTGACCACTTCCAGTACTTTATCATTTGTGTTTGTTTTACACAAATAATTTTTCTTCCTTTCTTTCTTGACCATAACTATACAGTATTTTGGTTCAAACTCATAGGTAATTATTATATCAAATGCAATAACATTTCCATCTACCTACATAACATTTCACATACATATTATGCTCCAATTACTCATATAAGAACTATACAATAAATTTCTACTTATTTAATTATTATTACAGTAATTATTATAATTATTAATATTCTTACCTTATTAATATTCTTATCTCCTACATTAATATCAGCCCAGTCACCCATTTATTCTCACTGAGGGTGCAAATCATACAGTGAATGTAATGTCGTGACCTTCCTGGTTGTCCCGTCTGTAGTTTCAAGTACTTTAAGCACTGGTACTGCTAAGCCTTCAGGTTGTACCAGGCCTCTGAGATTTACGCAAACCTACTGAGAACCAGGACCAAAATCCGGCTCGCTCAACAAGGTGAAGGGAAAATGGCGATGAGAGATCTATCTAAAAATTAAGAAAACTGACCTGAAAGTCCAGAAACAAAATGGTGCAATGATGGTTAAGATGCATAAACACCTGAAGCCCCAACTTTCATGGCCACCCTAAATGGCAACCCAGGGTCCTTATCCTTCACCCACCTCAACTCATGGGCTGGGAATGACAGCCCAGAGGTCTAAGGGAATCAAAATGGCATACAGCCCTCACAACAGTACCAGGAGTGGGAGTAGAGTTTTACCTTATGTAGATTGGGGTGCCATCTATTGGCTGCAATGCAAATTGGAGATAGGAATTTTCACCCATTTTCAACCATGCTTTGTATTGTTTTCCTCATTTCATTTGTTTAGTGGGAAGAAGATGCAAAGCTCATTACACCACACAGTGGTGGGATCACCACCTACTGTACATAGATTAATAGGGGATGTGAAAAGAATGAAACAGCCATCAGCTTGCACATTCACTTTTTTTTGTAAAGAGAGTGGTAGACAGTTGGAACAGGATAGGTGAGAAGGTGGTGGAGGCCAAAACTGCCAGTAATTTCAAAGCATTATTCGACAAAGAGTCCTGGGAAGACGGGACACCATGAGCATAGCTCTCATCCTGTAATTACACTTAGGTAATTACATACAAATAAGAAAGGAAGAAACATTGTGAAGAAAAATATTAAACAGCAATGTGAAGAAAATAGAACAGACTCCCAATTGGCATTAGTGTAAATGTTGACAAAGATAAGAACCATCACTAGAGGAAATGAGAAATTGACCTGAATTTATCTGAGGGCCACTAACACTAGTGGCTTCAACAAGGACAGAAAGTCAGCAGGAAATGTTGCATATAATAAGAAAAAACAAGAACTGCTTTTTGAGATTATATCAATATAATGCCTTTCACTTTATTAACAAAATACTACACTTAACAGAACAAATCTTGCCTAGCACCACTCTGCTACAAATTTTATATTTTTTACGGTAATTCTAAACCCTGTAAAGTGCAATGCACTTACTAGAAAAATATTTTGAATAGGGAAAAGGAGGCACTGTAAGTGCAATTACAAAATTCATTGGCATAAAGAATTTGCAAGTACAGTACTACATAAGGTAAGCTAAAGATGGCTTGTAGAATCTCTTGAAAAAAGATGAATGGCCAGATCCATTCAGTAATACAGTATACAAAAATTAAACTAAACAATTTCTTCAATGTTTTCAATTAAAGCACTGTACAGTACTGTACTAACCTTTTCTTCCAGATTTCCAATGTATCCTATGTAGAGACGAATAACTTCAATCAGGGGCAAAGCGATGTAAATAGCAACCAGAATAAACTGGTAGAGATTGGTCACATACTGAAACTACACAAATTAATATTATTGATAATATTTTCATTTAATTGTGTATGAGTAATTTTACAATGTAAAATTCACCATTTATATGAGTTAATTTTAAAGCAATTATGAAGCCTGACAATAAAAAGAGAGAAGGAAGGAAGGAACTATCAAGGGAAAGTGCCAAGCCATTACGACTATATAGCACTTGGAAGGGGTCAGGATAAGGGTTGAGGATGGGATGGGGGGGGGGGGGGAATAAAAATAGAGAATTGAGTAATAATGAAAATAGAACTGAGAAAATGATCTGTACATTTTCAGATGTGAATATGGTTTAAATAAATGAATGTGAGAAATAAAGTACAGTAACTGAAGATAATATGCATGCACGGTACAGTTTTACTGGCAAACTGCAACACATGTAATAAATGGTTAATTTCTTTCAAGTTTTTTGTGCATAGTTTCTATATGAGGTTTCCTTAAAGATATTAAAGCAAGAAATGCTTTTAAGGAACAAGTATTGCAAATCAGACCAACCTTTAAAGTCATCATGACAACTGAGGTTGCACACCAACAGGGAAAAAAAAGTGCAGAGAAGTATATAACCATTTGCAATGGAAGACTTGATACCACCTCATTTCCTGGAAAATAATGGAGAAAGAAGCACTAAATACACACAAAAGTTATATTTATTTAAACCTGCATTACTATATTGATAAATGTAAAATCAACAAGGATTTTTATTATATTAAAACATACTGTATATGCATGTAATTGTATCGTAGTACAGTATGCACAAATTCATGTTAATGTTATTTGTATACAATATGTTTTTTTCATTTTTGGACTAAACAAAAGACAAACTGCTATTCTCCAGATACTACTACTACTATTACTACTACTCATAATAATAATAATACTACAGAAAGAAATCACATGAATGTAATGTATTACAGTAATGAGAAATTCAGTAGGAGCCATGTGAAGGTTTTGAACTTATGGTCTGGGTACTCCCAAGCTAATGCCATAGACAACTACACTACAAAATGGTCAAAAGCATCGCAACCTGAAAAGCAAGTGAATCCTCTAGGGTTCCTGAGGCTTCACCAAAGGAAAAATCAGGGTTTCACACATGCCCTCTGGCTTGCAGTCAAGTGTTCAAGTGTTTGAGCATTCAAATACTCAAACACCAATGTTATGTACTCTCACAACCCATTGTACCTTCTTGAATATAAATAAATAAATATATAAATAAAAAGAACTATTGTACTGTGTAATTTTGACCATAATATACATGGTTATATTTGCCAATATTTCCTTGCAAATGGATGATTGTGTCTTGCCATCTGGATAAAAACACCCGGAGTTCAGGAACATGGTTACTGCATGTACAGTGTCCATTCTGTTATCATTTTATGGAACAGAATCTCTTGAACAAATCCACAAGGGCCGTGACGAGGGTTCGAACCTATGTCCGAGAGGATCCCAGACGCTGCCTTAATCGACTGAGCTACGACATGGTAAAAGAAGTTCTACTGACCTTACTCGGATCCTGCAGCCTCTCCGAGACACAAACCAGGATTTTACACAATTCCCCCATGCACCCGAGCTCTATCAATAAGCTGTTATACCTCTTTGCCCTTACTTCATTACACACACAAATCACAATAGCCTGATGCCTCAAATGAACAAACATGAATTTTTGAAGCAACATACAATACCTTTAGGTAGATTGACGCTCTGGTCAAAGTGCACTCCCTCTACCAAACTATTTACACTAATGGTTCCCTACATCAATCCACTGGAACTGCTGGATGTACAGTTGCTCTGACAATGAGAGATGGCTCCTATTCTGAGTAGGGGAGCTTGTATAAATGACTAGGCCTCCATTCTTCAGACAGAAATATTTCCCACAGGAATCACACTCAAACAAGTGCTGTATATGTATCAAAAGTTGACACATTAATTGTAAGTGATGTTGCCATCTTTGATTGTACTCAAATCTTAAGACATAACTGGGATATAATTGTGTCTAAAAAGAAGACAAGATATAATAAAATAATCATTGATAGTCAGGAGTGTCTCCTGTGGGTCCAATCCCATATTGGCCTCCAAATGCATGATAGAACTGGTGAGTTAGCCAAAGCATGAGCTCTTAAAGAGGCAACTGATTACCATTTTGGATTGCCTTTGGGCCAACAGAGGGTAGAAATATACCAAGAACTTCAACATAATTTAGTAGATTTGAGACAAAGTGAAATTTACACTAATTATTCCATCCATCATCATACCACTATGCAGGAAGAGCCACATCTCTATTTGTCATCCAATGAAGTCAGCAGACTTCTCGACATTACTACAGCTAGGCTTAGGCTTGGCTACAAGTATGCCTGGAGATTTGCACACCTGCTGAAGTAGACCTGTAGAACTGTTCACATAGCTTACATAAAAAATGAGGTACTTAGTATTACCAGAAATCTTAACCAAATATCCAAAGTTTGCTTACTGTTGTTAGCCCACGCACATGATTGTAAACTTTCCACTGTCACCAGTTGGAAGGGTGTCGAGTGCATGATTCGTGACTATGTAGCTGGCTCACCACAGATATAAACTTCTTGGTTTAGAGACTGTTGTGTTTCAGTAATTGAACGAATTATGTTAAAATTACTATAGATATATTGGGTATACATTAAAATGTTTAGAATCTTGCTTAGCTAAATAAGTTTGGGGTTCAATTCTTGAGCCCATTATGTGCCTCTGTAACCTTTTCCACTACTGCCAATGGGGTGGGTATGGGGTACGGGATAGATAAAGAAACAAAATTAATTTAATGACTGGTTCAGTGGTGGTGCATGGGAACACCAGGCCCAGAACCAATATTAGACTTTGAGGCTTCTTTCCATAGATAACCTATTCAAAAAGTATTTAAAAAGTTCTTAATTCACCGTTAAGTGAAATTAAATGGTGATGGTGGTAAAAAACATTTCAAATATTAATTTTACTTTATACAGTACACTCATAAGAAAAAGCATTCATTTTCTTTACAAATAAAGATGCTCATAAAATATCTCATAAAAGATTATTAGTTATACAGTATCTCATAATCTAGTCAACATTAAAAGCCATTATGACACATACCGTATGAATTTTCACCAAGTTGACTAAATGAAACACCAGGGAAAAATGTTCCAGTTAAAGTCTCAACTGTGTTTGATACAAGTCGTCTTGCATTTCCTTGAATTCTGGACATGTTGATTGGTAAGCTGCCCAAAGTGCAGCTGAGAATGGTCTGTGCTTTTTATTATGAACGAACAGTAGCTGTGAATGGTCTTTGGTCTCTTTTTATGGATGAATAGCAGTTGATAAAGATCTGTGGTCTGTGCAAAGGACGGTCAGTAACTGTGAATGGTCTGTGGTCTATATTCTAGATTGTTTACCAATTGCAGCCGTCAACATATAGTTGTGGTCTACTATAGACGAATAGTTAATGTTAATAGCTTCAACTCGGCAGTTTTTTATTTTATTTTAATCTTGTGTATACAGTTCCTTAAATTACGACAGAAACTCCTTTAACAGCTAAGACTGAGGTAATGGACTTCTTCCTGGAGCACTGCACTACAACACGTGGAGGAGACTAATGTTTACAAACAACGTAACCCGCCGGAGGTGTTGCCATGGCAACTGTCCCATCATCCATGTGAATCTCTAGTTGGGGTTCATTCTAGTTGGGTCGCAGTGAAAATAATCATTATAATTATTAGATCTTTGTGTTAAATGTTCCGAAATCTTAGCGAAGTATCCAACATTTGCTGACTGTAGGTGCAGCATGCACATGACTGTAAAGCTGCCGCCCAGTTGGGTGGGTGTGCAGCAAGACTAGTAACTGTGTGACTCACCATAGATATAAAGTGACTTGTATAGTGACTGTTGTGAGCCTCTTGATGATCACTTGTGACACAAAAGATTATTGATGTGTGTATTTGTGTAGGTGATTAAATATGTATGTGTATGTATATATGTATGCGTATATATATGTACATGTATGTATGAGAGTGTGTACATGTATATATAACATTAATAATTGTGTAACTAGCGTCAAAAGATTGTTATTTGCTTAGCTAAACGAACTAGAGGGTTCAGTTCCTGAACCGATTCTGTGCCTCTGTAATCCTTTACACCACCGCCCACGGGATGGGTATGGGGTGCATAATATAGAAAGAAATTGAATTGAACATGCAGTTGATCTTCACCGGGGGGGGAAGGGGGGGGTAGGGACTCAATATAAGTAAGTCGGTGCTTTCCCCTGTCAGTGTGAAGTGTGGCCGTTTTCTCTGATGCTGACTAACGAACAAAGAAAACGTAGCTGGAAGATCAGCTGATTGACACTACTGATCAGTCAGGTGGACGAGTGAAGGAGCGCCAGAGTAAACAAACCTTTACCAGAGCTTCAGTCACAACACACTCTAAAAACCAAATTCAAGCAAGACGCAGCTCTCTCAAAATACTCCTCAGCGTCTAGCGCACACTAGGAGGAGGAGGAGACCTTCCACTTCGCGTGAAACAAGTGGCCACAGCAAATGTTAAATGCCTCCAAGTTAGGCCATATCAGAGTAATCTCAAAAAGAAATCAAATAACATAAATATTGCAGCCGGAGCTACTGAGTGATACCATCATCATATTCTCCAGCCACCGTAGAAATATTGAAGTTTCGTGCCACAAATTACCTTTATTAACAGTGTCTTACACAAACTTCACTCGTGTACCTTTGAGAGATGTGTGACCAAGCACCGCCGCTCAGGCAGTTACCGTGAGGAGAAAACTTTATTGCAGATTTGTCATATCATTAATGAGAGGAAGGAACTTAGAGAACCAGAAGTCAGAGCACAAGTTATAATGGCTGGCGAGTTTGATGCTGAGAAGCGAGACGAGATCTTGAGACAGACAGCTAAAGATTATGCTGCATATTTTGAAGTGGATGCAACCTCGGAGGTTAGTTTCTCGCTGTAGCCATTATTATAAGTTATGCTTCAATTTTATTTAGTTTTGTTTGGTACAGCTGGGAAAACTGGTCTTACTAAAAATTATAATAAAAATAGCAAATTAAAAAAGAATTTATGGCTGCATTTTGATCTTTGTTGATGACCGACATCAAGTTGGTTTTGCAATGATAAGGTGGTGGTAGAAAATATAAAGATTGTTAACATTCCACTTTTCTTCAAAGGCCTATAAACATGTAATGGATTGCAAACACATATTGTAGACATATTTTATCTAGAACCTCTTAAGATTTAAACTAATTCTAGATGAAATATGTCTACCCTCATTATGTATTGTAATCAAATAGGAATTCCAGTATAAACTTGAAAGCTGATTTAAGTTTACGACAATAATGATTTACTAATTTGAACTAGTTTAAAAAAAATATACAGTATTGCATTATTTGGATAGTTGTAAGTGCACCAGTAAGATCATAAATGATTTTAGTATGAGATCATTCACAGTAAAATATAAAATTTTGTTTAGATTTGACTTAATATCCATGTTGTTAGTCTGTCCTCTGCCACTTCCTGGTGCTATGCTGTACATATAGTCATACTGGCCAAGTACTTCATCCTCATATTGGCCTTAATAGCTAGAAATTGGTTTATGTTTCATATTGTTTATACCCTGTATAAATTACTAATTATTAATAATTATTATTATTATATCATTTATTATAATTATCACTATTATAATTATCATTATTATAATTATAATTATTACTATTATTATAATAATTATCACTATTATAATTATCATTATTATAATTATAGTTATTATTACAATTATCATTTATTATTATTATTATAATATAATTATCATTATTACAATTATCATTATTATTACAATTATCATTATTGTTACAATTATTATTATACAGTAATTATCATTATTATTATTATTATAATTATCATTAATTATTATTAAAAAATCTAAGAAAGTGCAAATATTCTACATAGAATTTGTTTATCCATTGTACAGAGATCCGCTCTTGATCGTGAGCTGGAATCAATGTTGACGAGATTAGAAGAATATGGCAGTCTTCTTGAAAGGGTACGCATAAAATTTTAGGGAATATTTGCTATCATCCATAAAATAACATTAACAAATTAAAGGCCTGTGTCTTTGTTTTCCTTGATTTCTTCTTTTATTGAATTAACAAATAGTTATTAGAAAATGCTAACTTTGTGAGGTATGGTTTTAGCTTGCCTATTTGAAGAATTCCACGGGGCACTGATTTGACTATCCCATAAGTGAAATAGTTGCTAATTGCTAACACAGAAACAATTGTCCTTCGATTTGAGTCAACATTTTACATGATGGGACAGTGATATGATTTAGATATAGATTTTTTATTCATGTAAAGGTATATACATTGAATTACATACATAATGTTGGATTTAAAGATAGAGATAGTACATACAATACCTAAAGCCACTAGTATGCATAGCATTTTGGATGATATATTTATATTATTGTACAGTATAAGTATTTCTTTATGCCTCTAAAACCTTTAATATTGTTGAACACTCAGCTGTGTAATGGTTAGTGGTTAGTGGCAAGAAATTTTATCTGGAAGAGGTGAAAAATCAAAGAAACAAATCACTATAGATTTGGTATCTTGATAGGGCTTCATTAGAGATTTCTTGTGTACAGTTATATTTGTTTTGTTTCTTCTCATTTTTTCTCAGGGTGTTTTGTTCAATATGCTTAAACATATTGGCTTGAAACATAACATACTTTAGCTACTTGGACTGGATTGTAGAGCGAAGGTCTTACTTCGTGCAGGTCAGCGTTCAATCCCGCAACCTTCCTAGTAGTTTGGCACTACTGTATTCCTTACCTCTGTCCTATCCCAAATCCTTATAGTCATTCTTTTCAAGTGCTAAATACTGTACTGTAGTCGTTTGGCAAGGTAATTATCAGGAGAAAATGCTAAGCCATTATGACTGTATAGCACTTGGAAGGGAAGGATTTAGGATAGGATGGAGGAAAAGAATAGTGCCGAACCACTTACATGGTTGGGAATTGAATGCCAACCTTCAAGTAGTAGAGTTGCTCATAGGTGTATTTGGCTTTTGTGTTTATAGGTTACAGGTAATTTCACTTTAACTTATCATCTAGTGGGCATAGTTATGTAGAGGTAACCAAGAACTCCATCTTTTGTTCTGTGGTCTGTGTCAAAGGAACTAGTGACTTACCCAAGTCACTTATGTTGACCTTATTTTGCATCCTAGTGAAAGCTCTTGTTGAACCTATTTTGCATCTAGGTCCTTGGTGAATAGGATGAAATACCTGGAAAATTTTCAGAACTGGCCTAGGCAGTATGCATTGCACCTTGCATTGCGATGATTTCGGGGCTCAACATCCTTGCGGCCCGGTCCTCGAGCAGGCCTCCTCCTCGACATGAGTCTAGATGTAACAGGACCTTGTTCTGTAGCCTGGTAGTGTTAATGTAACCAATCCTCTTAAATAGTACATCACATTTTGACACAAATCTGCTATGGCCAAAAAATTATGTACTGTACTATAAATCTTAGCTGCTTGGAAAATTGACTTGATGTCCACGTTTTCTATTTGTGGGTCCTTGGTTAGACTAGGTCCGGGCAGTTTAGTACATAATTTAAGTGACATTGTGAATACTGGAGAGGACAGGCTGGTTAGTGAGGCATTCAAGCTACTTAAGTTTAGAAAGAATAGTATATTTTGAATCAACTTTGAGCTTCATTACTACATTATAAATTATTTATTTTTTATCTTGAAACACAAACAATATGACATTAGATGGTAACATTATCATTATTGAATGTACCTGTATTCTATACTTATTTAAATACTAATTATATTGTATATTGTTTGATGATCTGTTGTCTTGAATTTTAGAGGGTTTTAATGAACCTGTTTCTCTTCCTTTAGTATAATAGTGTTATAATTTTTATTTTATCTAGACTCGCAGCGAGAGTCGACACACCATGGATGTGCTGGTTCCACAGGTTTATTCAAATTACCAGGTAAAAAATATTTAAAGGTGTAGTATGTTCATTTATTGAAAATATTGTTTAATAATACCTAACAAATTACCTGTATTTAGTTGCTCTTATGATATACAGTACTGTACATAGATGGTTCTTTCTGAAAAAGTTTTAATGTTTGTACTTTAGGCTCTTCAGCGTACCTTCCAAAGTATTGATCATTTGGAAAGATTAGTAGTACATGTCAAAGATGACTTGGTTAAGATGGAGACGTCTGTAAATCAAGCTGAGGCAGACATAGGCTCAAGTCATAGTTTTACAACAGTTATTAGGCCACTTTTCTTTGTGAGTAGAAAATGCATGTTTGTCTTTACAATTCAGTGACATCCAGTAATGATAAAATATCTTAAAGATAATGTAGATTCCTGTGGAAATAAGTTTGAGCATTTACCAATACAAAGCATTTATGTTAGTGTTGTTATTTTACATCTATTATATTTTTCAGAAGAAAGAACAGTATCCAATCAGAACCCCAACATCATCACAGCTGTCATTCAACCGTCCTACAATTTTTCATGCTGAAGATTATTTTGCAAGTGCTGTGGGCACTACTAACACTTTAGGTTTAAAACTGCCACAATAGCAAACCTACATTTACTTATGTAAATGTTGGTTGTTAGTATTGCCTTAATTTTATTGTTATTTGTTACCTTTCCTTATATTGTACAAGTTTTACACTTACTGTTCTGTCATTTATTATGATATTAATCAAATTTTTCAGAGCTTTTATAACACTAGTTAAGGAACTGAATGGTATCTTATGTTAGCAATATGTACATAAATGTTATTAAACAAACTACTCAACTCATTTTCCCTGAACAGTACATTATACTGTATTGCTATGCCTATGTAATCTGAAGCATCAGATAGTGTTTGAGTAAGGCTTCAGAGATCTAGGTATGAGTAACAAAGCCAGTGATATGTTCAATAATGATGCAATATTTATGAAATACATTATAAAGAAAATCACAAATTAAGAATTTTAATGGCGAGGAAAAAGTGCCTTTTTGAAGGTATGTAACACTATTGAACATGAAGCTTTTAGCTGGTAACAGATTATACAAATTAGTGTCCCCTTGAGTGAAAAAGCAAAAATAAATGTGCAGTATTTTAACATCAAATTGTATCATATAAAATTTTGCTGAGCTGAATATTTCCACCTCCCAGGGTACCATCCACTAGTCAGAGAGGACAAAGCAACAGAGCAAGTGGGGTAATGCTATCTGTGAAAGAGGACCTGAATGTTACCACCAATGAGGAATTGAACTCCATGGGGGATCCTCAGAGTCTGTATGGTGCAATATACTAGCTCAAGATGGAAAGAAACTGACAGTGGAAGTATCCTACAGGTCAGAACCAGCAACAGCAGAAGTTACTGATTCTGCATAATGTGATCAATGCAGCATCATAAAACCAAACTATTATAATGGGAGACTCTACCCATGAGACAAAAGATTCGGTAAGTCTATCATCGCAAGCAGAAGAACAATTTCTTGACCTGGTGCATAACTCCTCTCTCATACAACATGTGATGGAGCCCACTCAAGTTAACGTTCTTGACCTTGTGCTTACATCAGGAGATCAATAAAATTCATGTAGAGAAAAAGCTCGGGTCGGGTCTGGGGGGAAAGAGGTCTCTCCCCTGTCCATCCGTTCTCACCTAGTTGTGCTTGCGGGGGTTGAGCTTTGACTCTGGTCCTGCCTCTCAACTGTCAATCAACCAGGGTTGCCAGATTCAAATTGCTAAAAGTAGCGGGCTGACGGTCTAAAAGTAGCGAATTTGTAATAAGCGTAGCCAATTTTTTGTTTAGTGACTGATACGGGTTTCAAAGTAATCTGTTATGATATATAGAGTACATTAAACGATTTTTAATTATTTTATTAACATTATCTCTGCATATATATATTTAACCAATATGATAATAGGATAACTTACCAATATTTACTGTTTGAAGCTTTATGGGTGTGGAGTCCTTCCAGGTCTTTACAGTTGAAGATTACCAAGATCTTGATCTGCATCCACAACCTCGTTCTTGTATATTGCAGACTCATATTTAAGCATTGACGTGAGTGGTTCAAACGACGAGCATGTCAAATGTCCGAAATTTGACTCGTGGGTGTGATTTTTGAGCCGAATTTTGACTCTGCACTTATTTTCATTTTCAAATTACGACTTTTTATACCGAAAATATGCCAATTGCTGAAAACGGCGATTGGTCATATTTTGCCCAAACCCCCCTGCAGTTTTCAAAATATCTGAAATGTCGGAAATTTGACTCCTGAGCGTGATTTTTGAGCCGAATTCTGACTCTGCACCTATTTTCATTTATAAATTACGACTTTTTATACCGAAAATATGTCAATTACTGAAAACGGAGAGGGGTCATATTTTGCCCAAACCCCCCTGCAGTTTTCAAAATATCTGAAATGTCCGAAATTTGACTCCTGAGCGTGATTTTTGAGCCGAATTCTGACTCTGCACCTATTTTCATTTTCAAATTACGACTTTTTGTACCGAAAATATGCCAATTACTGAAAACGGCGATGGGTCATATTTTGCCCAAACCCCCCTGCAGTTTTCAAAATATCTGAAATGTCCGAAATTTGACTCCTGAGCGTGATTTTTGAGCCGAATTTTGACTCTCTGCACTTATTTTCATTTTCAAATTACGACTTTTTACACCGAAAATATGCCAATTACTGAAAACGGCGATGGGTCATATTTTGCCCAAACCCCCCTGCGGTTTTCAAAATATCTGAAATGTCGGAAATTTGACTCCTGAGCGTGATTCTTGAGCCGAATTCTGACTCTCTGCACCTATTTTCATTTTCAAATTACGACTTTTTACGCCGAAAATATGCCAATTACTGAAAACAGCGATGGGTCATATTTTGCCCAAACCCCCCTGCGGTTTTCAAAATATCTGAAATGTCGGAAATTTGACTCCTGAGTGTGGGTTTTTAACCGAATTCTGACTCTCTGCACCTTTTTTCATTTTCAAATTACGACTTTTTATACCGAAAATATGCCAATTACTGAAAACGGCGATGGGTCATATTTTGCCCAAACCCCCCTGCAATTTTCAAAATATCTGAAATGTCTTAAATTTGACTCCTGAGTGTGGTTTTTGAGCCGAATTCTGACTCTCTGCACCTATTTTCATTTTCAAATTACGACTTTTTACACCGAAAATATGCCAATTACTGAAAACGGCGATGGGTCATATTTTGCCCAAACCCCCTGCAGTTTTCAAAATATCTGAAATGTCCGAAATTTGACTCCTGAGCGTGATTTTTGAGCCGAATTTTAACTCTCTGCACTTATTTTCATTTTCAAATTACGACTTTTTACACCGAAAATATGCCAATTACTGAAAACAGCGATGGGTCAAATATTGCCCAAACCCCCCTGCAATTTTCAAAATATCTGAAATGTCTGAAATTTGACTCCTGAGTGTGGTTTTTGAGCCGAACTCTGACTCTCTGCACCTATTTTCATTTTTAAATTACGACTTTTTGTACCGAAAATATGCCAATTACTGAAAACGGCGATGGGTCATATTTTGCCCAAACCCCCCTGCAGTTTTCAAAATATCTGAAATGTCCGAAATTTGACTCCTGAGCGTGATTTTTGAGCCGAATTCTGACTCTCTGCACCTATTTTCATTTTCAAATTACGACTTTTTATACCGAAAATATGCCAATTACTGGAAACGGTGGTGGGTCATATTTTGCCCAAACCCCCCTGCAGTTTTCAAAATATCTGAAATGTTCGAAATTTGACTCCTGAGTGGGATTTTTGAGCCGAATTCTGACTCTCTGCACCTATTTTCATTTTCAAATTACTACTTTTTACACTGAAAATATGCCAATTACTGAAAACAGCGAGGAGGAAATTAGGTACTAATTAGGTAAGCTAAACATTCATTGGTTCCTCCATGGTCCATTGGGTCATCCCTTGCAAATGATATTCCATCTTCCAGTACTGACATTAAGGACTATCTTACAGGTAACTATCCACAGTCTCTGTACCTAAAGCCTATTAATTCCACTGACGTCAATGAGATAATCCTTTCCCTTAAAACCAAGTCTGGTGCCCTTGAGGAGATACCAACTTTAATTTACAAAAAAGCCTCCAGATCTTTAGCCCCTGCTATTGCTTTGCTCTTCAACAAGTCACTTGAACTCCAAACCTTTCCAGATATTCTAAAAAAAGCGAGAGTAACGCCTGTCCACAAATGTGGTGATCTCACAGATGTTAACAACTACAGACCTATATCAATCCTGCCAAACTTGTCAAAAATTTTTGAAAAACTAATCTATAAGCAGCTTTACTCATATCTAGCCAAACTCAATATACTTAGCCCTTTCCAATATGGCTTCAGACCCCAAAAAAGCACTAACGATGCACTTATTAGTATGCTTAACTCGATTCATACAGCTCTTGATAAAAATGAGTTCCCTGTTGGGTTATTTGTGGACCTGCGTAAAGCTTTTGATACTGTCAACCACCAAAACCTTCTTCTTAAATTACATCATTATGGAGTCAGAGGACACTCCCTACAATACCTCAAATCCTACCTTACTGACAGGCTCCAATATGTTTCTGTGAATAATACAATTTCTCCCACCCTACCCATCAAAATTGGTGTTCCTCAGGGCAGCATACTTGGCCCTCTCCTCTTTCTCATCTACATTAATGACCTTCCAAATGCCTCCCAACACCTCAAACTAATTCTATTTGCTGACGACACAACCTTCATTTACTCCAGTCCTGACCCCCTTGCTCTAAATGCCACAGTAAATACTGGGCTAAATAAAGTCCATCTTTGGCTAACTGCCAACAAACTCACCCTTAACATTGACAAAACTTTCTATATTCTGTTTGGCAATAAATCCTCTAATCAAATTAATCTCAAAATAAACAATACCCAAATTTGTAACAAATTAGATGGCAAATTCCTTGGCATTCTCATTGACCAGAAGCTGAATTTCCAGGGACACATTCTAAATATATCAAAAAAAGTTTCAAAAACTGTGGGCATTCTTTCTAAGATCAGATATTATGTACCACGCCCTGCCCTGGTGACTCTCTATTACTCCCTTATCTATCCATATCTCAACTATGGTATTTGTGCTTGGGGCTCTACTACCCAAAATCACTTACGTCCTCTAATTACTCAACACAAAGCTGCTATTAGGACAATATCCAACTCCGGCCCCAGACATCACTCGGTACCCCTACTCAAATCTCTGAATATGTTAGACATTAAGTCACTGCACATTCTCTCATGTGTATTATACATATATAAAACGCTAAACTATAATGCCAATCCTGATCTCAAAAGCTTCATAGAAGGTTGTAACAGAACCCATGAGCACCACACCAGAAATAAATACAGTTTTGATATTCCTAGAGTACGACTTAATCAAACTAGAAATGCTCTACAAATCAAGGGGCCCAGAATGTGGAATGACCTTCCCAACCATGTTAAAGACTGTACCTCTCTCAACCAGTTTAAGATAAAAACGAAGCTATACCTAATAAATTCCCTGTAACCTACCTTACCCTTCTATTGTCAACCAATGTCTGTTTTTTCTTAAAGAGCGCTGTTTGTCGACATATTTGTATTTGTGCGGCTTTTTCAGCTATGTTTTCATTTCTTGTTTTCATTCTACTCATTATGCTCAATTAGTATTAAGCTTGTCATTTAAGTTTATCATCCCCGAAACGCTTTGCGTAATAGTGGCTTTAGGCATTGTATGTACTAGCTCTACCTATAAGTCAACCAATCTTTGTAAAAATTTATTGTATGTATGTACCTTACCTAAATAAACATTTTATTTTATTTTATTTTATTTTATTTTAACAAGTTACAGTTTTAATGCGCTAGTTAGAAAATACAATGAACATCATCAATGGACTCTAGATCGACAACAAGTGCAGTCTCTAATTTAAGCAACTTAATAATTTATGAACAATCTCAGTAATTCATAAACAATCATAAGCAGCAATTATGTAAATTATTATTAATCTATAGTGTACAAAAAAAAAGAATCCTTTTCGTTTTCTATGAGTATTGAGGGTGAGCGACATGGGACCACAACCGCCTCAGTCCCACGTAAACAGATATGTCAGCCAAGAGGAAAACTTAGAATTTTCTCACTTCATGGTAATAATTATTACATTTATCTTGTAATTTACTTGTTTTTTCTTCAGAATCCACGATTTTAATAGTTTAGGCTCATTGTTATAAATGAATAACCGTGTCTATAGTGAAATCTTACTGTAACTACCTTGTGTTAAGCTTCATTGTGACATTATACGTGGTTTACCTGACCAGTAGGGATTCTGGCGTTTTGTGGCATGCTTGACTGTGTAGTCGTCACTCACAACCCTGGTGATCACACACACACACTTGTCACGTTTTAGACATGTAATGTACATTGTAATATTTATTTATTTATTTTCTTTGCATACAGGAGAGCAATGGTGATATCAGCGCTCCCCCTGGGGATCAAGGGGAGGGAAAGGCATCTGGCCGAACTGCTGGAGGTGGAGGGGGAAGTCTTGAGAAGCTGTCACGCGAAGAGCTCATTACTAAATGTCGAAGCCTGTTAATTCTAGCTCAGAAGGCTAAGACTGCAAAAGATGGTAAGTTTTCATTAAATTCCCATAAAATGATATGAATAATAATAATAATAATTGAAGGCTGCATTAGTTTTTATTCATTTATATAGTTCCTGAATAAAATAAATGGGTAGTAAACATGGTGAATATTGTGCAAAAGCAGAAAAATGTTGAAGTGGAGAAAATGCATACACGACAAATTCTCAGACCTTGAGGCTCTAGTCATAGATGAAAGTTTTATACAGGCATAATAAAATCCTAGTTAGGTACAGAAAATAAAAACTATAGGCCAATTATGCACTTCCAGCTTACACTCTTTTTTTTTTTTTTTCATTAGTGACAACAAAAATAAAACTGGTGATGGAATCATGCTATTAATTAAATCATGCCAAAATCCTACAATAAAGTGTATATAAAAATTGTCAATGTCAACTTCATATCCTATATATTCATATTTAGGCTCCTCTCTGTCTATTTGTCCAGTTGCAGCAAAATATAGTGTCTTTGTTTATGATAAGGATATTTTCCATTTTGCTTCTGTATTTTATTTTCTCACCCTCCCTCATGATCGCTTGTGCATTGATATCCTTGGTCTCTTGTGCTTTCTTCTTTATGTTCTTATGTTTGGTAACTTGACATAGCTGTGTTTTATCTCTGTTTTACGTTTTCTAACTACTGTTACTTCTACCATTAATCTTTGCCTCTTCTTACTTTGCAGCTACTCCCAGCCTAGCTTACCATTCAGTATTTCCTCTAATTGTACCTAAATTACTGTTACTAATTGCTTAAGCCCCATTTTTCCCTTCTATAATTGTGCTCATTGACTCTTGATTAACTCATAATTTTTAAATTATACCTGTGTTTCATCCGGTTCTTCTTTTGATTGGTGTTCAGTGAGATTAAGTCAGTTGGATGTTCTATCGTTGACAAAGGTGGCCAATAACTTTAAGGTTTGCCCAACTGTTTCAGCTCCTGTGCTAATTTGTTGCTTTTTTTTTTACAAATTTTATCTCCTTGATTTATTTTACTGTTGTAGGAACACCGTTAACATACTCCCAGATACCTGCACCTGCGCCGTTAGGTAAGATCTCTTGACCACAACTTGAAGAGCTCGGTTGACACCAACTTCAAGCTCGGTGGCTTTGTGTGTGTGTGTGTGGATCTCATGGCATAAAGTAAGGCATTTGGGCTATTGATTTTCAGAAGATACAATTACCAAAGTTTACTACAGAAAGAGAGCTAAGCTTCTGGTGTTTTGGGTTCCTTATTTTCTTTATCATATATTGTTTTGAAGCCTCAAATGGTGATGGTACACACTACTCCCACTAGTGATATGCTCCATCTGTCTACCACTGTTTGCACATGAGCATTTTGTTTGTTTTACAACTGTGTTTTCATCATTTGAATCTGTATCTTATATCTTTAATGCTGCATATTTCAAGAAATCTTTCTTATAAAGGTTGTGAGTTCCCATCATGATTTTGTACGTGATCATATCACCTCTTTGTTTTCTAATTTTGGTATATTTAGTGCCTCCTATCTTTCTGCATAATTGTTATTTTTTAATTTATTAGCCATTTAGTAACATGTTTAATGCCTTCTCCATTATGTTTGTGTTTTTTGAAACATGGGCACCAAATAATTGAGGCATATTCTAATTCTTAAATTTTTTAAACATTTCTAAATGTATTTGAACGTTATTGTGAATTTGGCTGGTGTAATATAACTCCCTCTGGCTATGCTTTTGAGGTGATCCACTTGTGACAGTTTGCTGTAACGGATCACCCAAAATCTCTCTAATTGAATTCTTTAGTCTTTTCTCATTTTTTTTTACTCAATGTGGCCTTGTTGCACTTATCCAAAACTTCATTACTATTCATGGCATATGATACATTAAAGACCATTACTCTATGCTCATGTATTTTCTTTGTCTTTTTGTGAAGCCTGTTCTCTCTGAATGCAGTAATATGCAGATGTTAAACTGCAGACCTTGACTGCACTCACAGGATTCTATGAAGACTATCATATATCAAACTACAATAGGGAAATTACTATGGTCAGACTATATCCACAATGTTATTGAGAAACAGTGCTTGAGTAATAGCCTGTTCTCAAGCACAAGTCTTGAAGACTATGTTAACCCCACAGTACATGGGGAAATGGCTGTGAATAGCCATTCACAGTCAATCAGGCATTCACAGTCAGTCAGGCATTCACAGTCAGTCAGGCATTCACAGTCAATCAGGCATTCACAGTCAATTAGCTATTCACAGCTGATTGTGAATAGTCCCCCCCCTTTCCCCCTTCCCGGGAAGAGGGGGGTTGCACAGACAGTGGCGCGGTGACGTGGTGACATCATGCTCGTTTGCTCTTTTCATTTGGGGAGATCTGTCCACTAGTTCGGATTTCAGTAGCAATGTTAACCAGAATAAGGGTTTGTTTTGAGGCGGCTTACCTTTCTGGGTGCCTGACCCGGTCGATGGCAGACAGAATACTTCCAACCACACTGGGGTTTCTATAAGCCATTGCTCCTTGTGCCTTTCTAAAGGGACCAGGTTCTGGCTTGTGGTCCCCGGTAGGCCTAGAACTCCATGCACATTGATGCCAAAGTCTAATATATTCATATCAGCCTGAATAACTCTGGGGAAGTTTTTTAACAATGTTCATTTTTATATAAAAAATTATGCAATTCAATATTGGTAGGAATTTTTGCTAAACAATTTAAGACCTGAATCAAATGTTCTTTATGATACAGAAATTGCTTTGGAATTAAAACAAGTAAAGATTGCTGCAAAAAATGCTGAGTCAGCAGCGATACCCCAGAAAGTGGAGGAAGAATCCAGTGCTTTGCGGGAGATGGTGGCTAATCTGACTGAAGGGAAAGTGGCTCTTACTACTAAGGTGAGTATTCTTTGTTTTCTCATTTTAATTTAATATATATTGCTTTGATGTCTTTTATACACATCCAGCATGTCCTGCTTTCTGAAGGTGTTTGTTTTGGTGTTTCAACCATAAATTAAGCTTTCACATGTTTAGGTTGGGTTACAGTTCTGAGTGTACTCTTCGGTGGTTCTCCTGCTCATATACATGAGCTGCTCTCCAGGGGGATTTGCTTTAGTGATTTGTCAAGAGGTTAAGCTTACAACTTTTAGGTTTATTCAGTAACTTCAAAATTACTGATTAGGCAAACGGTTTAACTTCAACGAAGCAGAATATGTTCTCTTTAATTTATTAGTAAATATATGGAACCAGTTGTCAAGTGATATGATTCAGAGTAATAGTTTGTATGTCGTACATGAAACATTGGCTTACACGAGAACTGTACTGTGCCCTAGATCTGCCCCTCTTATTGTTTGTACCATCATATGTTTTTCATTAACAAGAAGCCTTACCTGAATGTACTGTACTTTTCTATTGCTGATTAAATTCCTTTGTAATCCTTTATAAGGCTTTATGATCTTTTGTTTGCAATTTGTAATTCAGTACAATTAAAATTTAGAACAATTTGATGTTAATTATTATTTTCATAATTGAATGTCCTAATGTGTTAGCTACTAAGTTTATTTTATTTTGTAAAGAATTCTGTTGCAAACATGTATACATATTAAATGATCTATTTTGTATTTATAACACAAGTAACTAACATTCACCACAAACAGATCGAGAGTCTTCAGAGACAGTTGAAAGTTGCGTCTAGTGAGGTGGACTGTCTTCAGGAACTGGAACAAAAATTACTGCTTGAAAGAAACACTCTTGAGGCTGAAAATATTCAGTTGAAAAGGGAAAACAAAAAGAATCTTGATAAGTTACAAGAATTTCAAGATTCCTCTGCTATGAAATCAGAACTCCTAGAAAAAGCTTGGGAAACAGAGAAGATGGCATTTCAGGTCTGTAAACTACAGAATATTGTATTTTAATAGGGTAGAGCTAGAACTAATATTTATTTTAACTTTGAACATAAATTTGAGTCAGTTCTGTCTGAAATTTGTTGGTTATAAGGGAGATTCATGTAATTATCACATGGTGGTTGAGTTGTTTTTAAAACCAGTACTAGGCATTTTGTAGAGACTAAAATAAAATTTTGGGTTCATACTACAGTAGTTTGAAATGTTCATACTGATTAGGAATGATGGTCTAACCATGAAGGTAATGATAAGAATGGTAACTAATGGGTAATAGATTATTTATTAATTAATTTGTAGCCTTTATGAATATTAATAATTGTAAATATGCTTGGGCTACATATTAACAATTTTTTTTAATTACCCAGTACAGTATACAAAATTTTGATTCAATGAAAATGCCATGGCAGTCTTTTCTGTAGGCAGATTATGGGTTTGCGATACAAAAGTAGTTGTTTGGTTAATTACCTTGCTAATGATCCTCGAAGTAAGTTGCCTATGTGTCAACACCATTGCCCACCACATTAAGGTACAAATAACACCATATCCTTGGAAAGATTGGGCATTAGACCAGTCTTTGTCAGCTCTTTCCTGCTGATTGGCTAGAAAACAACGGCCGGCATGTATTGCTGTGTGAAATTGAAGGTAAATAAATGAAAGATTATAGATGTTTTAAAGATTTGAAGGCAGGAATGTTTGTGTCAGGTTAATGCAATACAACATTTAGAGGAAATAAGAATAGTGAAATTGGATAAAATTGAGAGAACGTGAGTGAGAGAATGAGTTGATAAAGGAAGAATTTGGCCTTCTAAGGAAAGAAGAGTGGTATGAGATGATGGCCAACTACTTTACATGAACTTCTGGAAGCATTACATGAATGAAGTGAATCAAGAATTGTTTCTAGTAGCTGATTATTCTTTTAAAATCATGTGTAACCATAGACTTGACTGTGGATTGGCTGATATGGCTTAAACTATATAAATAGGTTAATAAACCCAGTTTATTATTTTCTAATTATATAATTATTATTATTTTCATGTTGTTCACTTTCATGGAGTGAGGAGCCATCAGCCAGGAAGAAATATGTGATGAAAGAAGTTAAAAATATTCCAATAAATACTATGCATCAGGTCTTCCACACTAAAGAGCAGCATATCCAATCAGCACTCTTTGTATAATTAAAAAAAACATTCATGGCAGCACCAATAACCAGATGTAAATTGGTTCCTATGATTTGTCCTTCAAAAAAATACATAAGAGTACAGTTTTGCAAAAATTCACTCTCAATCAACTTATTCTTTTATAAATTGTGGTAAATGTGGACATGTTTGTGTCTGACAGCTTGAGGAGTGTTGCTGTAATGTTTTGCTGGCATTGTGTGGTGCTATGTTGTGTTAACTATGGTGAATGAATGGGTGCAATTGTGTCTTTGGTTTTCTCTTTCTTTGTAGTTCATTTATCTTGTCTAGGCTGATGTTTTCCAGTCCCCTGAAAGTGGGTAACAGGGTAATTATTATGATGAATGATAATGAGTTCTATCTTGCTATAACTGTTCTGTACTTTTTCTGCATTGTATTTCTTTAAAGCTCAGTATTTATATATTTATAGGAAAAAGTGGAAAATCTACAAGCACAGATTGGACAAGTGGATATCCTGAAGATGAAATGTAAGAAATTTCTTCAGGAAAAGTCAGCAATTGAAAAGGAACTTGAGAAGCAACAGAAACTTGCTGCAAAAGGCCTCAAGATACAGGGAGAGCTGAATTGCTTGAAAGAAGAAAAAAAGGCATCAGACATTATTTTAGAAAGTTCTAGGAATGACAAGAAGGCACTTGAGGACAAAGTTAAAAGTTTTGAGAGTCAGGTTCAGAGCTTAAAGAAACTGCAGGAAGAAAAAGATGCAATTCTTAAGTCAAATCAAGATAGTATCAAAGAACTGGAAACAAAACTGAAAGAAAATGAAAGTTCAGTTTTGGATTCGGAGAATTATGTCAAAGAATTACAGGAACAAAACATGAAAGTTCAACTGGTGGAAAAAGTCCTTGAAAATACTAACACAAAATTACGAACAGAATGTGAGGCAGCAATCTCGAGGGTAAACACACTGCAGGAGGAATTAAAGGTAGAGTTAGACAAGAGCCGACATTTGGAACAGCTTGTAGAAGAATTTGAAACACAGAAAACTCAACACATAGCAGAAATTGAATGCTCAAAAGAAAAAATTTTGGAAATTGAAAAAAATTATCAGCAAAAAAATATAGAATTACAAAAAATAATAGAAGAAAGAAATGACACTGAAAGGTCTATGCAAGAAGAAATCGGGCACTTGAAATCAAAACTAGAAGAATTAGTACAAGAAAAAATTCACGATGAAGTCAGAGTGAAGCAGTTCTGTGTTGATATAGAGAATTTAAAGATGGAACTCAGTGCCATGACAGAAAGCTCTAATATTGCTGAAAAAGAGAAAACTGATTTAATTGAAAAATTGAAAGCTCAAGAAGAAGAGAACAGGAAATTAATTGAACATTTGAAACAGAAAGATAATGAACATGTTGACTTTACTGAAAACAAAACAGAATTTGATTATTTGGCTGCTCAGGTAAATAAACTAAAGTTTGAAGTTGAACAACTCACTGAAGAAAAAATTAAATATTTGAAAAACTCTGCTGATGTAGAAAATGAAATATCTTGTCTTAGGAAAAACTTGGAGGATGCACAGAAGGAGAAATCCTCTTTTGACACTGAACTTTGTAAAATTGCTAGTGAAGTAGAACAGGGTAAAAAATCTGTTGAGGAAGAACGGAACAGAGCTGACCACTTAACAATGGATATTAAAGAACTAAAATCACAGAATTCAGAGTTGATTGCCAGAGTTGAACAACTTCAGAAGGAGGCTGAAAATGCGAAGCTTTTTTTGGGTGAATTACAAAATACTGGAATGTCCCTTACATCACTTTGCAAAAATGTGTACCCTTCCTTAAGCAAGACTCTGCTTCCAGTGGATCAGGAAGATGTTTTGGTAAATATGCAAAGTATTAAGGAAGTACTTGCAGCAGCACTAACCAAGAGGGAAAATTTTACACCTGAGGGAGATATACTGAATATAGTTGAAGCTCTTGAACAAGTTCAAGAACAGAGTAAAAGGTTGATAATGTCAAGAGACTCTACAGTTTGTGACTCACTTTCCTCGAGCTTTGACAGTATTAACAAAAGCTTGATGACGTTCTACATTCATGCAGTTGGGTTGCTTGATATTGAGAAGAGTACATCTGTGGAAGAAATGTGGAAGATTATATCATCACTATTTGCCAAGCTGTGTGAAATTGTAAAAGAAGAAATGCTAAAATTAAATAATGCAACAAACACAGTTGAAGAATTAAGAAAAGAGGTGAACCATTTTGAAAATGTAGCTACTGAAGCAGTAAAAGAAAGGGAAATGCTTTCTCAAAAACTGATGGATTCCTTGAATCAAAATGCCATTATTATTACAGAAAAAAATGAGCAATTGGAAAATCACAATAATATAATTGCTGAATATGAGAAATCTCAAAAACAATTAAAGGAATTCTTCGAGGCAGAAAAGATTACATTAAATGAGAAAATATCAAATTTAGAAGAAATGGTTCTGTCTAGAGACACAGTAAGAGCTGAATTAGAGGGTCTATTAGCATCTGGGAATAATCAAAATGAAGAAATTATTAATGACTTAAGACAGCAGTTAATTTTTGTCAAAGAAGAATGTAAAGCGATGTCGAAAGAACATGACGAATCTGCTGTTCAAATTAAGAACTTGCAAGAATTACTTGAAAAGCAAGATAAAGATCTTCTGAGCTTGTCTACAGAGAAGGAGGTTTTACTATCTGAGAAGATTGTTATTAAACAAGAGAATGATTTCTTAAAGAGTACTGTGGAAGATGTTGAAGGAAAGAATGCTGCTAATGAGATAAAGTGGTTGGATGAAAAACAGGACTTGGAAAAGAAACTTGCAATGATTTCCCAGGAGAAGATTATGCTTGAAAAGGAATACTCTTCCCTGAATGAAAGTATTATATTAGGTGAAGAAAATGCATCTCGAGAAAAAACAGCGTTAGAAGAAAAACTGAATTCTATCATTAAAGATCTGGAAATGCAGCTGCAAGAAGCTGGAGATATTAGGGCTGAAAATGTTCTTCTTAATAAGAACATTCAAGAGCTTCAGTTGAAAAAAGAGGATCTTATTGAAGAAGTTAACAACTTCCAGAACTACTTGAAGGTTGCAGAGGACAAAATACAGGTTAGAGAATCAATTTTGTGTTATAATTTTTTTATTTGATATTTTAAGTATGGTCTTAATTTGTAATCCATTTCAGTAACAACCCTAGGTAGAGCCTGGGTTCACCTAGGTAACTGCTCCTTACACCAGCTCTAGCTGAATTTAAACTCATCTTGTACAAGGATCTTTGCAAGTGGTCTTGCAAAGTAGTTTATGGGCAGGGAGATAATGAAGAATTTATCTCAGTCCACTAGCAAGAAACAGCTGCTTTTAGAACATAAACTACTCAACACCCCCTTCAAGTGATCATTGGGATTGCAAGGATAGCCAGTTATGGCTCAGTTAATAACTTACCTTTCAACTTTTCATTTCACCAGCAGCCATCAGGTGGCAACATTAGCAACACAGCAGGGTTGGGAGAGCTGACAACCCCTCACTTTGGTGTCCATCCACTTTGCACTCAGCTCTACTGAGGTCAGCTCAGTTAGGCTGGCTGGTTATTCTTCGAGACTTGACTTTTTGCAGTAAGTGCTCAAGTTAAGTCACATGCTTATCTTTGGCCCCACAATCTGCTCGAGATTCTCATTGTATTCATCTTGGTACTGTCCTACTCTAATTTCTGGGCATATAGCTTCTGGAGGGTGAGTTTGAGTTTTTTCTCCAACTTCCTGTCCTGCTGAAACAGGGGGGTTGTAAACAGGCTTTGGGCTTTGTGCCTTCTGGGTGGGGGGGGCCTTCAACTGATGGCCCAAGGCTGTCGGTTGAAGCTTGTTTGCTTGTTTGTTTCTTTAAGTTGGGGAGTTCTGCCTTTCTGTTTGGTCTTTGGTTGCAGTTTCTTACAAGTGAAGTCTGTTTTGTTATGCTTACCTTTCTGGGTGCCCAACCTCGGTCGATGGCAGACATGGAATGCTCCCAAACACATGGGGTTTCCATAGGCCATTGCTCCCTGTGCCTCTCAGAGTGAGGGGGGAGGGGGCCAGGTTCTGTCTCGTTGTCTCCGGTAGGCTGAACTCCATTAACCTATGCCCAAGACTAATATAGCGTATATGAGGCTGATAGCTCCATGGAGCCTCCGGGGCTCGCCCTGAAATTGGCATTTCATTACATTCAACGCTGGTTGTTTTTACTATTATGACTGCAGCTGTGGTGAAAGGAAAACTAACTATTACACCATAACAGTAACTACCATTACTGTCATGAGTTAATATTTACTGGTTTAGACTTTTTACTTGGTTATTCCATTCAGTAAGAAAGTCAGTCTTTAAATCTCTAATTGCTTGTTATAATTACTATATGATATTAGTACTCAAACAACAATATATTTCAGTCATTAATTAGTGAAAAAGAAGACTTAGAGAAGAAGCTTAAAGATGCAGACAATCACAAGCTCCAGCTCACCTCTTCCATTGAAGCATCAGCCGGTAGGTGTGAGGAGCTTCTGGCCGAACTGAATGATATGAATAAGGTTTTGCGCGAGAGGGGAGAGAGAATATCACGACTGGAGGATAGTAACAAGGAAAAGTCGCAAGAACTAGAGAGAACTACTCTTCAGTTAAAGGAACTACAGACAAAAGTAAGCTACTGTATTTTATTTTATGATGAAATATTGACATAATTTAAATTACGTACTGTGGGTTGATTAACCTCGGTATTAGTTTCATTTCTCTATCATGTAGTGTATGCATGTAGTATACACCTCCCATTCTCAGCTGTACTGTACTAATGTTTGCCTTCACCAGTCTTTCATTCATTTGTCCATACATTTGGTATACTGCTCTCCTTGCATCCTTTTGAGAATGTTTTACCTAGCAACATTATTTATGTAAGAACTGCTATCTGAGCAGTAAAGATATAGCCTCTTATTCCAACATGAAGCTTTTGTAGCAATTTGTTATTGTTTTCTCGGCAGATGTCCAATAGGGAAGCTGAATTAGCTTCTAAACAAGAACAGCTACAGACTATCACTGAGAAGCTGCAGACATTTAGTAGTGATCCTACAGTCACTTCGCCGGTAACAAATAACCAACAGTTTCGTGAATTAGAAGAGAAAGTCAAGGACCTGGAGCAAGAGAAGACTAACTTAAAGAAGGTATCAACAAGTTAATTATTTAAGGTGCTATGTTAATTTCATTGGGCAGAGAATGAAAGTAAATACCTGTATGATAAATATTTGTGTGAAAGTTATGCTTAATTCTGATAATTAGAACCAGCATCAGTGAATGATGGAGGAAAAATTTACTGAATGGAACACATTGTAATTGGACCAAAAAGTGTTTGGCAGGATATACAGAAAATAACTGTGAAATTGATCATTGGTGAACAACATGGGTTCTATAAAGGTTGCATGGATCACATTTTCTTTTAAGACAAAGTGTAGAAGCCATGTGAGAAAATTTAGTTGTACTTGTATATGGCATGTTATTAAGTACTGGCAAAAATTTTAATTCAGGAAGTAAAACTTATTAAAAACCCAGTTCCACTGGATATTTACAATAAATATCCTAGCAGTACAGTACAGTGCAACCTCAATTCGGCAAACTATTTGGGACCAACCCCCAGTTCGTTATGGTGATGGATTCATTGCAACAGGTGATGCCTTCAGGAGGCATTTATGTAATGTATTTTTTTAGTAATATAAATCAAGAATATTTCATTGTTATATATACGGTACTACTAAACTGTATAATAATAAATCATACTCTATCTTTATATAACTTAAAAAAGGCATACTGTATATTGTACAGGTATACTGTACAGTATAAAGAATTTTGCTTAAATCTTCTCTAGTCTCCATTTGTAATTATAAACACCTTGTGTGTGATGGTTAAAAAGGATGTCAGTAACTGTAAACAAATATTGCTATCCCCGCCATGCTGGATACCAACCTGAGAGAGAGAGGGGAGGCAGGGCGGTAGGAAGGGAAGGCACTGAGGGAGAGTAGCAATGAGGGAGGGTGGGAGAGTGGCAGTGAGAGACAGTAAGGGAGGTTGAGCTGGGGAGGGTGGGAGGAGGAAGAAGTCACAGGAAAATTTATAATTTCAATCTGTCATGTGAAGGGAATTTAACATTTTATCCTGTGACATGATGGGAAATATTTCCACCAAACTGGGAACCATCCCAACATCCTAAGCAAATCTGCACATTCCCTGCATTAGCGAACCATAGTTGGTCAAAATGGGCAAGTTAATCCAGCCTGAAATGTGTACGTTCCAACTGGAGATTCACCAAATCGAGGTTTCACTGTACGTATCTGAAAAATTTAAATTTACCAAATGTTCAAATTATGATTAGGTGTAACCCAAATTTACCAGATTAATCAGTTTCACCAGTAGTTTAGTAAAGCAAAAGTCCAATTAATTGAAGAGAAAGGGCCTGTGCTTTCTGGTAGGTATTCCTCCTGGCCTTGGTACTGTTGCCTTGTAGAGTGAGCCAGACTTTGGTCCTGGCTCTCGGTAGATAATGGATGGGTGTGGTTGTACCAGATTCAAGCTCAAGAAGCCACTGGGTGCCCACCATATTAGGACTTTATATTATATTCAATACTTGCTTTGTTGTATTGTTCATGTTTAGTTCATAGGTATTGCAAAAAGAGCAAGTCTTCAAAGATACATAGGTATAACAAATTTTTCTTTGAAATAACGGTCTTAATATCCCTTAAAATCTTCTACCTCAATGCAAATACCATTGCTTTATCCCTAAATTAATCTCGATGAATAATACATACCTACTCTAGTTGGTGGCCTAAGTGCCATCTCTACTGATCATTTGCCATAGTCCTTCATTATGTGCTGCCTATACATTACTACTGTACCATATATTGGTAGTACCTGTACTCTATTATGCTCTCAAGTGCTAAAGGCAGTGAAGTTATTTTTTCTACCAAATTAAATACGAGTTCAATCACTTTAAAATTTCAGATTATTCAGTCACTGGAGAATGAGCTGTCGAGTAGTCGTGAGAATGCTGGTAATGGCCACGATGCTCAGAGTGAGGTTATGAGCACCAGCACAATCGGTCGAGCAGAAGACACACAACGAATGAAAGAGCTGGAAGACACGTTTGAGGAGAGATACATGAAGGTAAATTATAATTGGCTTATTGTATTACAGTACAGTATATCTGAAGTGCAGTGATGTTGACGGTAATATTTATTATATTATAGATTTGTTCAGTTAACCATGCCCATCTTCGTCTATATTACAAGGCTTCATACTACTTTATTTTTTTAGGCCAGTAAATGCTTAGTTTAGCATCTTGGTAATATTAGATTTATTTTTAACTTTAGCAAAGAATAGTTTTATGTTGTGTGCTGGAATGACTCATCCATAATAATATTGCAAGAGCAATAAAATGTGTACACACTTTTTCAATTTGGTCACCTCATTCTCGTCCTAGGTCTTTCATTTTGGTATAAATGTATTCGCAATGAAATTCCCTACTGGAATATATGCATATAATGTCCAAAACTGTGGCTCGCCCTTCCCACAGCCAAGCCGAAAGCAGGCCAAATTTTAAAATTTTTGACCCCATACCGAGTCGTTACCAAACGTTCGTCTACTAAATTTTTGACGCCATACTGCATTGTTAACAATCAAAAGTGTTAAGAAGTGACTAAAAGAGTGAGATTTAAGGGTAAGAAACACCCTTGTTTAATTCACATGATGTTGAAAGAAAGGAAGTGAACAGTGATTTGTCATTTATTATTTTTTAATGACTGTAATATGCAATCTGCATAGTAGTTTAACCACTGCACTGTGCAAAGTGCCTTTAGGCGCTTTGAAAGTTGTGCTATTTTTTTTTAATTGGGCTATATTTTAATTTTTTATTACTCTTTGTGTTTTGAAATGGAAAAAGTTGAGTTTGGATACATTTTGACATTAACTTTACCTGAACATTTATAAAAACAACAAAAATAGGTCCTTGACAATTGCACTAAGAAGTTTTGGCCAAAAACAGGTGCACAGTGCAGTGGTTAAGAACATTATGTATATGGAATTTTACTTTAAAAATTGTCAGATAAGTTTCTAAATATGGTAGAAAGATTGTTTTTGTCCTTTAAAATGTCCTATGATAGAATTTATACATAAAGTTTTTCTTTTAGCTGAAAAGTGTAGCTATTAAGCTAAAGAAGCGTGTAGCAGAATTAACTGCACAGCTGAATTCATCAGAAGAAACACGCAGTAAGCTGGCAACAGAGAAGGAAGATCTTAAGAAGAAGGTGGATGTTGGAGTTAAAGATAGTATAAAGGCTGCATCCAAAAATATTCAGGTTAGAGTTTTTCTTTGTTTTACTTTTGCTAAACATTGTTTCCTCTGTTCTGAAACTATTTTTAAATTGTTGTTTTAAATGTGAGTTTTACTTCTATTGGAGCCTCCAAAATTCAGTTAGCAGCAACGGCCAGTATTACTTCCTCTCAAACAACACTCATTAACTACGGTGCTACTCATGAAGAAATTGGTGAGACTGTGTAAAATATAGTGTACAGGTATACAGGCACCATGAACTCTCAGTCCAGCCGCTGACCACCCCGAGAATTTTTGGAAGTCTTATTTGCACTGAATATAAAGTGAGCATGATAGTTTTTTATTTTTTGTTTTGAATCTAAACCAAAGATCAAAATGAAGGTGATGGAGTAATGTGGCATAGAAAGGTACCCAGGCAGACAAAACCAAAAACTGTTTTCTCCAAATAGAGAACTTCATTGGCATATTTCATATTTTGGGCTAACCTGGTGGTAGGCTGCTTAGTATTTTCAAAAGAATGTCAATGAATGTGAGTGGAGAATAACCTTCAATGTCTATACACATTGCAAAACTAAAGCACTCTTGTGGAGCTTTAGATGGCTGGCCAGGGAAGCACGGCCTCTTGCTACTGAAAGACAGGAAAGGAGGTTCGACACTCAAATGCTGACATTCTTGAATAACTGATTGTTGGACTGTGAATCGATGCCTGTTGGTCAAATCCAGCCATAACTCCTGGTCAGTGTAGCAAAAGTATAGAGTAATTTGTACTGAAGGAGCATTGTCTTGAGGTTGGTTCAACTCCGTTTTACATACTGTAGTTGTATTTTGGTTTCAGCTCTTCAGATAAGGTTTGTTTACTGGTGAGGAACATTTTAAGATATTTAGTTAGTAGATAAAATGCAGTGCTAAAAATATGACTATGTTACTTGAGAGAGTACTATTCAACTTAGATTACACCACTATTACTTACAGCCAGATTGATAGACAATCATTGCTCTGTGATAGATATAATCTTCAGTGTAGATATAATTGTTTGACAATTATAGGTACTGCAAGGTGAAATTGACAGGCTGCAAGATGAAGTTGACAGTAAGACAAAAGAGCTGAAGGAACAGGGTAAACAGCTGAATTCAGCAGCAGAGCAATTGGCATCTGCTAAGTCCGATCTTGCCGTAGCACAGGATGAAAATGGGATTCTACACAGAACTGTTAAAGTAAGTTTTTGTATGTACACAGGTACCCAACAATGGCTGAGTGGAAGACCTGGATCCGATGCTCCAGAAACTGATACTCACTCCAAATTAAAAATTCTGTGAATTACGTCTTAATACATACATGGCCATCATCAGTGTACATTTTCACTACACATGATCTTCGCTAAAATATTAGCTTCGCTATCCATGATCCTCAGTACATAATCTATCTGAACATGCTTGGGTGGAGATCTTTACTATACAAATGATCTTAACCTGACCTTCACCCAAGTGAAGATTATCTGGAATAGAGATCTTCACTACACATGATTGTCACCATAGAAGAGTCACACTTAATAGAATCTTCACCATGTCCTGGGATCCACTTACTAGTGCCCTGAACTATTAAGTGGCCCCCCAGAAAACGGTACAGTATTTCATTACATTCATCACTGTGTTTTGTCTGTGTGTGTGTGTATGTGTTTGTCGCGTCTACCTCATACTTAATCATTACAATCACACTACTATGCCTACTGGCAAGGACCGGTTTGTCTACATGGCAGTGTTCTTGTTATTTTCTTGTATCTATGCAATTTTTGTAAATGACATGACCAGAATATCTTTATACCACTAATTAATAACTTTTTAGGCCAAGTTTAACCAGTGTTAGACAAGATTTTGAAATAACAGATTTACTATATGTTTAATCAGGCAGTTAAACTAGTTTTGGGTCAAATTTAAAGAAAGTATTAATATCAATCTATACAGTATATATAAAAGAATATTTGCAAGAAATTTAATATTGAAGAAAATTTGGCTTCTTATTCAACTACCTATTAGGTATGATATATATTTCATTTACAGAACAGTACAGTAATTTCTGTGGGGAGCCCCTACGAGTTCCTGGAGCTATCGGGCTAATATGTAATATATTAGATCGTGGCATTAGTCTATGGAGTTCAGCCTACCGGGGACCACAAGCCAGAACCTGTATCCCCCTCAGAGAGGTGCAGGGACCAATGGCCTTGGAAAATCCCCCCCTGTGGTTGGGTTTTTTTCTTATTTGCCATCGACAAGGGTTAGGGACCCAGAAAGGTAGGCATAACAAAACAAACCCCATATGGTAAGAAAATTACAACTAAAAACCAAAAAGAGAGGCAGAACTCCCTCCAATCCCAAGGAAACAAGGAAACATCATTCTCCACCGCCGTGTCGCTCGTCTGTGCAGACCTCCCCTCCCTGCGCCGCGTACCTAGCATTCCAGTTCGCTAATGTCGTCCGGGTCGGACGTCTTCTTTGGCCTCAATTTCCAAGGCGGTGTTTTGTCTTCATGGTGACCTCTGCAGTGTTGTGCGTGGTGGCCAGGTGTCCTCAAGGGTACCAGGGCTGCATGCGCTTAGGGGGCATCCTTCCCTAGGCGTCCTGTGAGTACTGCCCTTGCATATCAGGGTTCTCTTCCCTGGTGCGTTCGGGACTCATTTCCGTCGGGTGTTTTTGCTGCTCGGCATTTACCCCAGCTCGGTCATTGCCTAGGTCTCCTTGTTGCTGGACTGGTCAACCAGGCTGTTGGACGTGGCTGCTTGCAGCCTGATTAATCAGGTATCCTTTGAAGGTGTTTATAGAGTTCTTTCTTGAACACTGCAAGGGGTCAGCCAGTTATACCCCTTATGTGTATTGGAAGTGTGTTGAGTTGTCTCGGGCCTCTTATGTTGATAAAGTTCTCTTTCAGGGTACCTATTAGGATAAGGAAAACCCCCAACCATAGGGGGGAGGTTCCAGAACCATTGCTCCCTGTGCCTCTCTGAAGGGGGGCTAGGTTCGTGGTCCCTGGTAGGCTGAACTCCATAGACTAATGCCCCAGTCCAATGTATCACATACTAGCCCAATAGCTCCAGGGAGTCTTCGGGGCTCACCCAGAAAATGGAGTTTCATTATATTCAACACTGGTTTTTTTATTAGTTTTAAAAATAACAAATTTAAATATGCAATTTTGATATAAATGTGAGGGTAATGTAATTAAATATTGTGTAGCCATGACCTAAGCTATACAGTATACTATACAGTGTATTATATATTTTGTTTAGAACTTAGAGGAAACCATCTCAAGCCAAGAAGATGCAGCAGGAAGCCTGAGGGGACAAATTACATCCTTAGAAAAAAGATTAGGAGCAGAATTACAAAAACAGCAGGCACTGGAGGACCGAAGAAAAAAAGCAGAAGAGAGAATGGAAGAAGAAAGACAGCGAGCAGCCCAATTTGTCAAGGAATTGGAGGAAGCTAAGCAGGTGCATTTAAGTATTTAAATTTTGTTTATTGTTTGTAGATGTAGAACACACTTCTCATGTTTATGATAAATTAATATGGAATGGAAATATATACCTGTAAAAATAATTATCCACTTAGATAACCTTAAACTTCCTTTTAAGAAGTTTTGTCTACCATATAGGTACTGTATAGCTAAAGCCCTTTATTTTACAGGATTCTAAAACAAGAAGCCTGTTAGATCTTGAAATGCGAGATTATGAGCTTACATTAGAAGAACTGAATGGGCAGTTAAGAGATAAAGATTCCTGCTTAGCTGATCTACAAGCAGCAGTTGAGAGAGAAAAGGGACGGTCTAGCAGTCTTCAAGACCAACTGACTCATCTCACCACTCAGGAGACCACTGAAAGAGAACGAGCTGATAAAATGAAGGTACAGTTTGAGTTTAATTAAATATTTTCTAAATCTCATAAATTGTTTCAGTTGTCATTGTTCATATGTACTGTATATGGCAGCAAATACTCAAATACTGCTTCAATACATTCATTCCAGCTTAAGTGAAACAAAATAATAATACTCTCTAGTGAAAAAAGCTTAATATATATATAGAAAAAAAAGGAAGCCTATTTTGCATTTAGTGGGAAGAATTTTTCTGTGAGGAGCCCTGGAGGCTACCTGGAGCTATCTGACTGATATATGCAATATTAGTCTGGGGCATCAGTCAGTTGGAGTTCAGCCTACCGGGGACCACGAGCTTTAGCTCGTGGTCCCCAGTAGGTTGCAGTTTTTTATGGTGGCCACTTTATGTGGCGCACCAGCGCTTATGCATTGGATCCCCAAGGTGAATACCATTACACCAGGTGTCTGTGACCATCTCATGGTCTACCAAGAGCATGAACCAGAATCCTGCCCTCTTTCAGAGGCAAGGAGCTTATTGTGGTTTCTGATGAACTTGCTTTTTATACTTAGTACTTAATAGACTTCTTTGACAATACTTAGTTTTTCACCAACATTAAGTAATGCTTTTGTAAACTTAAATTACTAACGTTTGGAATTAATTAGTTACTCCTCCTTTGTTTCTTTGCTTAATGATCTATTGTCTTGCTTCTTTGTTAACCCAGAAACTTTTACTGGAGCACAAAACACAGTTGGCTGAACTACATCTTGCCCAAGAAGCTCAGTCAGCTACAAAGGAGATGGACCGAGTAACAATTGAACAACTGACACAGGTTGGATAATTATTTTTATGTTTTTAAATAGTTAATACGTCAAATTTCTTTTAGGTTATATTGTTTAGAAACTTTTTCGAACCCGAATGAGTTGTATGCTTGTTTGTCACTTAGTGTTATGAAAAACAAGCATTGGCTAAAATCATTGTTAGTGAGCTTCTGTTTATAGATAAGTAAGTTCATTATCTATTGGTATATATTGATACAGAAATAAGTAGATGTAGTGTAGAAAAGGGAAGAGAGTGAATGTGAATAATGTGCCAGAGAATTGGAAAGAGCTGTGATTGTAGAACTGTTTACAAATAAAGGAGAACATAGTGAGTATAAGAATTAAAAAAACATAAATTTATTGTGTAGTGGATAAGTGATTGGAAGAGTACAGGAACTGGCTGAAAAATTGGCCTGAGGAACAGGGTAGGTTTTCTTGCTGTTTCTTACTGTATAATATTACTGCACAAAAAATAGAGAAAAAATAAATCAGAAACATTGAAATAATTAGGTAATAATATCCGGGGGCCCGGGTCCACAGGGGAATTGTGTAAAAGCCTGGTTTGTGTCTCGGAGAGGCTGCAGGATCCGTGTGAGGTTAGTAGAACTCCCGGTTGCAATTCGTTTACCATGTCGTGGCACAGTCGATTAAGGAGCGTCTGGGATCCTCTCGGACATAGATTTGAACCCTCATCACGGCCCTTGTGGATTTGTTCATTTGATACATAATACTATTGTGATTTCTGTGTGTAATTCAATGCCGGTTTTTTGTTTATTGTAAATAATGAATTCCAATCTTTGGTTTGGGGCTGCTGGTTTCACTCCATTTGAAATTATATTTTTAATTAGTCTTTCTTCTGTTTTATACTGTGAGTTCATAATGAATTTGTAATAGTGTGACTTTATTCTAAAGAAAGCCTAATATAATTCTGCTGTAGAGTGATACAAATGACCACTGAAATATATGATATGTGATTAAATATGGTCCATATTTCCAATGTCTTAATGAATAAGTAACCATAAACGTGTAGCTGGAATTATTGTTCCCAGGAGGTTGAGAAGCTTAAGTTGGCAATAGCAGAACTCACCTGTGAAAAAGTGAAATTAGAAGAGACTGGAAAGCGTAGCAAGTTGTCTGCTGAACGACAGGTGAGTTGATTTATTTAAAATTTATTTGTTATTAAAAATAAACCCAGAAAATGAAGATGTGAAAGGAATTTAGATGGAGTTCTAAGCATGTGTCCAAAATATGTGACATTATTTGATAGAAATATTGACTAATGTAAGTAACTCATGTGTTGTAACAAAACATTCTCATTAGTGAATGAGAAAATGAACAAGGACATATATGGTACAGTATCATCATGATTATTTTTTTTTATGGAGAATGAAGGACATTGGGCCTGGTATGAGAGTTAGAGAAGAGAACTAGTAATTTGCATAACAGAATTAGCAGTCCCTCTGGCGCAGTGGTAAAACACTTGCCCCGTGCTTTGCGAGCAATTTGGCCTGGGTTCGTATCCTGGCCAGGGAAGATTGACTAGGCACCAATCCTTAACTGTATGCCTCTGTTCACCAGCAGTGAATGGGTACTCAGTTGTTAAAAGATTTGGCAGGTCATATTCCTGAAAAAATTAGGATTAAGGGCCTATCCGAAATTCTATGCGTGCTACTGGCTTTACAAGAATGCAAGAACTCTTGTATATTTAATAAAATGAATAAAACAAAAGTAAAGAAGGGTGGGGAAATGTAAGGTAGGATGGATGAGATTTTGTATATAAGTAGAATTCATCTTATTAAATAACTTGGCATATATTTTATTATATTTATCTTATACAGATTGAAGTCTTAGAGGACCAACTCATGAAGCACAAAATTGAAGTTCAACAACTGGTGGCTGAGCGGGATACCATCCAAAATGAATTTGAAGGTGACGTTTGACTATATTAGCTTCATACCATAAAAAATTTATCATGCTTCCTCAAAAATCTGAGCCTCCATGTGTTAATAAGATTATTTTGTATACATTTTTAAGCAATAAAATTATTACTGAATTTGTTAAAATTTTGTATAGGGTATAAAGTTCGAGCTACTAGTGTCTTACGGCAAAAGAATCGTCCACCGGAAATCAACGTTAGTGAATTGCAGTCGGAAAAGGATCAACTTCAGACTGATTGTGAAGCAGCTCAGCTAAAAGTGCAGCAATTACAGTAAGCAGTGTTTAATTAATGATGCTGTTGCTGGTCGTAGTTTTATTTTTTATTTTTTTTTGCACTGCATCGTTCACTCCAATAAGCTATTTTCTGTGGGGAGCCCCTTCGACTTCCTTGAGGTATCGGGCTAATATGCAATTCATTAGACCTGGGCATTAGTCAAAGGAGTTCAGCGTACCGTGGACCACGGGCCAGGCCCCCCCCCCTCAGAGAGTCACAGGGAGCAAGCAATGGCCCTGGAAACCCCCCCTCCCCCAGTGTTGGGGGTTTTCCTTATCCGCATCGACTGGGGTTAGACACCCAGAAAGGTAGGCATAACAAAACAGACCTTACATGGTAAGAAAATTGCAACCTAAAACCGAACAGAGAGGCAGAACGCCCTACTCCCTTCCAATCCCAAGGAAAGAAGCAATCAAGCAAACATCACACCCCACTGCCGAGCTTTTCGTCTGCGTAGCCCCCTTCACCCCTGGGAGGGGAAGGGGGGGAGCAAAGGAGCCCCCCTCCACACTGGCGACCCAGCCATTCCAGTTCGTTGGCTAATACAATTGGCTAATACAATCTTCTCTGGCCTAGATTTTCTACGCAGTGTTTTGCCTTCGTGGTGTTCTCTGCTGTTCGTGGTGTGGTGGCCAGGTGCACCTGAAGTGTATCAGGGTTGCATGCACTTAGGGCAGCCTTCCCTCTGAACTGGAATGACTGGGTCAATGCCACAGGGGGTACAGGGCTCTCCCCTCCTCCTTGGTGAGGGGGGGGGGGAAGGAGGCTGCACGGACAAGCGGTACAGTGGTGATGTGTGACATTTGCTTGTTTCTTTGGGATTGGAGGGAGTTCTGCCTCTCTGTTCAGTCTTTGCAATTTTCTTACCATGTGGGGTTTGTTTTGTTTTGCCTACCTTTCTGGGTGCCTAACCCCAGTCAATGGCAGATAAGGAAATCTCCAATCATAGGGGGGTTTCCAGGGCCATTACTCCCTGAACCTTTCTGAGGGGGGGCCAGGTTCTGGCTCATGGTCCCCAGAAGGCTGAACTCCTTTGACTAATGCCCTAGACTAATGAATTGCATATTAGTCCTATAGCTTCAGGGAAGTATCTGGGGCTGTCCCAGAAAATGGTGTTTCTTTACATTCAACGCTGGTTTTATTGTGCAGATTAAGGACTGAGCCTTTTGAGTATTTTTCATGTAGAGACATACTTGTTATTATTGTATAATCTCTATGGACATGTACAGTATTCTCAATTTGTTACTTACGCCTAAAATAATAGGGGTTCCTTGGGGTACTGGAAAAACAATACAGATAATAACATGATTTGATATATAAATTCCATGTACTGTCTATTTTAATTTTTTGTAGTAAGTTTTTTCTAATAAGAAAAACAATTTTGGCATTTCTATAAATACAGTGGTACCTCCATTTTCAAATTTAATCCTTTCCTAGATACTGTTCGAAAACCGAAAATTGGAAAACCAAAACAAATTTTCCCATAAGAAATAATGTAAATTGAGTTAATCCGTGCCACACCCCCAAAAATATTAACTTAGAAATACATTTTATACACACTACTACTGTACTTATATTTTGTACTACAGTATGTACAGTATAAGTATATCTTACCTTTATTGAGGACTCTTGTTGGGGTATAGAAGACAGTGATGAAGGGGGAAGGGGGAGAGGTGTTAGTGTTTGAAAGGGGAGTCCCTTTCCATAATAACAGCAGTGATGACATTTCTGGGTTACTCTCTCAAGTTTTGCAGGCATACCACTAGAACCTATTTGTGGCTCACTGCTTGCTTGTCTTACGAAGAATCTGTCTGTAGACACTTGTTTTTCCCAATGTTTTATCACTTGTCTGTAGTTTTTCACTTGTCTGTAGTTTTCACATAAATGAGGTCTTTTGGAATTGTTTATATTTATATTCTTAATATGCTGTATAACATTTAATTTTGCTGTTACTGCTATTCATAGGTCAGAATTGTCTGCCCTCCGAGCAGAATACACTTATATACAATCTGAGAAAGATGGAAATGCAAGACAAGTATCGTCACTTTCTGAGGAGCTAAACAGGAGGGAGAGTTCACACCATGAAAAAATTGCTATCCTCGAAAGTAAGATGGAAGGTAAAATTACTGAATACCAAAGGATAATTGCCAGCATGTCTAATCAAAATGAAGCAATGAGTAATAACTTTAAGGTTAGTGACAATATCTTTTGTAGGTTCAAGGTAATTAAGAGTCAAATCCTCTTCTTAGTGGGTAATGCTCATGTGATAGTTTTGTTGACTTTGTATTGTTATCAGGAAAAAAGGGTTGTAAATATTTGTTTATGCATTTTTTAAAGTGAAATCCTGGCAACAGTTTGCAATATGTATAAATATTGATGAGTGTTTGGAATACTTATTATTTAATCTTGCTGTGAATTTGCCAGATATTGAATGTGCATGTTATTCATTGAAATTAAGTTCAAGCAAGCTTTCTAAGAGAAGAGTCTTCACAAAATAAAGTTGTAATTAAATAAATGGAAAGACAGCAGAAAAGTATTTAAATATTTAAATAGATTTCTAGTAATGAAACCAAAATTAATCATTTTAAAGTTTGATTTTTTTCATTTATCTTTTACACAAATTAAATATTTTTATTCTCTTGTGGTCTTGAGAAGTCTTGTCTGGGAAGCTGGAACTCAGGTTTACAAAGCACAAGAAACATAATGACACAGCTAGTAAAATCATACAAGTTTGATGGGTTAATAAGTAACTTATAAAATCACAAGATAAACAAACTTGGTTATTGATTGGCATAAACAAATAATTAAAAATAATGTCCACTCCTCTGATGTGTTTCATATTTTTCATCCATCTTGATTGTTTTATCAGTGTAATTTTATCATGGTATAACATTTGCATTATCAATGCTAGTGGTTTTCATTAACTTTGATGTTAATAACAAATTAACTGTTAAAAGCTTATTATAAATTAGTAAAGGTTAGAAAGAAATACATTTCCTTTGGTAATTAATTCCTTTTTAATCAACAGAAACAGTTGGATACTTTGAAGCAAACTCACTCCCGAGAAGTGGAGCAACTAGCAACTAAACTTGAAGAATCTGAGGACAAGTTATGGCAGCTAAAGAATACTATTAGCAATTCAGTTCCTGCAACGCCCTCCAATGTTAGCACTACTCTGGCCACTACTTCTAGTGCTCCTAACCTGGTGCGCTCGGAGAGTGACCACAGCATGCCAGGAATGAGCCACAGCAATGCTCAGCAGCATCGTCGCCAGCTCAGCCATGGCGACGAGCCCAGGATTGATGTCACGAACATGGTCAGAGAGGAGGGAGAGGTTAGTGTTATGGTGTGAATGATTTATTCATAATTAACCTTCTTTCACTAATTATTATTTGTCTTTTTTCAAACTCATTTATTGTCAGCTTTTATAAACACAAATATTACTATCCCATAGTTATACAGTATTGCAGTGAGAGAGTAATTGAAAACCAGAAAAAAGTTAACAAATCACTAGATAGGACTGTCACTTTGTTATGAATAAGCATATGTACTTATGTAAGCTTAACTTAGGATATTAGAATATAATAACCAATATCAATTGGATACTCATGTCTTTTCAATCCTGTTGAAATATTATACAGTACAAAGAAGTTTGGAAAACACAAATACTTAGTGCATGCTTAAAAATATCAATATCCCTCATGCCAAATATGTGCAATCTACTTTGTATAAGAATGTGTAGGAATAATTAATATTTTTAAGTGGTTTGACCATGACCCGACTTTTCCATCTTATCCAATGCATTCATTTCATTTTTCTTCCATGTGGATAATAGTTAACCATTCACTGTTTCTTTGGAGTTTCTCTATATTTTCCTTCTACTGTACAGTATACTGTAATTGAAATGCTTAATTGTTTTCTTAAGATGGATGCATTGCTTTTGAATGTATGATTAAGTTTTTGTATATATTCGTAGCTTTTTAGTTTTAGAGCACTGTATTAATATTTATAAGCTTGAAATTTGTAAACTACATGAGCATGATTTAGTTTTTATTGAAAGCTATTTACTTTGATTCTTCTTAGAGTCGTAAGGTGTTAAATAACTGTAAATATATTAAATATGATGCTATGATGCTGTTGGTAAGAGAATATCAGTTGCAAGCAGGTTATTGCAGTTTTATTAATACATATTTAAATTTCTTTGTGTATTTTGTGACTTGATACATATTAGTACTGCTTTGTACAGTAATTACAGTAGTTTTTGTTTTTGTTTTAGCTGTATTTAAAAATTTGAGAATACTGTACAAATATTTTGACTTGCTCAAATCCTTTAAATACACAGAAAAATTTTCATGGTCATGCTTATAGTGCTTACAAATTCAAACGTCAGAAATACTATGATAGTGTGAAACAACTTTGTTCTTCTCTTCAGAATATTCATCAGAGAGGTATCTTGTGATTTACACCAAGGACAATTAGTGAAGGTCAGGTCCCTGATTGATTATATGAATGATGGAAGTGGGGGTTAGAGGTACACCAGAAGAATGAGGATCATTCCAAAGCAGATTCAGAGAGCATATTGTTACCATTAACATTCATGGAAGACTACTTTCTGTGGGGAGCCCTGTCGGCTCCCTGAAGCTATCAGAATTTATATGAGCTATGTTTGTTTGGGGGTCATCAGTCACAGGAGTTCTTATGCCTACCAGGAACCATGAGCCAGAACCTGGTCCCCTCAGAGAGGAGCAGGGAGCAATGGCCTATGAGGACTTTACATTTAATGTACCGTATTTGCTGGTGTATAAGACACGCTTATTTTATTTTTAAATGTGTCCAAAAATTGCCCTGCGTCAAATGCGGCTGTATTACGGATGTGAGACTGAGTGCCGTAGGCTAGGGAGCCGGACGAGTGTACTGGGTAGTTTCACTAGGCATAAAAGTTTTTGTTAATAATAAAATATTGAAAACAAGCCAAATTATTCAAGTACAGTAAATTGTGTTATTAACACTGTTACTAATACTGTCCTACTAAACCCTCTCCAGGTATGATGGATAGGTGAATGGGTAACTGGCTGGCTGGTAGACAGGCAGGAGTGGGGGGGGGGCAGGCAGATGGTTTGGCTGGCTAATGGGCAGGCAGGTAGACTGGCTGGCTAGTGGGCGGGCAGGTAGACTGGCTGGCTAGTGGGCAGGCAGCTGGACTGGCTGGCTAGTGGGCAGGCAGGTGGATCTTTATTTTCAAAGATTTAGAATATAGGTTTTTAGTATAGTTTACTGTAAAAAAAAATCGTCAATATTGTATATCATTTGAAAATAGGCGCCAAATTTAGACAAAATAAATTATAACTCCAAACTTTTAGGGTTTATAAAAATCCATTCAAAAGGGATTATAGAACAGACAGCTGTGCACACTATATGTAAATATAGTGTGTTCTTTTGCAGCACCTGAGAAATTATTTATCATTCAATCAAATTCATTGTACAAGACTTTAACATTTTTTAACCCATTATGAGCAGATTAGGGAAATATTGCAGGTACCACAGATGAATGTTTTGAAGGGCAAATTACAATCATAAAAGGACTGATCATCTAGAGGTAATCAACATTTTTCTAACTCTAGAATTTAATTATGGTTGTAAGTGGTTAATGGGTTTCTTTCATAGTAGTGTCTATGATAACGCATGTTTAGCTTAATTATTTGTGTAAATCATTTCCAGTAAGCCTACAGTATATTGGTTAAATCACATTCTTGAAAACGCTCATGTTCTCCACATCACCGTTGTCAGAAATGTTGGTTCCAGTATGCTGTATTGTGAAATTGTTTAGAATTATTAATTGACATATTAAAGAGCCTGTCTATATAAGCAAAATTCAGAGGTACTTATAACAAAAACAGCATACTTTAAAATTTCTTCATTAACTGAATGTCTTTCACATAACCGTAGGGCTCAGAGTGGGTGGAACCTGTTCATCGTTCCCCGGGTAAACAAAGGGGTTATAGCCCTCCGCCCCTAGAGCAACTTATAAATTCCCCTCTTACATCCCAGGATGACAATGTCAGCATTGCCAGCATCAACACAGATGCTACTGGGAAGGAGATGGCTAGGCTTGAGGCAAAGGTGAGCATCTTGTTGATGATTAAGATATTTGTTTTGTGGCTTGCTTGGTTTTGTGCACAACTTTGAATTAGATATCTTTCATAGTTCTTGAAGTTAGCGTGAGTTAAAACTATGATTTTAAAAATTTTCTATACTACATATGCAATTGCTGATTCTTAACCCCTGCATTGCGCACCTGTTTTTGGCAAAAACTTCATAGTGCAATTGTTAAGGACATATTTTTGTTGTTTTTATAAATATTCAGGTAAAGTTAATGTCAAAATGTTTCCAAACTCAACCATTTTCATTTCAAAACACAAAGAGTGATGAAAACATTAAAAAACATTAAAATATAGCCTAATTAAAAAAAGATAGTACAACTCTCAGAACGAGATTTCTCGGTTGGCGCAGCACAGTGGTTAAAGAGGAATCTTTTGCCAACTTCATGTTCTCTTTCAAAAAAGTGATTGTCTTTTTCTAATCTAGCAATGTTTTTCTTTAAACTGTATGTAAAGGAAGTGTATGTATTTATTGGGAGTATATATATTAAAAGTTGTTCCTATTAGGTATCATTCGTATAAATACCTTATGGTTTTGACTAGTTCATTTTTCTATATTTTCTATGTGGGAGGGAACCCCCCTTGTAGCTCCCTGAAGTTACTACTGTATACTGATTTAGTACTAAACTACTATGTGCCATCAGTTGCAGAGTTCTTATTGGCCTACCGGGGACCATGAGCCAGAACCTGCCGCCCCCCTCAGAGAGGTGCAAGGAACAGTGATACAATGAAAAATGTAATGTAAATTTATTCATGTCTGCCACCACCAAGGGAAGGCATCCAGAATATCAGCGAAACAAAATGACCACTGCTTAGTTAAAAACCATTTCGCAGCCTCAAAAGAGCCTAAAGAACTACACCAATAATGTAAACATATGATAACCTGAGCCTGATAAGAGCTACTTTGCTCAACCTCCTTCCCCATGTTTATGGGGAGGATGCTCTGGTTTTGGGTTGCATGCTAGATTTTCTTTGTTGCAATAAGCCAGGTTGGTCGCTTAGTTTGAAGCCCTGGAGATGCCCTGCGTGGGTTTTAGGGACCAGGATTTGAGGGCGTTGGTTGCTTCAACCTTGGTTCCATTCGTGCCCTTACTTCCTTCCCTAGTGGGCATGGTTCGCCCTGATCCTTGCTCCCTGCTTCCGGCTCCCAAACATCTGAGGATTTTGGAGTTGGGGCGGGGTTTAGCTTGAGATGAGGCTCGGGTAGCTTCAGGGACTGCCTCTTCCGATTCGGGCGCGGAGGTGGTCGAGTCCGATTTTTCCGCCAAAGCTTCTGGGTCGACCCAGCAGACTCCCTTCTTTGAAGCTTTTTCTCTGGACACTGCCTTTTCTTCAGGAGTGGTGGGCATGGAAGAGGGGCCTCTATCGGGGGGTTCCCAGGGCTCGGGGGGAGTCTGTTAGGAACGCTTTGGCTCTGTTTGCCCCAGCTTAGGTCTCTGTACCTTCTGGGCTGGGGTTGTTGCGGTGGGAGAGGGGGATTTCATCACCACCTCCTGCATTGGTTTTACCATATTTGCCGGCATGAATTATGCACCTTCACATCGGGCGCATCCATCTTGGGTTTGGATGTTTTGCAGCAGTAAAGTTGTTTATGTTTTGGCAGCTATTTTGCACTACTGTGCATATTACTAATATTAATATATCACTACTAATATATCACACATTAGCCCGATAGCTCCAGGGAACCTCCAGGGAACCTCCAGGGCTCACCCAGAAAATGGCGTTTTATTACATTCAACGCTGGTTTTCTGGGCGAGTCCCAGAGGCTCCCTGACATCCTCCCTCCCTCCCTCCCTCAGGTCGGCGGTTTTTCATCACTACGAACTGGAAGGGTGAGCCGCCGGCTCGTCTGAGCAGGCTCCCCCTTCCCCCATGAAAGGGAGGGGAGAGGCACTAAGGAGTGGGCGTACTAGTTGGATTACGATTTGCTTGTTTGTTTTCTTGGGGGCGGGGGGGGGGGAGGGTAGGTTCTTTGGCTCTGTTCAGACATTGGTTGCAATTTTTACCAATTGGGGGTTTGTATCATTTTGCCTATCTTTCTGGGTGCCCTCCTTAGTTGATGGCAGACATGACATACTCTAAATGTAGAGTGCTCATAAGGCCATTGCTCCATGCGTCTCTCTGAGGGGACCAGGTGCTGTTTCATTGTTTCTGGTAGGCACAGAACTTCTGTGACTGATGACTCCAAACTAATATGGCACATGTCAATTTAAATAGCTTCAGGGAGCCTCTGGGGCTTGTCCAGAAAATGGTTTTTCATTATTTTCAACTCTGGTTTTTTCTAACATTTTTTTCTGCTTAACATTAGCAGCTTTGCCAAATAGCAATCACATCAACTTATGTTTTCCCCACCAGACAGCAACACCTACACCAACACCCAATTTTCCCCCCAACTATCACATTCTTCTTGATTGTGATGGTAGAGAAGTGTCACGGGGCTGTGATACTTTGGGTGGTTAACCCAAATTCAACTTACCACTCTACTGTGCTCTGGGGCTGCCTTACAACCCTGCATTGCAAGTCCTCCAGGCAGGGTGAATCATGGCCCGGCCCCCAGGAAAGTTGCTTCCAAATTTAATATATCTAAGGGTATGAGGTGATACTCCACACTGGACACAAAGAAACATATGTATTCTTTTTAGTTTACACAGTATTTTTATTAGTTAATCACAGTATTACTCCCATGAAAAATGCCCTGGCACTGCCTGTTGACATTTACTCTATGCTCAATATCTCCCTGGAACAGGAATAAAAGCTCAGAAACAAGACACTCTAGGCAGGCCTAAAACCTGTAAAGGAGTTACATTTGGAATGAGTAACTCCACAATACATAAGAAAATCCTGCCTTGCCTTACTCCCACAAAACACAATAATCGTGGGGGCAAGACTAGAGTTGCACACAAAGATAACAGTTATAAAATTAGACCAGTGGCCAATACATATGAGACATTAAGGACTTATCTAAGGCAAACTCCTAATAGTCAACTCAACAAAACATGATCACTCTAGAACAGTCTAGCTAGAAATTGAATGCACATCTTTACCCTGCTTCAAAAAAGTTCAAATGATCATATTGTAACAATTCTACACTGACAATCATTTAACCACCACCACCATTCTCTTACATTAACCCTCAGGTATTTTGGTGGCCCTCCTCTAGGCCCCCATGATTGTACACGTTGCAGGGGTTCAGTTTTTAGTTCATCCCCTTTTATTTGTTATTTGAGTTTAACCGGCTTTGCTGTACCTTGCCTGGGCATCCCATAGCAGTCAGCCTATGGTCCCTGGAAAACCCCATCAGGGCTCAGTAGACTAATGGATGCTACTTCTGAGTTCCAGCTCGCCTCGTGCGAGTTTGAAGGTTGTTCTGTGACAGTCACCTTTTTTGTTGGGAGCTCCTTCGACTATCTGGAGCTATAGGACTGATGGGGTCTATATTAGTCTGGAACTTCAGTCAGTGAAATCCTGCCTACCGGGGACCAGAGCCAGAACCTGGCCCCCTTCAGAGAGGCACAGGGAGCAATGACTTAAGGAGACCCCCCTCGTATTTGGGGTATTCCTTGTCTGCCATTGACTGGGGTTAGTCACCCAGAAAAGTAGGCATCTCAAAACAAACCCCACATAGTAGGAATTTGCAAGCAAAAACAAAACTGAACAGAGAAACAGAACTCCTCAAAGGAAAACAAAGGAAACGAGCAAACAAGCAATCTTCACTCACTGCTGCCGCACCACTTGTCTGCACAGCCCTTCTCCTCCAAAGATGGGGAGGGGGAGCCCCGGACCTACATGCCGGCTACTCACACCTCAGTTCAGAGGCTGAGCATCAAAAACGAAACTGCTGACCGGTGGGAGGGAGGAAGGGGTGTCAAGGATCCTACGGGCTCGCCCAGAAAATGGCGTTTCGTTACATTCAACACTGACTTTCTGTGGGTAGCCCCTTCGGCTCCCTGGAGCTACATAACCAAAGATTTGTTCAACCAAAGATAAGTAAAAGAGGGACTTAATCGGGAGGCGGCTGCACCGCGTAGATCAATTTGAAGAAGAGACAAATGGCTGCAAACTGCAACCCAAAGCTACACATAAACGACTGGGACCAGGAATATTTACCAAATAACGGGCGGCCAGGACCCTGTTCGGCCTCCAAAACCCCCGCGCCCAAATGTGAGCTCAGGACATGTTGCCAAACACGGCAGTCAAGGCAGCATACTGACGAACGTCATGGGCACGTGGGTAGACTGCAGGCTGGCTAGACTTAATAATCCTGCAGACGATCTGAGAAACCTGAGCCCTAGAACAGGGAAAATAGAAATCAAATAAACCCAAAGTGCGACCACGGCCCCAGCGGCCAAGGTGCACAGGTAACGGCACAGAGCTGTAACCGGACACAACACATGATGCACCCCCGGCCTGACCAACCAAGCATCAAAAACCCACGAACCCCTCCGGAAGCCTGCCATCTCGTTCTTCACCAGAAAAGGAGATGGCTGCAACCAAACAAAACGTCCACCAGGATCAAACCTCTGTGCCGGAGGAGAGCATGAAGCTCCCCGACCCGACCCCCAGAGGCCAATGCCAACAGAAACAGAGCCTTCTGGAAGCAATCTTGAACCGAAAGGGCCACCATAAACTGAGGAGAAGAGAGAGAGAAGAGAGCACCCTGTCCAAGGACCAGGACGACTCAGGCGGCGCATGAGCAGGCCGGAGGTGAAACAAAACACAAGAAAGCTTAAGGAATGCAAGCTGGATCGGCTCTGCCAGCCCCGCATGATACGAGGAAAGGAAATTGTGAAAAGACCACCAAGACACCTCATACCATCGCCAAGACGAGGGCTGCAGGTGGGATATTATTCCCGAAGAAAGAAATTTTCTGCATAAAGAGAGGGCTGGGTACATATAAGGCTTAGGCTGATATGTCTTAGGCTTAGGTCAGGCTTAGTAAGCCAAAAACCACATGCTGACTGAGAAGGCAGGACACCCTAGGTAGATGCCTAACTACAAACATGTAGTAAGATCTTCATGTACCACTGGCCTGAATCTCAGCAAGAGTTATTGCAGAAGAAAAGACTTCAAAACTTGTACAACTTTTAATTCTGTGCATATAGTTTTGAGAATACTGTATAACAATTTTACAACTCAGTGGGTGAGTTGGGACACGAGGGTATGTTTTATTGTTGCCCATGGTGATGAACCTATAGTGTTGCCCTGTCTATGTGCCTGATTCTCTTCCCCATATTATGTGTCATTTTATCTTATTTGTAACCAGGGACTGCTACACATATACTGTTCACTCAGTTTTGTTAATAGTTGGGAAGTTGATGCAATGGTTTGTCCACTAACATTACAATCTTGTCATATTTTCTGTAAGTTTCAATATTTGCAAATAGCTCACTTCCATACTTTTAGACACTCATCATCTGCTTGATTTACTCAAGAATACATTTATGTAAAATTTTCAGTTGAATGCTGGCGAAATGCGAATCCAGCAGCTGACAACACTCTTGCACGAGTCAGAAGCAGAGAATGCTAAGTTGGCTCAGCTTTCAGATGCTCTTAAAGAAGAAATTCGAAGATCCGTAAGAAATGAGCTTCGTGAAAAACACATGGAAAACATGGAGTACATGAAAAATGTAATATTAAAGGTCGGTAGCTGCATCAAATTTTATTGTAAATCAGTTTGAAAATTATGAATTTAATCTGCTTTACAATATTCAAATCAACGATGGTAAAAATCATAATATCCATAATAATGAGAGCCACATTGCACTCGGTTCAAGACAAGTTCTTCGTTAATTTTTCTGAGCTGTCCCACTCTATTGTTCCTACTCTCCTTTTGATTGAACTAGTAACATTCAGGGTAGATTAGCATTCTGCACCAACCCAGTGGTTTGTCCCATTATTTATTCTGAGGGTTTGTTCCACTATTCATTTGCGTTCCTGCTGGTAGGCTGGTAGGCAAAGTGCTACTTTGGCCATTTATGTACCTGGGTTTGAGTAGTACAGGACTAGTCGACCTTCTTGGATCTTTGATCTTCGAACTTCCAATGCATTTCCTGATCATCTACTGTCATCTGTGATTTCCTGGTTTGCTAGGTGGTTGTTCCCGGCTTCATCTGGGGTCCATTTGACGCCTTTCTATGTTCTGTTGTGGGTTGCACAAGCTGACTGTGTTGTTGGCTATCTCCTTTCTTGGTTTTGGTGGTGGCATCTGGACTACAATCTTCAGTTGGATTATTCCTTCCTAGCAGTGGGTTTTTCCATGAGTTTTCTCTTTGTGAGACTATTTAGGAGGGGCATCTTTTCCTCGGTCAGAATTTTGGGGTGTTGATCACTCTGACTTTTGCACCTCTCTGGTTCTCTTTGGTGATCAGTTTTGGCATCTAGTTGCTGGCTTCTTTCTGTTAGCTTTACCGTATTGGCAGTAGACACATTGTACCGGGATGTCTTTTTGGGTGCATCCTTGAAGGTATGTGGCCCTGCTGTGTCTTCCAGGCTTTTTCTGGGTTTTCTTCTCTTGAGTTTTCTTTGTTTTTGTTATCCCTTTGGGGTTCTTTATTCATTATTGGATATGTGACATCTGCAATAAACTTTACTTTCTACTTTCTGAGTTATGTCCCAGTGGCTTATGTTTCTTTGGTGGGCTCCTCTAATTTACCACTTGATTCTTGGCTGGTCATTTCTGATTTATCTTGGCCTGCTGTTTGGGTGATAGTTCACTGGCTGTTGCTGTCATCAACCTTGTTTGACTGACACCCTATTTGCTTCTTTCCTTCCAGAATTCTTTTTTTCTTTTGCTCTTGGCTGCTTTCATGGAGCTCTTGATGTTTTTGTCTTCTACCCTTCTTCCGGTTCAAGGGCACACTTCTTTCCCCGTGCTCTGTGAGTAACTCGGGAAGTTACTGAGGGGCCCAGACTAGCCACAAATAGAGTTCTGTTCCTTTAGGTTTAAATTTTCCATTTGGGGTATTGAGCTGAAATTGTAAACTTACCCAAAACTGAGTTGAATATTGTGTTTATAAGGTATAAATGATCTTATTATTGCAACAAAAATGATTTACAGTGTTAATCATTCAATCCACCTTAGGTCCTTTCCACTTGAAAATACAATACCACTGGCCTTCTTTCCTCTACACCTATTTCCTGTACTCCAGAACATTAGTTTGAACTGAATCTGTGAAATCATTTCTTGTACCAGTTCTGTTGCTTTTAGCAATTTTTGTTTTCTACAAAGAAAGTCTAATCTCATGTTGATGTTTCCCAACATCTAGGTAGGTTAGCATATAATGTATAAACAATTGTCTGAGAGTTGATTCTTGGGAGATCCATTTGTTCTCTCTCTATATCATCTTCTTTCTCTCACTGAGAGTCTCTGTATTCTTTTTGACACTTACTGGTCTACATTATCCTTGTGTCTGTGTAATGCATAATATTTAGATCTTATCGAACTTAGTAGAAATCTTGGCCTTTCTTAGTCAAAATAATTTTATCCTATTCATGATATTCTCCTGAATAGTTATGTTGTTCATTCATTTGAATTCACATATTTTAACAGACTTATTGATTTTTAGTTTCTAGTGCTGAAGAACGGTGAAGAAAGGAAGCATTTGGTGCCAGTTTTGAAGACTGTTCTGCAACTCTCACCAACAGAAACTTCTCAGCTTGAACTCCTGGCTCTTGGTGAGCTCTTTGTAAATTTTGTTGTCAATCAAACTACATTTGAAAATTTATTAATTAGTTAAAAATAGTCTTTATTATTTATGTAAACTTTTAACAAGGTTGTCAGAAAAATTTGTGGATAATTCTTAGCATGGCTAAATGATTCAAAATGGAGTTCACAGCCATTCTTTGAAAAGACAGTCATATTGACAATTTTACATTTCTGCACAGCAGTTTTTTGTATGAAGTGTTACCCTTCAAGACTAACAAGATTACTTGTAAGAAAAAGAGAAGGCTACATGCTAGCATATTATTAAGGCATGTGCTTATAACAAACAATGGTTACTGGGGCACAATAGACCAGGTAATCACCAGGGAAGGTGACTACAAGAAATGAAGAGGAGAGGCTTTGGAATTTATATTATTCAAACACTAACATCAGAGGTACACCTAAACAAGATAACATCAGTGATATATGGGAAGTTGGCATTCATGAAAAAAGCATATAAAAATCTAAAGGAAGCTTTTATGAACATATACATAGTCTGTCACAATAACATGGCTGAAGATATGCAGATGATGAGTCACAATAACGTGGCTGAAGTATATTGACCAGACCTCACACTAGAAGGTGAAGGGTCGTCCCTTCACCTTCTAGTGTGGTCTGGTCAACATGACTGAAGATATGACGATCAAACAACACACCATAAGATGAGGAGACGACGACATTTTGGTCCATCCTGGACCATTATTACAATCAACTTAATAATGGTCCTGGATGGACCAAAACGTCGTCATGTCCTCATCTTCTCGTGTGTGGTTTGGTCATCATAGTCTGTGACACCATTACTGAAGTATGCAGTACCGACATACACCCACACCTCGTAAGCACTAAAAGATACTTGAGAATGTTCCAGGGTCTCCCACTTCCTATATACAGTATAGCAAAACAAGGTCAGTTTAAAAAAATCTTCACAGAGTTGGCAATGTGAAGATTGTATTGGATATTGTTCTGTACAATGTCACTGGCTCTGGCAAAGACCACAGCCAGGACATTGTACTGTACTGGGATGTCCCAGTATTTCTGGGACATTCAGTATTGCCTAAGTGAGCAACAGTAGCCTAATCAGAAAGCTCAGAAAGGAAGTTTTTAATTTATACTTAATTCTTTGTTAATTATGCATTTTTCCCCTTTCAAAATAGCATTCTATTTCTTTGCAGAAGACTTTATAGTTGTAGATGTACTCAAATGAACTGTAAACATAGAAGAATCTTTCCTGACTTGCTTGATTAAAATCTAACAGTGTTTAGGGTTTAATGCTCTTGTTGCTTCATGTTTCAGGTAACGATGGAGACGGAGGCAGCCAAGCTGGTTGGGGCAATTACCTTCACCTTTGGTCCAGCAGATAATAATTTGACATTGAACTAACATTTGATTATTTACTTGATTTGCAAGTTTCAGAAATACATTTGAGACAAAGTAATTGCATATAAAAAGTATTTAAAAATAATAAAATAATTTATGTGAGAACTTTAGTTGAGTATTTAACAAGCCATCTTTTTTTCTTCCTACTCAAAATTAGAAGTTAGAAAGTTTTACAGTAATATACAATAGCCATTGAAAACATTAACAAATTATTTTGCAATTTTAGAGAAACTAACTGAAGATTGGCATATTACCAGGTTAATATTACATTTGTTATAGAAGTATTATTGCCTGACTTTGCTACAACATACCACATGAAGTTATCTGTTATACACGCCTTCTTATATACACCTCCAAGACAACCAACGTTAGCTTAGTCTCAATCTTGGTACAGTCATATTTGTGTGTACCTTTTCAAATAGCACTTGATACCAGTTAAGGAAAGGATAACGTCTTAAGCTTTTGGGGTTGGTGAGTACTATACTTTCGGGGGTGTGAGTACAATGTGCAGGAACTTGATTGTTCCACACGATATCCCAATGTACTTAATTTATTAAATTATAAAGAATTTAAATGTACATATACAGTACAGTACTGTACTGTTTATGTACATTTGCATACATATTTATTTACATGATATTTACTGTTCAATACAACAGTATATTTAAATGTACTGATCATGTATTTTATTTGTTTATAAAGAGTGTTGATGGGAAACAGATGTACTGTTTCATACAATAGATGTACTATTGTATGTACTGTAGCAAATATTTACACATTAATTTCTTAATATTAAAATATTCATATGGAGTTGAGACTATACTTGGTACAGTATACACCAACCCATTCTCCTGTTTGGATAGTAGGTTTTGTAACTATATGCACCATAATACAAAGATTGCCATTCTAAGCAGTTAGATAGTAGAACTTTGTATTATTCACTTTATAGAGTCGGAAAAAAATGAAGCTAAAAAACATATTTAAATATTCCTAGGCCTAGTATAGCATACACATTCACTATATTAGGCCTCAGATATCATGTATTAGGCCTAGAAAGGTTAGGTTAGTTTAGTTTGTCTTTGCAACATAAGTAGAAAATACTTTTCCAGTTTGTCCAACTCAATAGTGCCAATTTCTACTTTCTAATTTTAGTGTATGTCGGTATATGTATACTATGGTCCTCATTGTTACTATAAATACTACCAAAATAGGAAGATGGGCTGTATATACGTGTGGTTGTATAGAGACAAACGTATGTGTTATATACATATGGTTATACGCAGTTGAGGATAAGTGCTACATACATATGGTTGTACAGGGTCAAGTATAAGTTGGATGCACATGTGGGTGGTAAGTCAGGTATAAGTTCGATGTACATGTCCCCCACATGTAAGTCAAGTTTACGTTCTCTGTACATGTGGGGGTAAGTCGAGTATACGATCTATGTACACGTGGGGGTAAGTAGAGTATAAGTTTTATGTACATACATACAGTTTGTGGGTGTACAGAGCTAAGCACAAATTCTATGTACATGTGGGTGTACAGAGTTGAGCATAAGTGCTATATACATGTGGTTAAGCTTAAAATTCAGTCAGAGGTGGCAATCCTCTCTTTGCGAGTTTGTCACACACTTATAATCTTTCTTTTGAAAAGTTTGAGTTCTTACTTGACAATATACTGTAATACAGTACTTTATATCTGTTGTAAGAGATTCACATGATATAACAGTTGTGAACTATACATATTATATCTTTCCAGTATTTAGCAGCAATATATGTTTGAGGTCACCCATTCAGAATTTCTGTGGCTTTTTGTTGTATTTGATTGATACATGCATACCACAGAAAATGTTTTAAATTTAACCTCAATAAGCAAAATGCTAGTAATATGGGTGGTATTAGATTATTGTAATATGGGTGATGTCAGAATGGTTGTAATATGGGTGATGTCAGAATGGTTGTAATATGGGTGATGTCAGAATGGTTGTAATATGGGTGATGTCAGAATGGCTGTAATATGGGTGATGTCAGAATGGTTGTAATATGGGTGATGTCAGAATGGTTGTAATATGGGTGATGTCAGAATGGTTGTAATATGGGTGATGTCAGAATGGTTGTAATATGGGTGATGTCAGAATGGTTGTAATATGGGTGATGTCAGAATGGTTGTAATATGGGTGATGTCAGAATGGTTGTAATATGGGTGATGTCAGAATGGTGTAACAACTGCTTCTACCATTGTAACGGTTGCTAATATTTTGTAACCCCTAAGGCTGTAATAATTGTATTTTACAACCCCCATAAGATGGGGTTATAATATCCTATGTAATATGGGTGGTGTTAAAATAGTTGTAACATGGGTCGCATCAGAATGAACCTTATTTACTCTTTTACCCCTAAGTTGATGGTGTCGATCAGTTGGAAGGTGTCAACCAGTACCCCAGAGATGGATGGTATCAATCACTACCCCACAGTTGGAAGGTGTCAACCAGCACTCTTGCATTAGATGGTGTCAATCATTATCATGGATTATCATTAAAAATTATAGGTTGCAGTTTTAAATTGTATAGGGAATGAAGGAGATCCATATAAATTCTACTTCGTGGTCTAGTTTAATATTTAGTGCATCATTCCATTCATAAATATTATAAGGTTTTGATTTGAAAATGTTGAAGTGTATAGACTATTATATGAACTTGCCTCAACATTTGTATTGTTGACATCATGTTTTTCTTAGTTCACTTTACACAGTTACAATCTTAATTTATTTAGTAAATAGTTTCAATTTGATATAACTTGAATTCTCGTATAATATTCTCATATAATATTTTTTAGCTGCAAAAGGTGCTTATGCTTTCTTGAAGCAAAATGTTGTATAAACTTTCATGGTGTGTTTAGTTATCTGATTTAGTTATGCCCTGGTAATGGGATTCAATCGCTCTGATACTTTAATATGAATTTTTAGAAGCCAGTGAATGGGTGTTTTATATACATATTGGAATATAATGTGTCATATTAAGATGTACTGTATATATATATATTTATGCAGTGTGGTATTGTAAAAATGCTTGGTTTGCAGAAGATGTGTGTGAAATATATACAGTATTGTTATTGCCAATAACTTTATATTGTGATCTTAGTGTGTACAATAAATTTATAATAGATTTGCATTAGGATGAAGTAGTAATTAGAAGTAGGTTATCATTGTGCGTGAATATTATAAAATTTGTTTGACAAGATTATATGCTACTAAAGTAAATTAATATTAAGCAGATTTAGACCTTGTTCCTCATCATGTGAATGCCTATTGAAAATATCTTTCCATACTTAGGACCATTAACACCAACAATTTGTTTTCCAAACTCATGAAGTCACTGCATCTACTATAGAAGCACAACATCTTTGCTTGAGATGTGTAATATGAATGGTTTTGATCCTTTGTAAGCAATGCAATTACAGCTTGTTGCATCATACATTTATCAATTCATATATACTGTATTCTGTAACATTCACTGAAGACCAAATGCTCTTACCATGCCTAACTTGCAAGTGACATTGGTCAAAACTGCCTTTCAATCAGTAAATTGCCACCAGTACGCCTCACTCCACAGCACCACTCGCACAATCAATGGGAGGAGAAACCTCTATCAAACTGTATGTACTAGGAAGCACACTTGTTGAAGCTTTGTTTCACCTGGTAACACCTTACATTGATTGGCAAGATTTACAAGATTAATGGTAATTTTGTTTCTCATTGATCCCTTTAAATCAGATATCATTAGGTATCATTATTGAATGAGATATCATCAGTGAATCCAAGCTATTTTATATAGCTCATGTACTGGTATCTTCAGCAATATATTCAGTACATGTTTCACTTTTACCTGTAACCTGAATAGTGTAGTGCTGTATTGCTGTACAGTACTGGCTGTTCACTTATTTTATCATTACTTGCTTCCTCAGCATGAGTTGAGGGCATAAGTTAGTATAACTATTTTACTTTAGTTAATACAGCACTACATTATTGTTTTCTTGTGAGAGTGGTTAAGATACTATGATTTGAGTTTAAAGTAGAAATTTACACAGGCTACCGTTTGTTTTGATGATCTGCACTGCAGGAGGCAAAAATTAAACTGGACAGGGTTTGAATTAGTAAGCTGTGATAGAGATGAAAATTGCAATAATAATACCTAATAAAATTGCCCTGATATGCTTTAGTGATTTCAAAGTTTACTAAAATTACACATAGGATCATTTAATTTTCCTATTATATTAATTGTATGAATAGGAATATGAAAGAAGAGCCAATGAGAAGATTAAGGGACTTAGTGTGTGGAAACTAGATTCTAAACATTGTAAACAAATTTACAACCAACATGAACTTAAAAGTATTTGCATTTCTCACATGCTACTAGATTAGTGCAAATGAAACCTCAGTTATAAAGAAGTTTTTAAATTGTGTAATTTGGTGTATTGTGAAAATCTGTCATAAGATATGCTAAGAATTTGAATTACCCGAAGCATGAGGAGTAGGAACAAGTGTAGGAAAGTGTACTGTATTGCTGTCAAGTGTTTCAAAGAAAATGGTGAGGGAGAGGGATGGGGCTTCAAATAGTTATGGCCACAGAGAAATTTCTACTGTAGCATCACCCCCTCCCGATGAGGATTTCTGGGAAGGCATGAGGCATCGAGGCTATAGATTGGCTTACATGTATGAAAAAATATAAATACCATAATTCTTTAAAAAGTCATATGTAAATAAGCTATTTAGAATATACGCTTGAACTACTCTGCTCAATATATAGAAAATGCAGTGCTAAATAATCTCTGGTTTTAATGCTTTGTATGTGGACCAAATCCTATAATAATAATAATATAGCATCATATATAGTACATAGGAAAATGCTGTACTATTATTACAGTTCAGTACAGTGTATTAAAATAGATAATTTCCTACAGATAATGCATATACCAGTAACAGTAAAATGATCTTATTTGATAGTGTTTGTTCACCTTAATGCTGGAATATCAAGTCATGTTTTGCTGTAAATTATTTGGTATAAAAATATACAGTACCATATGTATTTTTTTGAACATGAATTATATAGTCATTTTTTAAATTTGTTATGTTTTGGTTAATAAATATTTTATAAATGATTTTTTTATCTGTTCTTCCTACAGTTAGTTTAGTTCATTTATTATGCACCCCATACCCAATATGGGGTGCATAATAAATTATGCACCCCATACCCATGGGGTTTATTATGTACCCCATACCCATGGGGTATGGGGTACATAATAAACCCACGCCGCCTTAACTGAGCTACGACATGGTCAAAAGAGTTGAAACCAGAAGTTGTACCTAACCTACTTGGATCCTATAGCCTCTCCGAGACACAAACCAGGGTTTTACACAACTCTCCCATGCACTCGAGCTATGTCAATAGGCCGTTCTACCTCTTCAACCTCTAAATGAACAAATTGGATTTGTTCATTTACTCCTATCATTGCCTGACCTGGTTAATTAGAGAGTGCCAGCGCTGTCTCTCTGAGTGCGCTCCACAACACACCAGTGTTAATAGACTATCTTAAGACCAGGAGTAATAAAGCTCAAAGTGGCTTAGCAAGGCGCGAGGCCAAGGCCGCAGCAGCCTAGTGGTGCCGGATACCATGAAACGTCATAGATTCACCTACTGGGAACAAAAAGTTGCCAGTAGCACGGACTATGGTGAGCCCGTAGTGGACTTACCTGGCACAGGAGCGGGGCAAGTAGCACGGGCTGTGGTGAGCCCGTAATGGACTTACCTGGTACAGGAGCGGGACTGTAACTGGCTGCATAAAAGCTCTAAGTCTCCACTCTCTTCACACATAAATATACTGCTAATTCCTATTGTACCTTTTCCTCTCTATTTAAATAAAGATTATATATGTACATTATCTGTTAGATGGAAATGAATTGCATCTATAAATAAATTCTAGAAGAAATGCGTGCTAGACTAAATTTAACGAGAATTTTCGAAATTATTCATTTAAAATTACAAATTGTATTCGAAAGCCAGTTGTTGACAGCTCAAATAGCCAACTTTTATTCTAATTTTATTCGTGACTCGTACAGCTCGGCTGACAGTGATGATGATAGACATTTTATGTTTCAAATAATCTCTTTATGTAAATCTCTTTATGTATGTACCTTACCTAAATAAAGATTATTATTATTATTATTATTATTATAATCTACTTGCGTCTGGCAGTGCTGCGCTGAGCTAGGCCCCGCCCACTCCCGACAAAAGTTTCCAATAGTGACGTCATCAACGTTGCTTCAACGTCAAACCAACGCCACATTGGCATATTGTGCCACTTGTATCATGCACCCATTAATGTAAGTCTTAGATATCGTGTCCAAGGTGTAGGTTTACACCTTGTAGTTTTACACGTGCATTTTAAGGCGTAACGAGTATATATTTGATATACTATGTCTATGGAACTCACTCCCTAATGAATTGAAAAGCTGTCCAACTTTTGCCTCATTCAAAACCAAAAAGTACCTAATTTCATCTTCATAGTGTCCTACCTTGTGCTTTAAAATTGCACTGTATCTAGTGCCACCCAATCCCCAAACCTTTAAGTACCTAAGCCAAACAACTTTACCATTGTGATCATTGCTGTCATCTTATATGACGTGCAATCAATATGCTGTATTGTACTTATTAATGTTTGTTAAATTACCAATCAAGCTATCAGTGCTATCTACCGATGTGCTTTAATATACCTACTAATCTCTCGTTTTTTCTTGCAATGTACCTGTTATCATTTTATAAATTTTGCTAGAATTTACCTACTTAAAATTATCTGTTAGATTAAGGACCTGCCTGAAACGCTGCGTGTACTAGTGGCTTTACAAGATTGTACTCACCTAGTTGTACTTGCGGGGGTTGAGCTCTGGCTCTTTGGTCTCACCTCTCAACTGTCAATCAACTGGTGTACGTACAGATTCCTGACCCTATTGGGCTCTATCATATTTACATTTGAAACTGTGTATGGAGTCAGCCTCCACCACATCACTGCTTAATGCATTCTATTTGTGAATTACTCTGACACTAAAAAAGTTCTTTCTAACATCCCTGTGGCTCATCTGGGTACTCAGTTTCCACCTGTGTCCCCTTGTTCGTGTTCCACCCGTGCTATAAAGAGTTTGTCTTTGTCCACCCTGTCAATTCACCTGAGGATTTTGTAGGTGGTTATCATGTCTTCCCTTACTCTTCTGTTTTCCAGGAACGTGAGTTTCAGCTCCTTTAGCCTTTCCTCGTAGCTCATACCTCTCGGTTCCGGGACGACTCTAGTGGCATACCTCTGAATCTTCTCTAACTTTGTCTTGTGTTTAACTAGGTGTGTGTGTGTGTGTATACTCTCCTATTTGTGCTTGCGGGGGTTGAGCTCTGGCTCTTTGGTCCCTCCTGTCAAATGTCAATCAAATGGTGTACAGATTCCTGAGCCTACTGGGCTCTATTATATCTACACTTGAAACTGTGTATGGAGTCAGCCTCCACCACATCATTGTGTGTGTGTGTAGATAAGGACTACTGGCTCGAGCATGATATATATAGTTGTGATCAAGTGTTGATAAGGAATGTTGTGTTTCTTGTTTCTTAAGAGTACTCTTGTTATAGTGAAGTCTATATTGTGTTACAATGTTACTTTCTTCACATTCACTTAAGAGTTTTTAATAACACTTTAGAATACTATTCAATAATCCAAGACCACAAATTATGTTTAATATTGTCTTTATTTACTGTAAGCTTGGCTAGACTCATCCTACTGTGCAGGGAAAGTGGTCTAGGTACAGGGCAGACATAGGCGGGTTGTGGCCGGCTTAAGTCAAATATTTTAAGAAATATCAGCCTGTAACCCCCCCCCCCGTGCTATTTTCATTAAGTCTGAAATGATAAATAAATGAATACATAAAAGCTAATGTTTTCCATTGAGTTTACCACGCATTTTCATGATTAACTCGAACACAATAAATTTAATTCATTTTGGGTTACATTGGTCAAGAGTAAGTAAAGAAGGTTACATTGGAGAAGATAGTGAGTAGTGAAGATGGTTATTGAGTTGTACAAACCGGAAAACTATTTTTACTTGTGTTGCTTTGACAAACTAAACTATTTTATTTTTTATATTTATATATATATATACAAGAGTTCTTACATTCTTGTACAGCCACTATATAGCACGCATAGCGTTTTGGGTAAGTCCTTAATCCTAATTTTCACACACACACACACTCACACAGGCAGCAGGGAAGACACCCTCAATTAAATAATTAAAACTAAATGGGTAGAACGCCTAGAGAGAAACGATATAATATCAGACAATATGATTTTCGTTCTGGAAGATCCTGTGTATCGAATTTACTCAGTTTCTATGATCGAGCCACAGAGATTTTACAGGAAAGAGATGGTTGGGTTGACTGCATCTATCTGGGCCTAAAAAAGGCTTTCGACAGAGTTCCACATAAGAGGTTGTTCTGGAAACTGGAACACATTGGAGGGATGACAGGTAAGTTACTAACATGGATGAAAAATTTTCTGGCTGATAGAAAAATGAGGGCAGTAATAAGAGGAAGTATATATCGGACTGGAGAAATGTCACAAGTGGAGTACCACAGGGTTCAGTTTTTGCACCGGTAATGTTCATTGTCTATATAAACGATCTACCAGATGGAATACAGAATTATATGAACATGTTTGCTGATGATGCTAAGATAATAGGAAGGATAAGTAACTTAGATGATTGTAATGTCCTTCAAGAAGACCTGGACAAAATAAGAATATGGAGCACCACTTGCATGGCAAATGGAATTTAATGTAAATAAATGCCATGTTATGGAATATGGAATAGGAGACCATAGACCCCACACAACCTATAAATTATGTGGAAAATCTTTAAAGACTTTTGATAAAGAAGAGATCTAGGGGTGGTTCTAGATAGAAAACTATCACCTGAGGACCCTGGGGGGTAGAAATAGCCTAAGCTACTCTATCACTTTGAGATGTATTTCATTCTTGTCTCAATAAACATACTTGAACTTGAACTTGAACCTGAGGACCACTTAAAGAATGTTGTGCGAGGAGCCTATGTCACGCTTTCTAACTTCAGAATTGATTTTAAATACATGGATGGCGAAATACTAAATAAATTGTTCATTACTTTTGTTAGACCAAAGCTGGAATATGCAGCGGTTGTGTGGTGCCCATATCTTAAGAACATCAACAAACTGGAAAAGGTGCAAAGACATGCTACTAAGTGGCTCTCAGAACTGAAGGGCAAGAGCTATGAGGAGAGGTTAGAGGCATTAAATATGCCAAAACTAGAAGATAGAAGAAAAAGAGGAGTTAAACCTTCTTGTATATAAATAAATAAAATAAATATAAATAAAATGTTTAGAGGAGTTAGCGATGTTTAGAGAGGAGTTAGCGATGTTTAGAGAGATGTTTAGAGAGGAGTTAATGATGTTTAGAGAGGAGTTAGCGATGTTTAGAGAGGAGTTAGTGATGTTTAGAGAGGAGTTAGCGATGTTCAGAGAGGAGTTAGCGATGTTTTGAAAGGAATTAACGATGTTGAGAGAGGAGTTAGCGATGTTTAGAGAGGAGTTAGCGATATTTAGAGAGGAGTTAGCGTTGTTTAGAGAAAAGTTAGCGTTGTTTAGAGAGGAGTTAGCGTTGTTTAGAGAAAAGTTAGCGTTGTTTAGAGAGGAGTTAGCGATGTTTATAGAAGAGTTAGCGTTGTTTAGAGAGGAGTTAGCGTTGTTTAGAGAGGAGTTAGCGTTGTTTAGAGAGGAGTTAACGATGTTTAGAGAGGAGTTAGCGTTGTTTAGAGAGGAGTTCGCGTTGTTTAGAGAGAAGTTAGCGTTGTTTAGAGAGGAGTTAGCGTTGTTTAGAGAGGAGTTAGCGGTGTTTAAAGAGGAGTTAGCGTTGTTTAGAGAGGAGTAAGCGGTGTTTAAAGAGGAGTTAGCGTTGTTTAGAGAGGAGCTAGCGGTGTTTAAAGAGGAGTTAGCGTTGTTTAGAGAGGAGTTAGCGGTGTTTAAAGAGGAGTTAGCCTTGTTGAGAGAGGAGTTAGCGTTAGTGGTGAAGGTTAGCGGAGGCAGCAGGTGGTGGTGGGAGGTGTGAGGAGCAAGAGGCGAGCAGTGAGACCCTCGCCACACACACGTCCACACGCCATGGCGCTCCTGGACGCCCTCGCCACGCTCGCCCTCACTGTGCTCCTCACGCCCTTCCTGGTGGTCCTGGTGACGGTGCTGGTGCTGGCCAGCCTCGGCAAGTCGCTGGGGCTGCGCCAGAAATACGTCCAGTTTCTGCTGAAGGTGTTTGAGGTGAGTGTTTTCGTGGCCTCCCCCGTCACCACCCTGTGGGTGATGGTGGTGACCTGGGGGGCTGCTCTCCCTTCCCCTGGGTGATGGTGGTGACCTGGGGGGCTGCTCCCCCTTCCCCTGGGTGATGGTGGTGACCTGGGGCTGCTCCCCCCTTCCCCTGGGTGATGATGGTGACCTGGGGGGCTGCTCCCCCTTCCCCTGGGTGATGGTGGTGACCTGGGGGCTGCTCCCCCTTCCCCTGGGTGATGGTGGTGACCTGGGGGCTGCTCCCCCTTCCCCTGGGTGATGGTGGTGACCTGGGGGCTGCTCCCCCTTCCCCTGGGTGATGGTGGTGACCTGGGGGCTGCTCCCCGTTCCCCTGGGTGATGGTGGTGACCTGGGGGCCTCTCCCCCCTCCCCTGGGTGATGGTGGTGACAGGTGTGACCTGGGGGCCTCTCCCCCCTCCCCCTGGGTGGTGGTGGCGACAGGTGTGACCTGGGGGCCTCTCCCCCCCCTCCCCCACCTACAATGAGTCATGACTTGTGGCACATGTTTGTGACATACACGTATCACTGTCCTCATGACACTGTGCCCCCCCTCCCCAGTGCCACTTGTGCCCCCCCTCCCAAGTGCCACTCGTGCCCCCCTCCCCAGTGCCACTCGTGCCCCCCCTCCCCAGTGCCACTTGTGCCCCCCTCCCCAGTGCCACTTGTGCCCCCCTCCCCAGTGCCACTTGTGCCCCCCTCCCCAGTGCCACTCGTGCCCCCCTCCCCAGTGCCACTCGTGCCCCCCTCCCCAGTGCCACTCGTGCCCCCCTCCCCAGTGCCACTCGTGCCCCCCTCCCCAGTGCCACTCGTGCCCCCCTCCCCAGTGCCACTCGTGCCCCCCTCCCCAGTGCCACTTGTGCCCCCCCTCCCCAGTGCCACTTGTGCCCCCCCCTCCCCAGTGCCACTTGTGCCCCCCCTCCCCAGTGCCACTTGTGCCCCCCCCCTCCCCAGTGCCACTCGTGCCCCCCAGTGCCACTCGTGCCCCCCCCCAGTGCCACTTGTGCCCCCCCCAGTGCCAATCGTGCCTCCCCCAGTGCCAATCGTGCCCCCCAGTGCCACTCATGCTTACCCCCAGTGCCACTCATGCTTACCCCCCAGTGCCACTCGTGCTTACCCCCCAGTGCCACTCGTGCTTCCCCCCAGTGCCACTCGTGCTTCCCCCCCAGTGCCACTCGTGCTTCCCCCCCCAGTGCCACTCGTGCTTCCCCCCCAGTGCCACTCGTGCTTCCCCCCAGTGCCACTCGTGCTTCCCCCCCAGTGCCACTCTTGCCCCCCCAGTGCCACTCTTGCCCCCCCCCCAGTGCCACTCTTGCCCCCCCCCAGTGCCACTCTTGCCCCCCCCCAGTGCCACTCTTGCCCCCCCCCAGTGCCACTCTTGCCCCCCCCCAGTGCCACTCTTGCCCCCCCCCAGTGCCACTCTTGCCCCCCCCCCAGTGCCACTCTTGCCCCCCCCCCAGTGCCACTCTTACCCCCCCCCAGTGCCACTCTTGCCCCCCCCCAGTGCCACTCGTGCCCCCCCCCCAGTGCCACTCGTGCCCCCCCAGTGCCACTCGTGCCCCCCCAGTGCCACTCGTGCCCCCCCAGTGCCACTCGTGCCCCCCCAGTGCCACTCGTGCCCCCCCCAGTGCCACTCGTGCCCCCCCCAGTGCCACTCGTGCCCCCCCCAGTGCCACTCGTGGCCCCCCCCAGTGCCACTCGTGGCCCCCCCAGTGCCACTCGTGGCCCCCCCCCAGTGCCACTCGTGGCCCCCCCCCCAGTGCCACTCGTGGCCCCCCCCAGTGCCACTCGTGGCCCCCCCCAGTGCCACTCGTGGCCCCCCCCAGTGCCACTCGTGGCCCCCCCCAGTGCCACTCGTGGCCCCCCAGTGCCACTCGTGGCCCCCCAGTGCCACTCGTGGCCCCCCAGTGCCACTCGTGGCCCCCCAGTGCCACTCGTGGCCCCCCAGTGCCACTCGTGGCCCCCCAGTGCCACTCGTGGCCCCCCAGTGCCACTCGTGGCCCCCCAGTGCCACTCGTGGCCCCCCAGTGCCACTCGTGCTTCCCCCCAGTGCCACTCGTGCTTCCCCCCAGTGCCACTCGTGCTTCCCCCCAGTGCCACTCGTGCTTCCCCCCAGTGCCACTCGTGCTTCCCCCCAGTGCCACTCGTGCTTCCCCCCAGTGCCACTCGTGCTTCCCCCCAGTGCCACTCGTGCTTCCCCCCAGTGCCACTCGTGCTTCCCCCCAGTGCCACTCATGCCCCCCCAGTGCCACTCTTGCCCCCCCTAGTGCCACTCGTGCCCCCCCCAGTGCCACTCGTGCCCCCTCAGTGCCACTCGTGCCACTTATTGGAGGGCTAAATGTGGTGTGGCACATCTGGTGTAGCCAGCCCAAACACACGGGGGTCTTACTACAGTACTTGGAACATCTCTGCTCTCATTATCAGGAGTGGATATCTGTAGCTGCCCCCAGGACTGCAAAAGATACAGTACAGTATATGGAAAAATAATTATCTTTAGCATAGGAGAGTATTAAATGTCCCTAAAATATTGTGCATGTTAACATTTTTGAAAGATTATACAATACTGTATCACTTAATCACCAACATAGGTGCTTTCACAACCCATTGTACCTTGTGTGTAAATATGAGGGACAAAGGCCTTGTCCAATATTGGAAACCTAGGTAGCTATGTCAGCAGGGTATTCTGCTGGTCAAGCAACTGTGCTTCCTCCTCAAGTCTATCCCCCAAATACTGTATAAAAAATGTAGTGAAGTAAGTCTTAAATCCTTGACTAACTTAAATCCATCAAAATTTGTCCTGTTCTGTCAGGTAATGAAGCTAATGAATTCCACATTGTCAACCCAGTGCCAGTTTATCCCTGTGTTTACATCCATGCTCAGACACTGGTGCGCACACGGCTCCCCTCTGTATACTTCATGGGGGGGGTTTATAGTGATGGGAGGGTTCCTGCCTCCTCCTGTAATAACCAAGGACAAGGTTGATAACTTCTAGGTGATAAGTGTCTAAGAGTTCTTGGATGACCTGCTACTTGCAACACCTTTGTATTCAGAGTTGCAAGAACTCTCAATGACAAGATTTAAAACAAATTGAAGATGCCTTTTTTTTTTTTTTTTTTTTTTTACTTGGTCAGCCTGTAAGGTACACAGCTGTCAAGTTGTCCCTTGATGTGCTAAGACATCAATTGATCTTGTTAACTGTCATGTATTGGAAGCTCTCTCACTCAGAGAACTACAATTAATTGGAAATTTTTAGTTCTCTTAATTTAAGGTCTTCACCAGATAGGGACATTGGGATTGGGATTGGGATTGGGGAGGGGGGGTGGGGGGGGGGTGCTAGTGTCTTAAAATGATACCCACCAAGCCACTGGATTGATCAATGACTCCCAGTTGAAATTCAATGTAGTGGTCACTTCCCAGTTGAAATTCATACAACAAATGACCCCACTGGTGCCAGGTTCTACCTGATAGCAAATGGACAGAGCAAATTGGCCTCTTCATGAATCTGACCATAGTAACTCTAGACTGCCAAGATAAATATATATTTGTTCAAATAAACATTACATGACTAAGAAACATTTTTTTTTTAGGCACATGAACGGAAGTTAGGTATTGCAGCATGGGGTCATACAGCATTTCCTTAATTAAGCCACTGTTGCATTGCATAGTCAAATGGTTTTCATCTATTACCTTTTCAATTAGTTTATTCAGTACTATTCAGTATATTGATTTTAACTTGCAATGGTGATTTCCTTAGGGATAGAAGAGCCCTCTAAACAGGAAATAAATATTATCACCAGTTGGGCTGCGAGCCATGATTTCACAATTTGGGTAACAAAAAACTTTTCCATTAACGTGTTGGGTGCACATTCGTATTAACTTGACATTTTATAAATGGCTCGACATCTATTTCTCTGCCACATGGTACATCAACTTTCCTCAAACAAGCATTTTTACCACTAGACTGTGATTGCGTTTGTTTTTCAGACGTTTATACTAGTACCTGTCTTATATTACTGTATTACTAATGTTTCTTATTCTAGTCTAAACATGCTTTGATGGATATCAAATCTCTTATGGTAATCCCCTCAATTCTTTGGTTACAGAAATTCAATATTGCTCGACAGACTCCAGTGAATTGGTTGATGAAACTGGGAAATTTACTATTCGGATGTGCTCCTGCTCATGGTTTCCCATTCACCTTCATATCAGAATTGTAAATGTGAATTTTTTTTAGCCTGCATTTGTATTGGCCATAATATAATAATTCATGATCAAAGGGAAAAGGAATCCTGAACCTCCTGAACCTTGCTGTTCCAATATTCTTACCCACTTAGTCTTTACTTTTAATTTAATACCTTGTCTTTTAGAATATAAAGCTTTGTTTCCCACTGATACTTTTAAGACTATTATCACTGGATATTTGGGTGAATAATGTTATATATATACTTGACCCACATAGCAAAGGCTTCTACCCTTCCTACAGTTCTGAAACACCTTTACCTTGCACACACTTTTTTTTTCACACTTCCGCTCCATTGCCAGCTTCACAGATTGATCTAAGTCTACCAACAGTTTTGGCTACTCCGTTGTATTTCCCGACTACATCTATATGTGTCGCCAGCCTCCGGAGACTAGCATCTTTACGGCAGAACTATGCAGTTTTGCATCCTCCTCATCAACTGCTTTCTCGCTGTCAATCTTTCTTTGTTGATGTACTTGACTCTCACAATGCCCTCATGGCTCTAAAGTCATTTAATCCTATCCATCCTGTGGTAGTCAAAATTCAACATTGGCAGTTTATCTCCAGCAGATTTAAGACAGTCAAGTTTTGTTGAGTTCCCAGCCACATTGGCATTTCCTTAAATGAGCATGCAGACGCTGCTGCTAAGGAAGCTATCCACACTTGTCCAATTTCCCACAAAGGCATTCATTATTACGATTTCTACCCAGTCAGTCATTCCTCAATTCGTGCTCAGATCATCGTTTTTTTTTTACTGGTAACAAACTGCATGCTCTTAAGGGTAACATGTCCCTTTGGCCTTCCTCCTACCACTGTACCCAGCAGTGGAAAACGGCTGACTAGGCTACGTATTGTTCATACACGTTTAACTCATGGGCACTTAATGGAGCACTGCCCTGCTCCTTATTGTCTAACCTGCATTCTCTCTTATGGTTATGCATATCCTTGTTGAATGGGGTGGCTTCCATGATGTGCAAAAGTCTTGCTTCCCAACTGTCCCTTGCTGTCACTTGTCCCTCGATAGAATCCTTGGCGAATCGGATAACTTTAATATCGCTAGCCTTGTGCTCTTTTGCTCTAGTATTGGCATCCTTAGTGATATTGAGTGACTCTTGAATATCCTGCAACTTTGATGGTACTACATAGTCTCCCTGGCCTGGTGCCGCCTTTTGATAATTACTTAAAGACCGACTTACAAAAACAGAATAAGTACTGTACTTAGAAAACCTCAAACCCTGTCCCAAGCACCATCTTGCTTAGCGACTTCAACTTACGGCACCTAAAATGGAAAATGTGCCAAATGGTTATGTCAGAGAGAATCCCTGGAAGCAGTTTAAGCGAAGTAACACACAGATGAGCCTTAAACCAGCAAATAGTAGATCCAACTAGGAAAGAAAATGCCTTGGATTTTATTTTTACAAACAATGATGAACTGAATAGGAATTTAATGATTACAAATACATGTTACTCAGATCCATAAGTGAAATAGGAATCCAAAACACTTTTTTTTTTTCTATGTAAAATCTAGAACAAAACTACAACCTGCATTGAGCCGTTGCACAAGGGTGATGGAACTTTCACAGATGGTAGAAAAGAAATTAGTGAAGTACTGAGGTTAAAGTACGATTCATTTTTCAGTGAACCCCCGAAACACACACATAATAATTTACTTGTAAATTATTAGGAGGACTGGTTTTAAATCTGCACACACAAATAACCACACAAGACCAGAAAGCATGGCAGGATGTGCAAAATAGCTCCACTGAAAAGCAGAGTTGCAGTAGTCATGCCGAGAGAGAACTTAATCAACATCAAAGGCCCAAGACTTTTAAACACACTGTCCCTACACATACGGGGCATAAATGACAGACCTGACCTCTTGTAGTGTTCAAAAGAGAACTCGACACACACCTTCAAAGGATACCTGATCAACCAGGCTGCGAGCAGCTGCATCAAACAGCATGATTGATCAGACTATCAACCAGGAGACCTAGTCAGACACAGGGCTGCAGGGAAAGTTGTTCCTCAAAATCAACCACGGGTAGTAAACAGGTAGGTGCCGTGTAAAAATGTAATAACAAAATTTATTTCTGTTTATTTTGTAAAAATTACTGTTCTGTTGCAAGTTTTGCTGTTCCAGCCACTGTAATAATTGTCATTTTTTTATCTTAATTCAATAATTGCTTTTGATGTCGGTTTTAAATTATGTAGTTTAATTTTTTTCCACATGTTGGAAATGCTGCACATTAGTGGCTGTAGGCATACAGTAAATCCTATTGGCATAAATTGTGGCTTGCCTATAAAGTCTACATTCTTCTGTGTCCTATGTATGTATGTATTTTTACATAAATAAAAATTAATAATGATAATTAAAGTTTCATATACAGTACTGCAAATAACCATATGCACTGCTCTTTTATTGACATTTTGAATAGTGTTCTATTTCAATATTTTTGAGTTGCATATTGAAGTGATATATTTTATTAATACAGGCTTCCTGCTTTCTGTTGATAATTACATGCCAGTTATGAAACTTATTTATACTGTATAGGCCTGGTTATGGACTTGGTTAATATTGTTTACTATTTTTTAGAAAAGTTTTTTATTTCGGTAATATTTGCATAATTTACATAAAGTAATTGAGAACTTTAGCCAATCATTTGAATGATGACTAATTTGTCATGAATAAACAATGCATTGGAAGCCTGGCCTATCCCTTTATTACTGTATATTGTATTTATATTCTTTATTCTGGTCAAGGTTTTTACTATTCACCAAATTTATTACAAGCACTAAGAAATTTGTAATCATATTTTTTATTCAAGCTTACTAAATGCTACATAAATGTTACCGTTTGAATAATTTAGCAATGCCATTAAAATTGTAACGAAACTAAAACTATTGCTCTTGTGTATTATTTTTTAACTGAATTATAATACTGTACTGTAATTTGTAAAGCTTTTTCAGTAAATATCTTAAGTCTTGTGTAAATGTCTTAAACTGAAGGCACTAGGACTTGTGAAATAAACAAAGCTGAAAGTACAGTAATGTTTATTTTCAGAACTGTTGTGATGGCAAAGCCAGTGAAAGAAAATGATCAGTCTGAAATATTTAAGTAATCGTACAATTTACGAGGATAAGCACGGGCTTCTTATGAATAAGTGTAAAATAAATTTTACTGCATTTTAATATGTGAAAACATACTGTTTTATGTACAGTATTCAATTATTTTGACAAACAATAATATAAAAATGCTGAATTTTGTGACTTTTAAATTAAAAAAAATATATACAGTAATTGAAGGTGTCTGGCATGGAATACTGCAGTTCAAATTTGTAAGATCACTATGCAGTAAAATTATTATACAACTTTGTAATGTTTAACGCATTAAAACACAAAAATTCAGCTTTACACACAGCTTTTATGTGGGTCTTGTGAATTTTATTTTATTTTTATTGTACAGCTACAAATTACATTGCTATGCTATAATTTTATCATGTTTTGCTGATAAACAATTAGTTTTGTCATGTTTAATGTTTGGAAATGTCTTGTTCAACACTGTTATTAGTGCTTAAAAATCTAGGAATTGTATTAGTTTTTTTAATTTATCAAGATTTATTTAATTTCCAGGATGGCAACAGGATACTTGTAAAAAAGGTATTTTGTAAATTTGTTTGTCTTGCCTGTATTTTGGTATTTGGTAGGTGTTATCCAGAAATAAGTTGTCTTTGTGCAAATATCATTTGAAAGTTAATTGTCGGCCAAGTTTGTCTTCAGAAAGACGATTGCAGTTACAGTACTGTCCCAAAATTCAGTGTGCGTGAAACTCCTAGGGATACCATTTTTCACTATCTCGATAAACTCTTTCTGCTCAATATTCATAATTACATGTTTATTTTTCATGGGTTTGCTTCCAGTAAAATCCTTGGGCAAAATGTTACTTCCATTTTATAATGACATGATAGAAGAATGTTCAGTAATTTTAATTAAATTTATGGGGTGAGGAAAATACAACCTTTTGAGTTTTGAGTGTCTGAAATGACAGGTCGTGTAAGGCCATGGGAGGCATTTGTGGAGCTGGGCCCACATCTTGGCTTACAATCTAGGCCTTTCATCTTTCTGCATTGAGCAGAGGTGGTCTGTGGTGAACTGCACTTTTTTGGGTTGTCCAAATAAAATTAGTATGAATGGAGTGTTACTATGGTTACCAAATACAGTTAATAACGATTACATTAAATATACCATGTTAAACTGACAAATGACCTCTGATGCTTAAGTGAAAAGTGTGATTTGTTTATAAAATGTTAATTAAAGCATCTCTTCAAAGGGTTAAAAACTATACTATTGTAAATTTATCTGATAGTCAGTATCCCATGTCTGTCGTGGAGACAGTGTTTTGTTTTCGCCTTTATGGCTTTGGTAGGTTGTTTCCACGGGTATACAATATTATCCCGAGTCTTCTGGTGTCTGTCCGACATAGACTTGGTCATATTAAATAGCTATCACTTTTCTGAAATGGTCTAGCTTAACATAGCAAGACTTGCAACACCAGTAAAAACTGAAAAATGGTCAATATTTAAAGGTTGCAGTTTATAAATCATCTTTCAAACTTTATCCAGACCAGCAAAGTTAATGATCTGTAGAAGGATAACAAAAACCACTATCAGATCAGAATTCTCTACGGCTTTTTAACTACACTTGTCTAATAGTGAATAACTGTTCTCTGTATTGTTAATAATTAAATGGTAAATCCTTGAATAAATAAGTAATGTCATCGGAAGATTTGAAAAAGACCTCAACCCTGGTTCTCTTTAATTACCCCAGCCATTTGTGTGCGAATGTTGCTATTTTGTGGTGGGGAGCTATACCAATTATATTGTGAAATTTGCAATATTTCAAGATTATTGCCCTGGAAATGGTTTAAAAGTACAGTACAGTACAATACTGTATTATAATTACATTTATAAAGGAAAAATGGTACTTAAGCCATTGATAAAGGGGCATAGATGTTTGAGTAAATTTAAACAAATGAGAACTAAGAATATGCTGCAAGCTTTAAATGTTTTTGCCATTCCACTAAAATTTTAGTCCCACATGAGTGACTTGTAGGGGAGAAATTGGTTGTGTAGCGTTCCAGTCGGCAGCCAAGAGCAATTGCAATGCTGTATTGTCAAAAGTTAAAAAGACCTGGAAAAGAAGGTAAATGTAACATAATGCAATATAGCCTAAAACTGATTAAGGTTCATATTTTGAAGTGCAGTACAAAGCGTTTATTATGCTGTATTGTATTGTAATTAAAATTACAATATAACAGTAGATGGGACTCTTCTAGTTTATTCCAGGTTGCACTTGAAATTTCAATTGATTTTCTGGATAACACCTTGCTTCTGGGTATTTGGTGATTGGTGTTTTGGTGGTGGTTTAATTATGTATATATATACTGAATGGACAACAGAATGTTAATACCATTGTTGACTAGGTACTCGACATGTTATTTATCTGTTAATATCTCTTGGACCTGAAGAGTGGTTCTGTATTGGATCCTCTCAAACATTAGAAAAATTATCTTTGTGCTTTGTAGTACTGAAGTTGTGGTAATGCCAGCTAGTTAAACAAAATTATAAAAGATTATTTTAAATATTTTTGCCATCTAATTCCTGAATTATTTACTGTATTATAAGAAAACAACTGTAATGCATGCTACAATTAAGTGTTATTTGCTTCACCATTTTTATATATTTATAATGACCATATATGTAATGTAACCATGGAAGTATAGTAGTTTCCTCTAGGTTTATTTAATTTCTGAAATACGATATCCATATTTGTGTGTTAACATTAGTATACTAAATGTTGCTAGCAAAGTTTAAGGTAGGATTGTCATTGGAAGAGTACAGGAAAAGGGGTCAATTAATCAGTAATTAACAAAGTGGCTTCTGTGGTGAATGAGTATCTATCAAATATTGGCAGAGAGACAGCTTGAAGAAAAGATTGTTAGGGATTCATAACATTTATGGATTTGAGCACAGCAAATGACGGTTAATAGAGGTGGACTAGAGAGAGAGATGATGGGAGGGGTTTCTCTAACTTAGTACAGTACAACCTTGCTCTAAATAATTGGCTTGTAATGTAGGAATATGTCGAGTTTCCCTCTTTCATGGGATAGGGGGTGTGAACATTGTCTTTTGTGAGAAGAAACTGGCACCCATTCCAGTCTCATTATTTCCGGGGGAAGCGGGTCCAAGTGTGCTGGTGGGCATTGGGGTGGTCACATCGCTGTTAATATTTTCAGAGCCTCAACTAGTTCTCAACTAGACTGTGCATGGTCTTAAAGCAATTGTATGTAGTATGTACTATAATTGTTGTGTATATAGTATTATTTTTCAGGATACCTTATGTTTAGCAATTTGTGTTCTCTTGTAATTGGTGATGTGTCAGTAATGTTTGGAAATGTACACACAATCTGCATGCTATTGTAATATTGTGACATGCTATTGTAATATTGTGACAGCAGGGGATGGCAAAAATGTGCAATTCTGGTAACATGAAAGTACATAAATGAAATGAAATATTTTCAGAATCGCTTTTAAATACTGTTCATTAATGGTGAAATACTAAAGAAATTGTTCTTGACACTCGTGAGACTAAAATTGGATTATGCAGCAGGTATATGATACCCATGTCTCAAGAAACGCATGAATAAACTTGAAAAAGGTGCCAAGACATGCTACTAAATAGCTTCTGAAACTGTACAAACAAAAAAAAAAGCTATGAGGAGAGGCTAGAGGTATTGTATGCCAAAACTTGAAGATAGAAAAGGCAGTATGATCACTACATACAAAATTATAACAGGAATCTACAAAATTGACAAATTTCTGAAACATGGAACTTCAATATCATAGATTCAATATAATGAAGCAAAGGTGTCAAAACAGATTAGACAGTTTTCTTTTGCAAACAGTGGTAGACAGATGGAACTAGTGGTGGTGGATGCCAAAACAGTCAGCAGTTTTAATGTGTCATATGAGTGTGCTGGAAAGACAGAACACCACGAGTGTAGCTCTATCCTGTAACTACACTTTGGCATTTACACACTCTGGTTTTTAGTTACAGTACTTGGACAATTTTATTTAAAAATGAAATGGCTACTTATTTTTTATTAATTACACAATTGGAATGAGTTTGAGGCTACTTATTAGATGCATAAAATAAATGCAGTACACAAAATACGGCAATCCTAATGTGAATAATTTCCCCGTATAGAATGATCAAGTTCTGGTGTATGTTGCATCATTTCCCAGGCAGGATTGGTAGGAGGATCAGAGAGAAGAGGAATGGAGTAAGGTGGAATTTTTCAAATTGCATAATTGATCAGGGGAAAAGTGTGCCTTTTTAGTTTAGTTCATTTATTATGCACAAGAGACCCATCTTGTGCGCAGTAGTGCAAAGGGTTAGAGGCGCATAATGGGCTCAGGGACTGAACCCCACAATTCATTTGGCTAAGCAAGTTACAATCTTGATGAGCTAGTTACAAAATTCAATGCACATCATCACGTCAATGGGCTCGAGACCAACCACAAGTACAGTTTCTAAATTAAGCAGCTGACATATGTGGAGAGCTAGTGTCACAATTGATATGTTTAACCCGCACACCGCCCCCCATCCAGTGAGCAGTGGTGGATTGGTTACGATCACTGTTACTACCTACGGTTAGTAAACTGGGGATATTTGACTAAGATTTCTGGTGGCAGATCATTTTGAATAAAATATTTACACATCTCTTGAACATTGGTTTTAAAATATCTGAATTCACGGATCTTTTCGCACGAATAATTTTGACACAGTTTACATTTGGTCAGTTCCACATCAGCAGATAATGAAAATTCCCAGAGATATGTATAACAGAGTCTGAGCCGAGAAGTAGTAACATCTAGAAGTCTGCTGATTTTACTGGATGGTCCATAGATGTGTGGCTCTGCCTGCATGATAGTATGATGAAAATGGAATTACTGGTGTCGATTTCAGTTTGCCTCAGTTCAAGATTTTGTTGAAATTCTTGGTGTACTGTAGCTCTCGGACTGCTTATTGGCAATCCAAGGTTATACTTAATTTCTCCTTTAAAGGCAGATTCTTTGGCTAACTCATCAGCTCTTGTCATGCATTTGGAGGCCAACATAAGATGGATTCCACAAGAAATGAACTGTTACCATCATTAATAATTTTGTTGTATTTGTGTCTAGGTTCAGACACGAACATGTTACAGTTGTCTTAAAGAGTTGAGAGCATTTAAAGGTGATAAAAAGTCACTTACAATTAATGTATCAAGTTTGGAAACTTGTACACATTTCAGTGCAAGAAGCAAGGCAAATAGTTTGGTCTGAAGGGTTGAGGGCCACTTATTTATACGGACTCCCCACTCAAAATATAAGCCATCGCCCATTGTCACGACAACTGCACTTCCAGCTGCACTCGTGGGGCTGTGTAGGGAACCATCAGTGTATATGATTTTAGAGAGAATGCTCCGTTGACAGAGCATCGATATGGCTTACGACGTTGAGCTTTGCTTCAAGATGATGCTTGGGCCGATCTCTAATTTGGTGAAATGGAAGGGATTAAAATTGGAAAGGGTGTAATCTCCCACAGTGCAGGAAAGTGCCGTTGTTGTCTCTCTTGATAAAAGTTATAAGTGTGTGCCTTGGAGGGCTTTTCCAGAAGGGTTGACACTAAAGGGGGAAGGTTTGTTGGGAGGGGTGACACTAAGGGGAAGTGGTGGCTTTGCCAGATGTAACCCTGGGGAGGGGGGGGGGGATTGGCTTTGCCGTGAGGGGTGACCCTGGTTGGGGGGAGGGGCTTTGCCGGGTAGGGTGACCCTGGGAGTGTGGCTTTGCCGGAATTGGTCACCCTGGGGAAGGGGCTTACCAGGTGAGGAGCTTGCTTTGATGTACAGAATCACACTGGGACACATCCCACTGGGTATGCATTTGTATCATTAACTGTGTTTTATTACTCTCTTATAGATTTTGTATTGTATTTTTCCAGGATACGTTTTTTAGAATACATGAAGTATTGTTTATTTTCTAGTTTGGTCGGCAACGACTTGCAAAAGAGTATGGGAGGCACAGTGAAGAGACGGATGATGACGATGACGATGACCAGGAATCCACACAAGTGATATGCAGAGATAAGCTTGTCCTGAGGCCTCAGCTAGACAAAGTGAGTTATGAGATATTCTGGCTGTTTTCTTCTCTGCAGTCTTAATTTCTACCAATGGAAAGCAGGGAAATTAACAAAATTGTTTTAATATATTATTACTTTGGCAGTCCAGCCTTCCCCAAATGTTCCTGATCTAAGCTAGTTGGGCTGCTCACATGCTTCTCAGCAATGTGAAAATGATCATAAACATTTTAAGTTTTCTAGGTTACAGTATTTGTTGGGTTATAACTATAAATTGTCAATGTAAATGAATTCTCTTGAGAAGATATACAAAAACAAAGGAGTAGAGAGGAACCTCGGTACTCGAATGGCTCCCAACTTGAAAAATTTGACACTCAAATGCTGTTTGTGCTCGGTAGTCAACCGTTTGCTCGACACTCGAACATAAACATATGTAACAGTCCAGTTAGTTCCTAGTAGCTGTTGTTCGGTGTATACCCCACTAAACTTCTCTGCAGACTTTCTCATGTTTTTGTGGATATTTGTTATATTCTTAGTGTATATAAGCCACTATGGCACCTAAGACAATAAGAGCCAAGTGAAAAGAAAGTTAGTAGAACTATGATTGAGGTGAAAAAAGAACGCATAGCAAAATGTGAAAGTGGTGCCTGTGTGTTCTTTCCTCAAATATCATTGGACAAGTTTCTTGTAAGAAAAGCATCTGGTGAGTCACTAAAGGGAAATAAAAAAAAAGATAGAAACAAAAGTGAACCTCAGAAGCACAATTACCTGTAGTATTCATAACTCCCCTGCCTGCCAAACAATAACTTCTCCTCCTCTTCCTCGTCACCTTCCATATACACCATCAATTCGCATCAACTTCCTGGAGACGAAGAGAGTTCTGGGAGTTTTTCTACTTCCTGAGTCTGACCTAGGGCCATGCTCGACTAAGGTGTAATTAAAATGAGGATGTTTGCATTTATTGAATTAATTTATTATATTCATGTGTGTATTTGTTCCAATCTTGAACAGATTAATCCAATTTACATTACTGTATTCCTGTGGGAAAAATTATGCGGTACTTGAACAGATCGGTACGTGAACGGCCGTCTGGAAGCAATTGTTTGATTGCCGATGTTCCACTCTGTATTTATAATAGAGTATACATAACACCTATGAATATAGGAATGTTAGAATAAAATGAATGAAAGAAAATACACTATCTCTGAAGTTCAGCCCTATGCCGATGACTACTTTAACCTCTATTATGACCAGAATTGCGGCCAATACCTGTACTCTGAAAGTTGAATTCCATCCTCATTATCTCAATCATAGTCTTTCTTGGGCATTCTAAGAATATTTTCATTAGCTTCATTTTGTACCTTCTCCAACTTCTTTAGTCTACCTTCACCAAAACAAGAAATGACAGGTGCAGCATAATCAATAAGAGATCTCTCAGCATACCATGTGATTACTATTGGAATGTGACATGCATAATATTAATATTTGTGTAATGTATGGACTTTAGTCCTTTTTGGGGATCTTAAATAGATGCGCGTAGAAATAGCCTAAGTTACTCCATTCTTTAGAGATTTATTTTATTATCTCCATAAATTTACGTAAATGAACTTTGGTCGTAAAGGGGCCTTGGTTATTAGCTACAACTTGAGTTTGAAGAAATCGGCCAACTCTAATGATTTTACTTTGGCTTTTTAGTCACAAGAAAATAAATAAAAAGTTGTCAACTTGTATATTTTTTTTTTTTTTTCCACTTATGAAAACATAAAATATATTCAGATTAACAAGTGAATCATTGAAAAGTATTTACAAATTACCGGTACCAGGTAAGTTATATAATTAAAACTGATATCGTTGAAAATTTGATGCAGCATTATTGGCTGGAAAATTCAAATCTCAAAACGACAACTTTTAGAGTTTCCATTTCGGTTTGTTTTCACTCGAGTTTTAATTTTTTTTTTTTTTTTAGATTATGACACAACTTGGCAGGCTTTACATTTATGTTTGCACCTCTTTTAGAGTAACTTTTTATGACAATAACATTTTTTGGGTATAGGAAAATCAAAATGCCAGGTGCTTTTTTTTTTTTTTTTTTTTTTAATTTAGAAATGTCCTCAAAGAGGACTGTAGGACTGTCTGGTTCTTTCCAGTAATGCCATCAAAATAACTGCAGTAAAATTTGTAAATCTGAAATGGATTTTAAAGATTTATTTAAAATAGTTTGTTTAATTTTTAGTTTATTTTTAGTTTAGTTTATTGGTTATTTTTAGTAACCATAACTATGTTTTAAGGCTAAATATCAAAGAAATATCACTGAAAAACTTCTGAAAATGTAAAATATACTTAGGCCTCATAATCATAGACTTGCAGCATTATCTACTTTGGGTAGGCAAGTGACATTTGCAGACAAGAAAATGAGTTTTGAATCCTGTTAGCAGGCTTAGAGCTTTCCCCACCTATAGCTCATGTTAAGTCTTACCCTACTAGTTTTCTCTGGAACATGACCTGCCAATCTGTTTACAACCAGGTCCCCAAATACTGCTGGGTGAACTGTGGTGAACAGTTAAGGATTGGTGCCCAGTCAAGATTTCCTGTCCATGACTCTAACTTGCACCCAATTGCTCAGGAGCTGTGGGGCGAGTGTACTGAAAGTGTGATTGAGTTAAAGAAAATTTGTGCAGGTGAAGTTTAGATAAAAAGGTAAGTCAAGGAAAGAAAGTGATGCAATAAATATACTAGTTAAAAAAAATATATATAGGTACGAATAGATGTGGTTAGAGGGTTGCATTTAGCAGTGGTAGTGCTAACTTGTGTAGAGTTGCAAAGACAATTGTATGGCGTGAACAAGAGCAAATAGGGAATTAAATGTTAAAATGGATAATCTGATGCTTGCATTGTGTTAGAATTTGCAAAAAGTTATGAGTTATAAGCATAGTTCAAAAGTCTTACTATAAGATTGAAGTGAGCATATTGAATGGATAATGATAGGCTGGTGAAGTATATTAGTGTGTTAGCAGAGAAGACCAGGAACTTGGGCAGACAAGGCAAGTGTAAGAGTAAGTGGAATGGGTGTGTGTGACCAGTGTCTTGTCTATGTACAGTAATCAGATTCATGTGGGGATTACACCCACTTGAGTTAACCAAATTTCTTGCGAATAATATCCACAAATGAAAAAATGTGCACTTTTGTTTGTACCACATCCATATGCAGGCGATGAGTCACAATAACGTGGCTAAAGTATGTTGACCAGACCACACACTAGAAGGTGAAGGGACGACGACGTTTCGGTCCGTCCATTTGCCCAGGGTTACTCCCCCTGCCATTTGCCCAGGGTTACTCCCCCCTGCCATTTGCTCAGGGTTACTTCCCTGGGGTTACTGTGAGGAAGCACATTGGAATTTATTCTTGTATGCAATAATAAAAATCAAGAGCCTCCCCACTTCCTTACAGTACATGTATGTTGATTGTAAATGAAAATGTAGAATACGTGTAAATTCTAGGGATACACTTCAAACATGAGGTAAAATACTCGGCGAGTGGCACAATTTAGAATTTACGTGACTTAAATAAACCAACAGTGTGTGTGTGCACACATTTATTAATACACAGGGTATAGGACATAACACAACATGAAATCATTTCTTACCAGGGTGACTACTGTACTCGTTCACACCGAGATAAGAGGAAAACAACCTAAGAACAGTGAGGTGGGCGCCTCACGAGCGTACCCAACATGCCCTCGGTGGGTCAAGTCTGGCTTTTTTGTTTTTGTGGGTTGCAGGGATGCAACTATCATAAAAACATGATGGGAAAACTTTATGCACAGAGGCATAAACATTCTCTAATGCACAGTTTAACATACTGTACTTGCAAACATTGACAAATGAAACATACAGTAATAAAAAATACCACTGATATTTTAACTAAGGCAAAACATTTAGCTTGATAAAAATAAATGCTAGACATTATATACCAACATTATATTACTTCCCCACTGTTTGCCCCAAAAACGAAGAGTATGTTGAGGCAATTCAATTCACTTTTCAACCTCGTGTGACTGCACACCTGGTCGTGCAAAGCAGTGTAGTGAATTGTGGATGACTCCTTAAGTGTGGTACTGTTTATTTGTGACTGAATGATACAATGAACAGATGAGTGATGTTTTGACGTTTTAATTTTTTAACCTAACATTCATTTGCTGTACCGGTACACGTGTGTACTTTTGTTTTTCTTAGGCTGATGCCACAATTCCCTGTGAAAGTGGAAAATTGGGTAATGATTGTAATATATGTACCCGACATGAATTGTTGTAGTGAGTAAATATATTGGTAAGTAGCCTATAAGAAATGTCATAATTTTGCATACAATGTGATATTATACATACAAAGGAAACTTTTCCTCTGTAGTCTTTATAATTCATAAAAGTTTATATCTTGTGCATTACAGTACATGCATAACCTAAGTGTTACTTGTTAAGACAGCACATTTAATGATAAGTGTCAAACTATGACAAGTTGGATGTCCTGTACTATGAGATAGTGAAATAATTATGAATACTCTTGATGGTTTTAGTGGAGGTACAAACTAATTATGACATTTAAATTCAACTTTTTCACTTGTGGAGCAGGCATTAGCTTTTTATCAGGTCAGGCAGGGAGATAAGGTAAAGATTAGAGATAAAAGAATATTTGTGGAGCAATTACCTGCATCTGTCTTCAGTATTTTATTTTCTGTATTACCTTACCTTTATGGAGGTCACCGACTTAAATTGTGACAGAAGTTATGTATCGATTCAACTATTCTGGTACTGAAATCATCAAAAAAATTTATTTGTTAAAATTTGAGTTTTTCACTTGCGCAAATACAATAACGTCTTGTATTTGTCAGTGTACAAAAGTATCAAAACACACAAAACAAAGTTCACTTTATAACTGGTCTCCTAAATGAGGCAAATGCAATGTTTGCATTGCCTACGGGGCCATTCATTAGTTAGCAAGGTCATCCGCTTGGTGATGCTTGAGGTGCAAAGTAAGACTTTGGAAGGTTTGGAGTTTTAGGATCCCAGTGGCCTTCCTCCTGTCACTGAAGTAGGAAATGGGAGAAACAAGCACCTTGATGTCAGTTACATTGTTCCGTTTAGTTATGCTTTTTATTGAAAGTCTTGATTTTCAGTACACAAAATTTTGGCCTTGTAGTTGCTGTGCACGTGTTGCCCAGTATAATCCTCGGTGAATCAGTCTTATTGGACATTGCTCGTTTTATCTTTCTACTCTCACACTGGCATCTAAGACTCATTGCATATTCTGTAATACAGTATACAGTAATAAATATCCATATTTACATAGTAATTTCTTTTAATAATTATATTTACTTTGAATAATTATCAAAAGAAATGCATTTAAAAGTGAATTGTGCTCTTTAGTATATTCTTCACTGTCAACCTAGTATCAGTGTGATCTGGCAGGAAAATTTAAAGAGCTGTGCTGTGTTGGGGCAGGATATTGACCTGCCCTGGATACACTTTATTCTAACCATGTGTTTCTTTTAATCTTGCTTAGGTAGCAACCCCAAGAAGTGCTTTTAATTTGCACATGAAGTCTGATTTTTCTCCCAATTTGTGTATGAAATTTAAATTCTTTACACATGTTTAGAAAAGTCTTGGGAATATCAGTACAGTATATGTAATTGGATGTGCATGTCGGTAAACATAGTTGAATGATGTAAACCATCATCCACATTGATGGTGTGGATGTAGAGCAGTATACCTGGTTTTAAACGATTTGGCGGGTCGTATTTGGGGGGAAAAATTTGGATTAAGGACCTATCCGAAATGCTATGCATGCTAATGGCTTTACAAGCATGTAAGAACTCTTTTTTTATATATAAATAAATAAATAAGTCAAGTAGATACATATAAGTACTGTTGGCTGTCAGGCAACATTTGACCTTCAGCACTATCAGAACTAGTTGACTTAAGTAATACTTATCAGCTTGGCTTGTGGCCAAGTAGTAGCGAGTGTTGTATCTCTCCCTCTATCTGCCAGTCAAAATTAATTTTAATATATTTGCAGGAAGAAGTGCACCATGGTTGCAGTCTATTTTTCTGGGAATTCTTCATAAAGTTACATTATGTAACCCTAGCTGGAGGGTTTCTTATGATTGCTGCCTCTTTCATTATCTGCATTCTCATCCTGATCATAGTGTACTTATATCTGACCTTTCTTAGTGCTTAAGGATTTTCATCTGTACACTTGCTTGTATTTATTCAGAATCTCATTGTTTCTGCTCTTGGCCTTCTAACTTTTTGTTGAACCATGAATTAATCTAGCTTTTCTCTTCTACTTGTCTGAGTGATGTATACTTTTTTGTAGCCTTTGTGCATTTACTATCTTGTGTACTTGTTTAATTTTGTCATTCCATCTAGCTCACTGCCCATTTGAATTTCATTTCATTCACTTCAATCATGGGACATTTGAACTCGCACCTGAAAAATACTACCCTTGCTACTGTGGATTGTAACAAATTGGACTTCTTGGAAAGATTCCCATTTCCCTCCCATTAGTTCTATTTCCATCTGAACATGCATTTTACTCTCTCCTTTCAGCCTGACTATGAAATTACATTAACATGGTAATCACTGGCACCAAGCAGTGCCACATATCTGCTCCTGTTACTGTAATATCTACCTCACTAGGTGTAGACTGGATCTGACATTAGCATTAAGGATCAGGTGATTGTGACATAGCTATACTATACACCTTTTAGTGGTCTATCATTGACAGTTTAATAGAAGTTAGAAAAGGTTGTTAATGCATTTATATGTAATTCAACTGTAACCACCACAAATTAGCTTTAAAATGTAACTCAGAGATAGAAGTTTGAGGTACCAGTGCTGTAATTATCAGGCATTTATTGTTTAAATTTATATGTAAAATATAGAAAATAGTTGTTAATTTTAACAGGACAGTGATGATGGTCTGGCTACACACGATTTTGAATTGGGCGACTGCCTTGACTATATTCGTACCGGTATGGAGGCTATTGTGGACGATGAGGTTACTAAAAGGTTCTCTGCTGAGGAACTTACGGTAAGTTTGTGTTGCTATTTGAGTGACTGGGAAAAATCTCGTGGGGACTATTAGAGCAGGGGGAAAAACAAGTAAACAGGTGTATGTAACTAGAAGGTATAAGAAAAGTTAAATCTCAAATGAGAGATCATTAAAGGATTTTAATTTGAGGCAGTTCTCTAATGAATTCCTTAACAGGAGGTCTTATTACATCCTTAACAGGACGTATATTACTTGGTAGTCTGTAGAAGTTAGAATTGAGATTGGTGGACTTTATTACTGGAGAGAGAGGACCAAAATAGTAACTAGTGATACAGTTGACCCCACTGGTAAAAATAACAAGACATTAATGTATGCATTTTCTCAACTTTTAAGAACTAAATCGCTTGAGCAATTATACTCTATTCTTCCTTAACAAGGGCTTATCTCGTATGACATTTTTACCAGAAATTTAAGAATATTAGGTTTTGCTTATAAATCTCATTAATTACCAAGATTTGATATCTATGGCTAGTGTTAATCAAATGATATACTGTACATAAAATTCTTAATTTTTTTTCCCCCATGGAGCACCTTCATACCAAGAAAGTCATTCAACGTATTGTTAAGGCCATTATTTGTATTTTTCTTCATTCACCAATACCATACTGTCTATGCTTGCTAATCCAAATCATATGGGCCCATACTCCAAAGAGTTAGCCAGACATTAGCAAAAATTTTATCTAGAATGTCCAAAAGTGAAAAAAATTGAGTTTATTCTGGATTCCCATTCACCTGAAATCTTGTAAGCTCACATTTTGATTAGTGTTCAGCAGTGAACATTTGGAGCACGAATAACTTTGGGTTCTTTGTTCTGAAAATTTTCATGGCAATTCTGGGAGGATGGGCACCACTAGCATAGCTCTTATCCTGTAACTACACTAGGGTAATTACACATGGATGCACGTGTGCACACACCCCACCACACACACATGCACACACTTGTTGATTCTGTGTATTCCCATGACAATACAGTATGTTCCGTTATCATTCACGAAATGGAGTGCAAGAACAGTTTGGCAGCTTCAGTGGGAAAGAATAGGAAAATTTTTTTAAGAACTACAGATCTAGAATGTGAATGAGAAATACAGTAAAATAGTGAACTAACTAAATTTTTTAAGTTGTGCATTAAAAAAAATTACCTTCAACTCTTTGAGAACAATTCTTCTTTGCAACAGTTAAAAACAAAATTCAAGTACTGTACTGTACTTGGATATACACCTGTACAACACAGAATTTCATATTAAATAACCATACAGTGTGAACATAAGTTCCAGAAATTTGGATAAGGAGTTATACTTAAATTTTAAATTTTCTTGTTGGAGAATATAAAATATAAAATACATCCACAATTCAATTCAGATTCTGGTAACACAAATTTTCAAGTACTGTACAGTAATCTGAATAAATTAACAGATTTTTTTTTGTCAGATTAACATTAATCAGTTGGTGTGTGTGTGTGTATCTACATGCATGCTCCATGTTAATATGATGATGTAGTCAATTAATTAATAAATTTTGTTTTCTATTTTTTCAGTCGTGGAACTTTTTGACGCGAACAAATTGCCAATATGAATTCATCAGTGTTCGTCTAACCATATTCTGGGTAGTGGGTTTTATTCTACGCTATTTCCTTCTTTTACCACTTCGCATTCTCATTCTGGTCATTGGGGTAAGTAACATTTATTTTGCTAGTACTATATATTGAATCGATAGTATTTTGCACGATTTCAACATTTTGACAAATTTTGTCATAAAATTTGTGGTTGGTGTGATGCAGAGAGCAGCGACAAGTGACTGGAGCAGTGCAGAAGTTCTTGCTCTCTGTGTGTTGTTAATGGATCTTTAAATACCTTAACCAAAATGTGTTAGTGTCATAAATTTTCTAAATATGTACAGTTCTGGTATTTTGAAAAAGATGTACTCCAATAATGCTTTGGTATCCAGTTCGTAAACTGATTTGGAAATGTACAAAATAAAAGGTAACATGCATGATGAGTCTGTGTTAGAGGCAATGCCTGAAGTGCAATAGATTGCCTTTGAGGACTGTATAAAAAGAAAAATGTCATGTGTTGTAGATGATGAAATACAGTAATTGGTAGTAAAGTGTGATGATCAACTCTGGGTTGAGTGTTCTCATCCTTCGCATAGGGAACAGTTGTATGGTTTTGATAATTGATTTGTTTTAATTATATTTATTAATAGATGACTGTAGTACACTGGGCTAATATTTTGCTGGACAGTTTGTATGTCATTATTTTATTTTGGATGAGTAGTTACTGTTAAATGACATGACATTTTGGTTAATAAATTGTAATATGTGGAAATTTGGTGAAGACTAAAGGATTACATGACATAATAGTAGTGAGTAATGAATGGTTCCAGTACTCAGCCTTAGTGTTCATAATTGAGGGAGCGTGTGTTCACTCGACACCTAGAATTACTTGATGAACTTTTCAGTTTATGGCACAGTAATGTTATATGGCATTGCTTATATTTATGTAGTATTATATTTTTTAATTACAATTTTTGTAACTAATATCCTGTAATACATTAGTCGCTTGACTAGGCACGCAAAAGTAATAGAAGTACATATTAAAACTAGTGTGGTCTCAAAAATCCATACCTAGTTATATAATTAACTCAATCCAACATAATTAGTTATGTACAAGATAATTGAATATTTCAACATTAAAAGAAAAAATTACCATTCGAGTAAAGTATATGGTACTAGAAAAATTGTTTTGGTTTTATAGTCTTGTTTGCAAATTTATACAATACAGTACATTCAGTAGACTGTGACTGTGTAGGGCCCAATCTATCCGACAGGGAGCAGACCAGTCCCAGCTGTGTAAATTTCCCCGTGTACTTGCAGTCAGTCTCATTACTCGAGGGATTTTGATGCATTTTATTCTGGTTACTGCTTCATTTATAAGTAGGAATGATGTCTCCTAGCAGTAGTAGTCTGGCTAGACTAGGCAGAGAACAGAAAAGGAGTTTTGGACAAGTGTTCAATTGACGTAGAAATGTGACCAAGGCCGGGAAGTGAAGAGGGTGGTTTTGGCACTGACACTGTTTAAAGTGTCAGTGTGTTTAGCCTAAGAGTGCATTTTCAGTCAAGCTAATTGCCTGAAAATTTTCTTTTGGCAAAGAAAGTTAGGAAAATACACAGGGTCAAATTTGGTAAGTTTACAAAGATAAATGTGGTTCACTAAATGGCAAGTACAGATTTAAATTTGTATTAAATATATTATATTTTAACATTTATGTTTATACATGTGTAAATTTTGTATGTAAAAAGGTGTAAAGCATTTTGGCAAGAGAAATGCCACCAAAATGTACTGAAATGTTACAAATCCAAGGTTTTTCAAGTTGGAGTTTGTGGAAACCTATAATGGGTCTGGATTTTTGAAACCATGTTGGTGTTTTTATTTTCAGTAAAATTAGTTAATGGCATATAAGTTGGAGATGAAATAGAAAAGTGTTGAGCTTTATCATGAGGCATATTTTATATATGTATGTTCATCCTTAATTTTTTAGGTTGCGCAGATGGTGTCCATGACGTATATACTTGGGATAATTCCTGATGACGAAATCAAACGTCGGATGAGCAGATGCATCTTCCTTTCATCTTTTCGAATCATAGCTCGTGGGTTCAGTTGCGTGATAACCTACCACAACCGCCACAATAGGCCACAATCAGATGGAATATGTGTAGCCAATCATACTACACCAGTTGATATTGTAGTGTTAGCATGTGACAACTGTTACTCATATGTTAGTTGACATACTTTCCATCTTGTTTGGCATAAACTTGCTTTTGAAATTCTCTGTTCATGTTGGCAGTAAGGGGCTGTATATTTTGATGTGTGTCTTTAATGGTTTCTGTTTACATGTCTTCTAACACGTTTGTCTGGTAATGCCTTAATACTTCTAAGCAACGTTTGACAACAGCTGATAATACCAATTGACTAAATTTTCAGAGTTAATGCTTTGCTGAGCTGCTTCACATTATTGTGATTGATAATGAATTAAACCAGTATAGTACAAATATATGGAGTGAAGCTTAAATATAACAATTGTTCATTCCTCGCTAGGCCTATAGCGCGTGCATTTTATGTTCTTATGTATTCATAATAACAAAGGTAACTGCAGAAGGCCTATTGGCCCATACGAGGCAGCTCCTATTTATAACTACCCAATTACAGGAATAGTGACAGGAATACTTCGTAAAGTGTACTCACCTAGTAAAAGTGTGTGTCTTACACTTTGTTGCTGTTGCCTCTAATTGCACTTAATAACAATTCACTTTTCCTCATTCTCCATAAGCTATTACTACTTTCAGTTGTGGTATTGTGCCATCAGGCTCAAATAGACATGTCCATGTTTTAGTAATGCAGTCCCCGTGGTGCACTGGTAAGACACTTGCTTGGCACTTCAAGTACTTTGGCCTGGGTTTGTATCCTGGCCAGGGTAGATTGACTGGGTGCCAATCCTTAATTGTAGCCTCTGTTCACCCAGCAGTGAATGGGTACTTGGTTATTAAACGATTTAGTGGGTTGTATTCTGGAGAAAAATTAGGATTAAGGACCTGCCCATAAAGCTGTGCGTGCTAGTGGCTGTACATGAATGTAACCACTCTTGTGTGTGTGTGTGTGTGTGTGTGTATGTGTGTGTGTGTATATGTAATTATTACCTAAGTGTAGTTACAGTATGAGAGCTACGCTCGTGGTGTCCCGTCTTCCCAGCACTGTCATATAACGCTTTGAAACTACCGACGGTTTTGGTCTCCCACCCTCTCACCTAACTTGTTCCAACCATCTACCACTCTGCAAAAGTGAATTTTCTTATATTCAGCATCTTTTGTTTAGTTTAAATCTATGACCTCTTGTTCTTGAAGTTCCAGGTCATGGGAAATTGTCCCTATCAATTTTATAAATTCCTGTTACTATTTTGTACATAGTGATCATATCACCCCTTTTTCTTCTGTCTTCTAGCTTTGGCATATTTAATGCCTCTAACCTCTCTTCATAGCTTTTATCCTTCAGTTCTGGGAACCACATAGTGGCATGTCTTTGCACCTTTTCCAGTTTGTTGAAGTGCTTCTTAAGATATGGGCACCATACAACCGCTGCATATTCCAGCTTTGGTCTAACAAAAGTCGTGAACAATTTCTTTAGTATTTCACCATCCATGTATTTAAAAGCAATTCTAAAGTTAGAAAGTGTAGCATAGACTCCTCGCACAATGTTCTTAATGTGATCCTCAGGTGATAGTTTTCTATCTAGAACTACCCCTAGATCTTTCTTTATCAGACTGCTTTAAAGATTTCTCACAATCTTTCCTATTAGCATCATCAAACATGTTTATGTAATTCTGTATTCCTTCTAGTAGATCATTTATGTAGACGATGAACATTATTGAGGCAAGAACTGAACCCTGTGGTACTCTGCTAGTAACACTCTTCCAGTCTGATACATTGTCTCTGATTACTGCCCTCATCTTTTGGTGTCCTATCTTTCCTGTAATGTCATGTGAATTTGAAGCTTCTGATGGTTTGCCATTCGCTACCCTCTCATTTCCCTACCTCAATATTCAGCCCGTTCTAAGTGTGAAGGGGGTTTAATGAACGAGTGTTGGAGTGTGATGCTGAGTGGGATAGCATTTTGAACATTTTGAGCCCTGTGCTCCTACAACCTTCATTACTAATTTTGCTGGATAACTTTCTCCATTTTTTTTCCTATCCCCCTCTTCTCCTTTCTGGATGAGACTTCGTGACAACTTTTCCAATCTTTAGTATTCTTTCGATTGACTTGTATTATGATGGAGGATGAGTAGAGATGGCACACACTATTGTCCATTAAAGCTAGTGAATCAGAACCACTTAAAAAATCTGTCACAATGCCTCTGTGATGTGTACTAGCATGGCCATTGAGGAATTACTCCTCCGCAATGGTCAAACTATGTAACCTCTAATGTAAACGATGATGAACAATTCCAAAGTGACATCTACACAGGGTTAAAATCAATCTTGCCTACGGAAGAGCTTAGATATTGTATGCCTTAATGAAACTTTTTTTTTAAGATATGAATTCTAATTTTAATCATTTAACCTATAGCTCTGTATTGCCATAACGAATAGAGCAACACATAAATTTTCTTGTTCGAAAGGACATTCCTTTTCAGATTTGTAACCATCAAACGGAATTAAATGCTCTAGCAATTAAAATTTATCTCAATGCATTGATACAGTACGCTCTTTTTAAATCCTAGTGCTTCAATCGACGTTGATAAATTAAATGATTTAATTTTAGAGCTCCCAAAGTCATTTTTGGCAGTCGATTGGGTCTAGATGCCAGAAGGTGTTGCCTTAACTACTTATTACAGTATATAGATGGCCTCTCATAAATGCCCTCTCGTTCTTTTTCAATTATTCTATCAATATATTTCCATTTTCTAGAGTTCATTTATTTAAATTTTGTGGGCACTTTTGTTTTCTTTGAATCTGACCTTTAATTCTAGCTGTTGTAGATTATACAAAACATTCCTCTTTAAATTTTGTCCATTCCTGTCATAATCCTGTATCGTAAATAATGAGAGGACCATTAAGAAGCCGCCGACTTCCTGTCCCCTTTGAAGTTACTGGTGGTGGTGACCCCTCGGATGAAAGTAAATATAAATAGCTACGTAGCCATGTTTTCAACTTGGCCAGGTAAATGTACCTATACCATATCATCCTAGATAATGTAAGAGATAGGGGAAATCAAATGTTTATTAATACTACAATCTATAAGATACCTGGGCAAATTTACATGGTTAGCAATGCTGGTGTGGAGGGATGCCTGAAACTCCCTCACAGCCACACATTCCTAACCTTTCATTTCCTTCCCATATGTTTTAAGTAAATTTTTGCATATGTGGACATCCTCTAGCATGCGTTAATCTTATTAAACAGTTGTACTGTATTTATTTAATTGCCACAAGAACCATTATTTATTGCTTGTAATGTCTTTCCAGCACATTTTTATTCTAATGAGTGTCTTTTTTGTGGTATACAATTCATTGGATAATGTGGACAATATCTAGTCTGAGATTTGATTCAAATGTAGTTCTTGGTCAGTATGTGTGTGTGTGGTGAACCACTGTTAAAGTATGTGTGTGTGCTCCCTATGTGTTACTGTAGCTTGGGCAAATTGCTTGATTTTATTGGCCTTAGCCAATGTTTGATCTTGTATCAAGGTATTTATTGCTTACAAATTGTATTGTTTATTTAATGCTAATTAGATCTGTTACAAAACTTGCTAATTTATGAGGCACATTTTTGGTAAGTTTCCCACATTGGGTCCCTTAATTGAAGTTATAAGCTTATGGATTCATTCTCATCATTTGTGGAGAAAAACTTTCCAGAACGTTTACCTGCTACAGCTTTAGTGTTGGTTCATATAGGTAATTATCACTTGTCACCATTTCACCACCATACTACCACCATCATTACAAGAAATAACTAAACCAGTCAGAAGGGCAGTGGAGTAGTAATTTTCTAATGAAGTGGCAACAAAAACTAAGAACATTGACAATTGTTGCAGCCACATACAAGAAAACCACAATAAGATCATGTGGTCTGGTTTGGGAAGTAAGGAAGCATCTTCATGGAAAGTCCAAAGTGATTGAGGAACTTGAGAAAAGGTTCCACGAGTTCTATGAAACAAGCATAGTGAAGGCCAAGGATAAGAAACAATGAGCAGCATCACAAGACAAGTCGATGAAGAGATAAAAGGAAACCCTAGAGGAATTGGGTTTAATAAAAGCATCAAGACCAGATGTGGGGATTTTGAAAGAGGTTGCAGGGATCGTTTTATTCCTTTAACTAGAACTGCTCATGGTGCTACATGGCCTTCCTGGCTTGGTGTCTTTTTATAATTACTTAAAACTTTGCTCAGAGAAATCTGGAAAAAGGAAAATGTAGTGCCAATATTCATGAGAGGGAACAGACAGAATGCATTTAACTATAAACCAGGAACCCTAAGAAATTATCTTTAAATTTTAACAAATTGGAGGTTTACATTCTGGGCACCAAAGAGTTTTACAGATTTTAAATTCATGCTTTTGTGGCCAAATTAGCTTTAATTTTCAGGTAGGGTTTATACTGAAGTAAAAAAATACAGTACAGTACAGTACAGTAGCATGTATCATCTTGTGATGAAATAACTTCTTGTAAAAATGTGTACTATATTTTATACTAATATGAAACTTTTTAAATTTCCTGGAAATTTATCCTAATTTTAAGAATTTGCTTATACAGTATTGTATTTGAAGACTCATAAGTGTAGCTGGATGTAATTATTAGTTTTTTTCTTAATTTCACCGATGGTTCTAAAGAGTTTCCCCAGGCTTGGCACATTCTTTTGATAACTACTTTTTTCATTTATTCTTGTAGACCCAATACGAGCGTGTGTCTTGCTTTCCGACCGTCCCTCGCGGTCACTTGTCCCTCGATAAATTCTAGGTGAATCGCATACTTTTGATATCGTTCGCCTTATGCGTTTTTGTTCTCGTATTGGCATTCTTGGTGATATTTAGCGCCCTCTGATTATTTCGCACTTTGATGGTGCTACATAGCCTTCCCGGTTTGGTGCCTTCTTTTGATAATTACCTTACCTTGTAGACCCAATTTTTTTTTTTCCAGCAAGTGTATGGATTCACCAAGAATTCTTCTTGGACACAATTTTGAATCATGTTCATAAATTTTCCAGTCCTTATAAGTCTTGATTTGCATAAGGCCTTTGTTAGATATATTACCCATTTTTTTTTATTTCTTCCCACTTTCTCTTTGTGAGGCCCTTTATCAAAGGAATACCCACATTAAATGGTGGTCCATTTTCTGGGAATAATCTTTGTTGTCCTTGGGCCCCTCGAGGCCGACTCCTCCTGGTTTTGATCTGAGCCAAGATTGTAAACCTAGCCCCCTCCCCCCCTCCCCCTCCCTCCCCTTCCCCCCCTCCCCTTCCCCCCTCCCTCCCCTTTCCCCCCTCCCCCCCCTTTCCCCCCCTCCCTCCCCTTTCCCCCCCCCCCCCCCCCCCCCTTTCCCCCCTCCCCTTCCTCCCCCTCCCCTTCCCCCCCTCCCCTTCCTCCCCCTCCCCTTCCCCTCAAATGGTGCCAGTGACCATGTTGAGATGCTTGATGAAATAATTGATCATTCCTTTTTTCCCCCCTGGGTTCAAGGGTGTGGATCATAACTGTGTTGATATATTGCTCTGATTCAGTATGGTGCTGTTTTCCTATTTTTGGCAGTGAAAGAAGTTCTTCCCTCTGATAATTATGGGAGTTTTTCTCCATTGTCTGTAAATTCTTTAGGGTAGACTTTAATAACGTGCTTTAGATGTAACTAACAAGAGCTATATTCTGGGCAGCGTTTTAATTTGGTAAATGTACCTGTTACAAAGTAATTTTTTAGAATTATATATTCAATGATTTTATATATTTTAACTACAGATTTAGTTACATTGTATCCTAGCAGTCCAATTGAATTTTAAACATGCCTATTTTGCTATAATGTACAGTATTGAATTCTGTGTTACTTCCAAGGAAGGTACAGTAGGCATGATTGGCTTTGGCTTCCAAGAAACTTGCTCCCAATATTTTTTTTTTTTTAATTTTCCATTTTGATCCCTATTTGTACTACAGGCTATATAGCTTTTAATTTTTTTTTTCATATTTTATTCTGCTTCTTCTCAACCTTGAGCATTTTGCAGAGATAAATCATAACCTCTTACAGTTGTAATTTTTAGTAAGTTTGAGTGAATAATTTTATGTAAATTTTCTTAACGGCTATAAGAAATGTCAGGCATTATTGATGGTGATTTAACACTTGGGCAATAAAGTTTTGGAGCAGGTCATATAGGTACAAAAACAAAAGAAAAATAAATATTTCATTCCTTTGAATGTGGGAGTAAGTAGCATGGTATATAGAGTACAGTAGTAAAATGGTACATAGAATGTTACAAATTTATACATAGATTTCTAGATTTCTCAAATGTGTGTAGTGTGTGTTGGAGTTAGTCTTGTCTGTATGCCCTGTTTTAGTACATAGTATTGTTACCACCACCTTGTGATGCACATATATTTGTGGTATGCTTGTCTATAGAACCTGGGGCTTTGCCGTGTCTTGCAGATGGTTGTCATGGTAGCGTGTACGTACTTCGTGGGTTGTCTTCCTGAAAGCAAAATGAAGAAAAGCCTGAACAGCTGTATATCAGTCTTCTGCTTTGACTTTCTCAGTGGGGCACTGTCACTGGTGTGCACTTACCACAACAGAGAGAATATCCCTCAGTGTGGTATCTGTGTTGCCAACCACACCACACCCATTGATGTGTTGGTACTGGCGTGTGACAATACATATGATATGGTATGTTACCAGTTTGACTGTTTACTGTTTTTGTGGATTTTGTAACTTTCCTTAATTACCACCTATTATTGAATATTCTTAAATTTTATGCTCTCTGCCTTGATTCATGCTAAGAAGTACTTAATTTTAACATTCTTGTAGGTAGCTTTCTCATAACCATTGGTCTCTGCTCATTGTTTGGTAATACAGTATCTTGATAATGTTAGCAAGTGAATAAGAGCTAGATATTCCTGCTAGGAATTGTTTGTGTATTTGAAACTTCCTACATTTATGCATGATGGTAAACGGAAGGCCTGTATTATTAGTTGACCAAACCACACACTACAAAGTGAAGGGACGACGACGTTTCGGTCCGTCCTGGACCATTCTCGATTCGATTGTGGTCCAGGATGGACTGAAACGTCGTCGTCCCTTCACTTTCTAGTGTGTGGTTTGGTCAACATATTTCAGCCACGTTATTGTGACTCGTCTGTATTATTAGGTCATGTAGACTTATTTTATTTTAAAACTATTCTAATACCAGGGTGCTGGGGGGCCTAGCCATACAGTATTTTAAAAATTTGTGTGGTCAAAATTTATACAGAAATGCCCCGATTGTAAGGGGAGATTTAGCTCCCAGTTCTCATTTAGAGCTGCTACCCTAGGAAGGTTTATAATAGGAATTTTTGCTATCAAAGGAATGATTTAAAGATAGATTTTAACCTGGGCATGTATGCAGTATCTAGACATGTACCAGTTAATTATTTTCATTGTGATCCTCCATTGTTTTTTTTGAAATTTTATCAAATTTACATTGGAATGAATTGATGGCTTTTGTTTGGTGTCTTGAGATCTGTATTTTAGAATGTGTGTTAAATTTGTATGGGTTTTATTTGTTATTATATAACTAACTATATTTAGGTATCCTTCATTATGAAAGGCTAATTTTTGTTTTGAGTGTCTGGATAAATTCTTAAGGTATTGGCTCAAGATTCCAAATTATTGTATTATTGAGCCTTACCAACACATGGTCATTATAACTGTGTAGTTGTACCCAAAGTTCTAGACTTGTCCCTATACCAGGAAATACTCCCAATAGTCTGTTGTAGTTTGAACTGTGCTCATGCTGTGCACTCTTAAGTGCACAGTCTGAAAGGAGCACCAACTCTTGCAGTTGTTAAAATTTTATTGAATATAGTCAGTGCTGTGGCCTGCAGGGTCATTCACTGCTCAATGGAGGAGTTGAAGATCGTGTGTGTGTGTGTGTGTGTGTGTGTGTGTGTGTGTGTGTGTGTGTGTGTGTGTGTGTGTGTGTGTGTGTGTGTGTGTGTGTGTGTGTGTGTGTGTGTGTGTTAACTACTATTAATACCCCCCTCCCCCATATATGGAAGAAAATCCCAAGATTGCAGGTAAATTCATTCTTGATCTGGCACCCTTTCATCTTGGTTATGTTATTGAGCAAGTCCGATGTAAATAAACTCATTTCCCACTTTTAGATAATTAGCACCAGTTCTTGCCTCCCTCTGATATTCTGCCATCTTTCTTTGCATATCTCAGAATATTTATTATATATTTATCACCAAATCATAGATGCTGGGTCTGTCTCCCGATGTAAACATGCAATACAGCACGCTCTCACTATTTGTAGTGGTTACTTTCCTACATACAGTAAAGTTTGAACGCTAATACCTGTACTTAGTTTTTAGAAAAGGAGATAAATTTGCCAATATACACACGTTACCATAAATGCTAAACTATTACAAATTTGTGGGCTCAATTAATTTAAATTTTTGAATTAGCAGTGAGAGAAAACTTGTCCAATGAAAGCACAGTAATAGGTAGTTTTACTGTTTTTGGTACAATATCCTCATTTAGGTTGTATACATCAGTGTGAACTTATTAATCTGGAGCAATGCTCAAATAATCATATACAGTACTTGTAGATTTAATGTGCATTTATGTATTTTGATTACTAATGGCATTAATTTCTTAGGTGGGCCAGAGGCATGGGGGTTTCTTGAGCATTTTCCAAAGAGCCTTATCAAGGGCCTCGGCACACATCTGGTTTGAACGTTCAGAATCTAAAGACCGCTTTGCAGTAGCAAGACGATTAAGAGAACATGTTGAAGATCCAGAAAAGCTTCCCATTTTAATATTTCCTGAAGGCACGTGCATCAACAACACGTCTGTCATGCAGTTCAAGAAAGGAACTTTTGAAGTTGGAGGGGTCATATATCCTGTTGCTATCAAGGTGAGTTAGGCTCTGGTTGATAAAGCGGTCTAGTATGTGTGCGCGCTCCTATCAATAGCCCTCTGTCTTTTCTAGATGCTTTTATATTGATTTGTTTTTGGGGGGGGGGGGCATCACCTTAGACGCTTGCTCTGTCAGCGCCTCAATTTTGCCAGACTTTTGACTCTATTGCAGCCAAAATATGTCGCCTGTTTTTTTTTTTATTATTATTTTTCCTGGTAATCAAGGAAAACAAATGAACACTTTTATAAGACAAATTTTTATTTATTTTTTTATTTCTTGTGCCTGGGCATGTTGCAGGCTATAATTGCAAGAGCAGCCCGGGGCAACAAGTGTCAGTTTTTCTGTCTTAAAATTTCATAGATAGTTACAAATGGAAGAATGTCTAACTTAAATTTCTTTTACAACATTTATCATAAAGTTTGAATGTAAACATTGATTTTTTTAATTTTTCATTATTTTTGAGCTATGAGATTATAGTTGTATAAATATAGTGAGTATTGAGTAATAACACAACCTATTTTAGTTGTAAAGATATTACATTGTATGGATATGTACTTAATTTCATTGTTTTGAAAACTTTGTTTTACTCGGTAATATGTGTTTATTTCAGTATGATCCTAGATTTGGCGATGCATTTTGGAATTCTTCCAAAGACTCTATGGTGAGCTATATCTATATGATGATGACCTCATGGGCCATTGTGTGTGATGTTTGGTATCTACCTCCAATGACAAGAAAAGAAGGCGAAAGTTCAATTGACTTTGCTAATCGTGTTAAAGCTGAAATTGCTCGACAGGGAGGTCTTGTAGATCTCGTTTGGTAAGTAACTTTTATTACAAAATTCCATTAACTTTTTTTACTAATGATTTGGTCAAGAATATAAATCATAATGTATAATCACACAAGTTAATTTCTCCCTATACACTTCAAACTCTCAAATTGCAATAAGGGTTTCCATTTTGTATCTAATAAATCATTTTGTCAGTGGACAAGCAGCCTGTGTGTTTGTATATGTATTAGGCCTATCAAGGTCCCTCCCCCTACCCCCAGGTCAAACTATTGATCCTTCCTAGGATGCATTGCCAAAACAGGCTAACTCCTGGGCACTTGTATTAGGTGAACAGAGGTATTAGGTAAAGAAAATTTGCCAAAACATTTGTTCTGCCTGGGATTTGAACCTGGAATTCTGGATTGTGAGTACAGTACAGCCCAACTCTACTATCAGGACCCATAAATGTGTGTACTGTACTTCCTAAGTGTGTCATTGCCACCATCAAGAGTCAGGAAGGCATCTACCATAGAATATGTTTGATATCTGCTTGATGGGGTTCTGGGAGTTCTTCTATTCCCAAGCCCAGCCCAAGGCCAGGCTTGACTTGAGAGTTTGGTCCACCAGGCTGTTGCTTGGAGCGGCCCGCAGGTCCGCCACAGCCCCATTGGTCCGGAACTTCTTTTAGAAAAAGTCTAGTTTTCTCTTGATGTCCACGGTTGTTCCGGCAATATTTCTTATAGTCGCAGGGAGGACGTTGAACAACTGCGGACCTCTGATGTTTATACAGTGTTCTCTGATTGTGCCTATGGCGCACCTGCTCTTCACTGGTTCTATCCTGCATTTTCTGCCATATCGTTCACTCCAGTACGTTGTTATTTTACTATGTGGATTTGGGACCTGACCCTCCAGTATTTACCATGTGTATATTATTTGGTATCTCTCGCGTCTTCTTCTAGTGAGTTTTTTTTCATTTGGAGAGCTTTGAGCCAATCCCAATAATTTAGGTCCTTTATCACGGCTATGTGTGTCGTATATTTTCTCTGTATTCCCTCTATTTCAGCAATCTCTACTGCTGACAACACAAGTGACTTGAAGAGTACAACCATTGTGTTTAGATCCATGGATTTGAAAGTTTTTGTAATCCATCCTATCGTTTTTCTGGCTGACGCAATATTTGCTTGGTTATGCTCCGTAAACGTTAGATCGTCGGACATCATTATTCCTAAATCCTTGACATGCTGTTTTCCTACTATGGGCAGATTCAGTTGTGTTTTGTACCCTGTATTATGTTTCAGATCCTCGTTTTTGCCGTACCTGGAATTTATCACTGTTAAACATCATGTTATTTTCTGCTGGCCAGTCAAAAACTTTGTTGATATCTGCTTGTAATTTTTTAATGTCTTCAGCAGAGGTAATTTTCACGCTGATTTTTGTGTCATCTGCAAAGGATGACACGAAGTTGTAACTTGTATTTTTTTGTATTTTTTTTTTTTTTGTGCTGTGTGTGCCTTAGTACTGTGAGAGAGCGATTAAGGCATAAAACTACAGTAATTCTTAAATATTGATCTTTTTAACTCGCTGAAAGTAACCCAATTTTTCTTGCTTTAGGGATGGGGGTTTGAAGCGATCAGCCCCAAAGAAAGAATGGAAACAACAGTATCAGCAAGAATTTTCAAGGCGCCTTAAAGTTCAAAATCTAAACTCGGAGAAGAAAGAAGAAAAGACTGAATGACTAGAGAATAAAGAGAAAAAGAAATTTGCACAATGTGTGGATGATGATAAGAAAGGCATATGAACCAGCCATTAGGTGTACTTAAGCTAAGAGTTGTTAAAGAACAGCCCTGAACAATGCAACTTAAGTGAATAGAAGTGGTGAATGATGTAGAGTAACACAAAGTAGAGTGCACACACTACTGAAGCCGTTATCATTGTCACTAAAGTTTGTTCTCTACTTAATGTTACTCTACAATGTGTTTGTGTTGTCAAATATACTATTGAAGCAAATGTTGGGTTTGTGAGTATGGCATACTTAATGCTCTAATGTGAGTCAAGTCATGGAAATTGACAATATATAATTTTTTAGATTTTATTAAGAGTAAATTTAAATGATTCCTCGTATGCTGTCATCCTCGCAACACTGTAAGGTTGTGTCGAGGAAATAAATTTTTGTTACGATTTAAGAGTTTTGGCAGGGAGAGAAGTAGCACAGTATATATGAGAAATGAACAATGTATAAAACCATAGTGTGATAATCAGTTTGTTGAAAACATGTGTAATTTATTGGCTTTAACATTTTCTATAAGCATTTTTATAATATAAAGATTCTTTACTAAAATAAGTATAAAAAATTAAACCTTTATATATCTGCGTAGGACACTGGGAGTGTTGCAGAAAGAGAGGAGGAATACTCGACTCTTTGTAACATATCAGATGGTGTAAGTTATGGTACCAAGTCCCATGATGATTATCTAGTGTCATATTTGGTTACTATATGTATAGTTGCAAGTGTTACTTCTTGTACTAAGTATTTTGGAGTATAATTTGTGATAATTATTACTGGTAGATGGGGGTCACTATTTGTAGGATGTCTTGTTTTGTCATTTTTGGGATATCTTGTGTTGAGCATTCTGTCCATTGTGTACACAAGAGTTAAACAAATTGGTGAAAATAATTTTTGTCTTTTTCTCCCCTATAAATTTATCGCCATCTATTGAACACCCTACAGTTATATATAAATTGAAATTATTTTAAAGACTGGTGAGCTGGGTTCAGTGTACATGCATCATAGTGCAAGTTGTTTGACTCTCGTGGCCATGTATTCATCATGTCCAGTGAATACTTTCATTTGTGATGAAAAGTAGGATCAACATTTAGCTAATTTTGTAATTTATTTTGATACAAGTAAGCATTAGTTACAGCAAGGCACTAAATATATTGAAAGAATCCTAATGTAATATAATGTTTACTTTTTTCTTTTTTTTTAGTAAAATGACTGTGATATATGTATGGATTAGCATTTGCATATTTATAATACAATAGTAAATACAATAAAATGAATTGTATTTGCAATATTACTTAAAGCGTACCCTGAAACGTAGTTTAACATTTTGTATTTCTCAGGACTGGAACAATTTCTCTTGCCTGATGTCCGATGTATTTTTTCCCGTCTCGGAATTAGTCAAGCCCTTGTATCTATAGATGTGTAGATCATGAGACGGAGTAAAGTAACATCTGGCACTTAATTTAAATTTTCCATTAAAAAAAAAAAAATGTCTGAAGATGCATAACTCTTGGTTTTGGATGCAAAAATAAACTAGGCTTAATTTTGGGTTGACTGTAAAAAAAAATTATATTCTATAATTTCATTTTTCTGAATGAGATTAGGTGTAACAATCAAATGCATAATTTAAAAATTGCACAATTTATTATATTCTGAAGTTTGCAAAGTTTTACCCATGGCTGACAGTAAAACAAAATGTATATTTAACAAACTGGTAAATAAGAATAACTTATCATTGTAATGTTCACAATTATAGTACAGTATAAATAAGACAGTGCTGTTTACCCGAGAGTACCTTCATACCACCAAAACTGTAATGCCTTGTGTGATAATTTGAAAGTTTACAATTTAATAAATATTTTCATGTGTGAATGTGTAATTTGTTTAAACAAAAAAATTCAGGCACATGCACTTTATTAATATCAATTTAGTTATTTTCTTTATTTAATACCAAATGTGGCAAGTGACATTTTTGTATTCTGTACAAAATATTTTTACTCTAAATAGTAAGCAATTGAGGATGAATATATTGTGAAATAAAATGGAATTTTATTACACACAAATCACAATAGCATGATGCATCAAATGAACAAATCCACAAGGGACCGTGACGAGGATTCGAACCTACATCCGAGAGCATCCCAGACGCTGCCTTAGTCGACCGAGCTACGATATAGTATAAGGATTGCAACCAGAAATTCTACTGAATTTACAGATTAATTTACTTACACACAGAAATCACAATAGCGTGATGCATCAAATGAACAAATCCACAAGGGCTGTGATGAATTTGTTCATTTGATGCATCACACTATTGTGATTTGCGAGTAATGAAGTAAGGGGCGAAGAGGTAGAATGACCTATTGAAATAGCTCGAGTGCAGAGGGGAATTGTGTAAAATCCTGGTTTGTCTCTCGGAGAGGCTGCAGGATCCAAGTAAATTCGGTAGAATTTCTGGTTGCAATTCTTATACCATGTCATAGCTTCATCACATTGTCATTAAAAAAGTGTCACCCAAATCAAGCTGTAGCAGACTGTTGTGTTGACACTTTTCAGCAAAACTTTGCAATTCTTCCCATGCTGCACACATTTTCTTCATAAATGAGGAAGGGACATCCTCTATTTTACATCAACAGCCCTCGTACCATTTTCATGTTTACAAATGATCTCTTGTTTTTCCTCTATGGTCATTCTCACATGTGTTTTCTTGGCTTGAACCTTACCACTGGCTTTCTTGGGACCCATGTCGAGACACATAATAACTTGTGTGCAAATACCCAAAAAAAACTAATTCTTTACAAAGATTTCAGGCGCAATTGTCACTAGGCGGGAAGCACTGGTAAACTGAGGTGTGATCGCCATGCCACCACGCGCTAGGTCAGCCATACGTGTATCAACAAACTTCGTTTCCCCGAGGCAAAACTCGTAACCCGATTTGGATTTTACAAAGAAATTGGGCTCATAACCCAAAAAATTTGTAAATAAAGGCATTCGTAATCCGAGGTGTCACTGTACTATAATTAATGCAAGTGGAACTTTATGGAATCCTCCCTTTCCACAAGCCTACCCAGTTGCTCCCCGAGCCAGGGCCTGTGCTCGCTCAAGATACAAGAATCTTGTCATGCTGTGTTGACCTGTGCCCCACAAGAACCAGTAGCTTTTCAAATCTTGCTTTTAAATTGGGAAGGGAAGATTGTTTTAATCCTCCAATTAAAAAACTGCTTACTATGACAATGAAGAGCAGAAATAAGCTTAACCCTTCCTCCAAGAAATGTACAGAATACCAGATTAATCTTTAAACCTTTATAAGCTAATTTATTAACCACACTTCTAACACCAGGTGGTAATGCCATCACCTTACCTAGGTCGTGTGAGTTAAAAGGCCCCATCTTTAAGCCCAGACCCCTGCCATAAATGTTAAGTCAGGACAACATGGATGTGATAGGAAACATACGAGGAGCTGCTAAATAAAAAGTTTTAAAAATTCAACTTCCTGAGTCGGCTACAGATAAACCCCTTTAATAAGAGAAACTTACCTGAGCTAAAGAACACATCCAAACAAAGCTGTCATGAAGTGAAAACCTGTCCAAAGGGACCAAGAAACCTTTCTGCTGCACCGGAGCATACCTAGGTGACTAATAGCTTATCTAAAGGATAACTGGAAGCACCTAAGATAAGACATTCACAGGAAAGGAGGAGGAAATACTGGCAAAGACCAGAACACTAGCTCTGAGTTATTGAGAGAGAAGCTGAGAATTGCAGAAGTTCCCAAGTCAACTGGCATAAACCTGAGCAGAAGCAGCCAAGAGAAGCATACTTTCCAGTTATCCTCCAACAAAGTAGCCCAATGTAATGAGGAGTTGCATCCTGTTTGTCACAGTAAAAACCACCAAATCAACTAAAGGTGCACCTCTAAAAAGTACAAGAGGGCACTGGGCAAACTAGGCCTAATAGACTACTAAATAATGAGCCCAAAACAGATGGGGTTAGGTGAAGGTGGGCTCAGACCTTGCAGTCAACCTTCACCTGAAGGAGGGAATCTACCAAATACACAACAAAACAAGAAACCAGACCATTAATCACCAAGAATGGAGCACTAAAGGAATGAAGACTTAAAAGCATACTGTAAGAACATAAAGCACAGAGCCCAACAGGCAAAGTACCAAGAAAGCCAGAAAGGTAAGAGCCAATAAAATGCAAAACACAGCCCAGAATGAGCAGCAGTGACAACTTCCACAACAAGAAACAAGAAACCTCTGGCAAGAGAATATGCCAATGAGATCACACTCATGACCCAAAAATCACATCTAGGACAGGCAAAGCCTAGAATGAACAAGGTCAGCCAGCAACAACAACTCCAAACATCCAATTGCCATCAACATAACAGAGGCAACATAGGAGAAGGTCAGTGACAGAAGAGTTGCGTGTTGGACGCGGTCGTGTTTGGGTGTGTTTTGAGTGAGCTCCCGCGGAGGTGGCCGGTGTCATGGCGGCGGCTGGAGGCGCACATGGCGTCTCTCGTACAACCATCGACGATACCTTAGAAGATGTTGGAAAACCATTACTGCATACCACAAAATTGAATCCTGAACGTCACCCGGTCATAGAAGAGGACCCCGAAGGAGAATTCATAGACAGCAAACACCATAGTAAGGCAAACAGACTGGAGGCAAAGCGCCGCCATTTATCAGAGGTAAACAGAAATGAGGCCGACGCCACGCGGCCTCAATATCCACACCCACCGCTCAACCAAGGTAGGCCAAGCTCTTCGGAGTTACAAACCTTTATCATTGCTTTTGAGGGCGAAAATGAGAATATTTTCCGAAATAGTAGGGCACAAAGCATCCTATATAATGCCATTCCCCACAAATTCGGAATCGACGTGCACGATATCAGACCAAACAAACTAAAGAACCTGATCGCAGTGGATCACAAACACAGCGCGGAACTGGAGATTTCAAACATTACTGACATCTGTGGTTACAAAGTTAGGTGCTATAAACCACTAGGAGACAGATTAGTGAAATATGTAATCCGGCATGTTGTAGACATCAGCGCAGAAGACATTAAGGCACAACTCGACACAAATGGCATCCCACTCTATGAAATAAAAAAATTTATGCGACGAACGAACGGAGAACTGAGTGATACAGGCACCGCCCTGCTTACTTTTCTGGACTACGTTCCCCCTGATAGGATTTGGTTAAACGGCTTCCTCCACAAACTAGAGGTGTATGTTCCGCGTCCCACCCAATGTTTTAAATGCAAGGGTTTTAACCATACCTCGAAGGGCTGCACTAAAGATATCAAATGTGGGAAATGCTCTGGTTCCCACTACACACAAACCTGTGCATCGGATACACTCACCTGCTCAAACTGTGGTGGCGAGCATGACATCACATTTAAACAATGTCCCTCTTACGTAGCAGCAGCAGCGAAAATGAAGGTTCCCCCTACCACCAACCTGCTATACAGCAGCGCATTAAAAAAACCTTCCTCAGCTCATCACCAACCTCTACCTCACACTCAACCACAACCTTCGCTTGTACCGGATATCCCTGTCTCCGACAATCCCGCAACCCCAGGGTCCAACCACCTCTCACAAAACGCGCAACTGAATCCTGATTTAGTTGAAACTCTCGTCACTCGCCTCGAAAATGATCTTATTGAAACGATCGTCACTCGCATCGAAAATGCACTGGAAAAGACCCTGGACCGACTCCTAACAAAATTTTTTGCCCAAGTACCACAACCCACCCCTGAGGCTGACCCAACAGACCCCCCATCAACAGTTACGGACACTGACATCCGCCCAAATAAAGCTACCAATGCTGGACACACATTGTTTGATCAGATGATGGAAAAACTCCTAATTACCTCCTTAGCGCGCCTCACCAAAACCACTCCCCAGGCTGACGTGCCACAAACCCCAACCACCAGTACCAAGAGTAAGACACAGCCCCCATCCACATCTAGGTATCCAACTCGTACCACTATGAGCGCACCAAAGAAAACAGACACATCCACAACCCAAACATCCTAAATGGCTCCCCTAACCTTCATGACTTGGAACGCAAAAAGCATCAAAACATCCCTCACAGAACTTAAACAATTCCTCTACTCATCCAAACCGGACTTAGCATTCATCACCGAATCCTGGCTCACTCCCAAACAAAATCCCGTATTTAAAAACTTTCAGATGCAGAGACTGGACAGACCCAACCGTATGGGGGGTGGTATTTTCCTTCTAACACGAAGTAATATGACATGTAAACCTGTAACACTAACGTATTTTGTGAACGGTAAATTAGAAGTTCTAGCATGCCTAATACCTTATAATGGTACACACATATCCTTTCTGGGTATATACAACCCTGGAGGCACCATAAACTCAAATGAACTGGAATTTTATCTTAACCAATTACGACACCCGATCATTGTTACAGGTGATCTCAATGCTAACCACCCCACATGGAGTAGAGGTACCCAAAATACTGCAGGCACCGATTTGTACAACTACTTGGACACTACACCATATACTCTTCTTTCGCCGCCCTACCTTGCAACCTACTTTAACTACAGAACCAATTATGAAGCCTCACTGGACATCTGCTTTGGCTCTGCACACTTTCAACATGAACTACAGTTTCATACTGGACCAGATATTGGTAGTGACCACAAACCCCTCATAATAAAATTTACTAACTTTCACCCACCAACCCACCCGCTTACGCTTCCCAAGTGGAACATAAAGTACCTAGACAAGAAAAAATGGGCTGATATTGTCCGCCTCCCAGACACAGATGAAGTAGACCCTAACAAGCGCCTGTCCACAATCACCTCGGCCATAAATTCTGCAGCCACCCAAATGCTTAAGAAAACTTCAGGACATAGGTCCAACAAACCACTTAAACCGTGGTGGAACGCGGAATGTGCACGAACAGTCGCTTTACGCCGACGAGCCATTCAAAAACAAAGACGTCAACCCTCCCTACAGAACTGGGTCAATCTCCGGCGGGCTACAGCAGCGGCCAAAAAAACC